CGTTTCAAAGCTCACAAAAATTTTACATTTTATTATCGAGTCAGATATAAGAAAATTGGCTTATTTATATCAGAAAAATCTCAATAAATAAAATTTTTTCACGACTTCTTCAAAAACTTTCTATGCTGGAAGTTTTTCTGCAAAATTTCTACAATTATATCAAAATTTTGGATAAAAAGATTTTTTGTTTAATGTAGAGGCTCATGTAAGCAAATTAGCTTTTTTTTGTCCAAAACATATACTTCAGTATATATCTCAAACCATTATTCTTTAGTTACAAACGTAAAGGCAAATTAAGTATACCCTTCCAACATATATTCGTACGGGTATAAAAATTAAATGTTAATTTTTAAATTAAATTTAGAGAATTGCTTGCAGAAAGTATAGTTAGTAAATGTGACTTAACAAAATATAAAATTAATTCAAGTTTTTGCGATTTACTTTATCCATTGCATGTCAGATTTTTTTTTAATTTTTTTATTTCAATCAATTCGTTGTTATACAATTTATTTGTTTGCAGATTTCGCCTGGTACCAATAAGAGTATTGTTGTTGTTTTAATTGAAAAGAGTGAAAATATAATTTATTTGATTGCGATTCCCATGATAATCTTATGTCATTTACAATTTTTTTTTTGCATTAGTCAACGAAAAATAAATTTTACAAAATAAAAACAGAAAAGTTTTTAAATTTTAATTTTAACATGATTTTTTAATTTGAAATGTTATAAATTAACAATTTTTTTTATAGATTATAAATGACAAACATGCTACATAATAAACTGATTACAAAAGTTGTTTTGTAATGTTATAGGTACACCAGGCTCTACTAAATAAATCAGCTATAAAAAAGCTGAGAATTTCATAAGTAAGAATCAGAAACAATCTATTTTTATACAAAATATGGTAGAAGTATCATTGAGTAGTGTAGCAAAATGTAATGATTCCCTACTTACTTAGAAAATGAATTTCAACTAAAAATCAAGCAGATTTTAAAATTTTCTTCTATAGAATTTTCTGTAATGGAATAGTTCAGTTTTAACATTCACCTCCTCAATTTCTCATCTGCGCATTTAATTTTTAAATAATTATGAATTTGTAACTTATAACTAATTTTATAATTTATTTCACTAGCTGTTTCAAAAACTTAAAGCATTGTATAAATGCTGATATTTTGTTTAAAAGAACATAATTTATTGCTGCATAGAAAAATAAATTTCTTTGTTAAATTAATATTCTCCCATAAATATGCAATTTTAAATGGTTTTCAATTTTCGTCGTTTATTGTGAAAAATCTGGTACAGCCTAACTAACTTGCTAATTTTCTTTTTTTATCCTTTAGTTTTTAAAGTAAATGCATTTCTATATTTTGTTCTAAGTTCAATTCAATACTTTAACTTTAAAAAAATCAAATATTTTTGGATTATTTCATTTTTTCTTTCAAACCAATTATAAATAACGTAATGTCAAATACATATTGGTGAATATACGAGTATTATGTGTTATTATGGACAATCTACTTATTTAGCAGAATTATTCGTTGGTGAAATTTTTAATTAAAAACTACGGAAAGTTTTTAACTATGGTTTCACATTCATTTTATAATCAAAATATTTATATAAATGTGCATGTGCTTAGTCATATTTTGTGGAATATTTGTGAGAGAGAAAAAAGTTCTAGAATATGCGCATTACTAAATTAAAAGCAGCTACTGAAATGTAGAAAAAATTCCCACCATATGATATTTCTTTTGGGAAATTTATTTTTTCCTTTTCTTTCATTGCTTAAAGTAATTTGAAAATGTAGTTATGTATATTTTCTAAGAAAAATAAATTTATACTGCGACAGATATAACTAGATGGCATTGTATGAAACATACATATGTTTGTATAAATGTTCACAGGCATAAATGAAGAAATATGTATGCATGTATCAGTTACTGTTAATATGAATACATGCCTTAAAAAATATTAATAATTTACTATTAGCACTTTACAATGAAATATAATTAATTGTATAACATTTATTTCACTTTATCGTATTTGCTTTATATATTATATGTATATAAATATGTTTGTAAGATATTACAAATTTTTTACTAATATCAATACATATTTACATATGCATGTATATTGTTCTCAATATAAGGTTCATTGAAATAATAAAAGAAAATTGAGTCAAATGTAAACGAATTTTTATGAAACAACGAAAATTCTCTTGTTTTTTTTTACAAAAAATTAATAGGCTACATACAATACATATATAATGTATTTCTATTATATGGATAAATACAGTAAATTTATTGAATCACGCTACGGTGAAGTGTAAATTTTTGTGCAGGACATAACGTGTTTTCCAAAATTATTTAGAAAAAACTCTTTTCTTCAAGGATATTTCTTTGGTTTTTTTTTATTTAATTTATGCGGCCTGATTTTATTAAATTATTACTTTATTGTTTATTATATATTAAGTTGTTATACAAGATTTCTTTTGCAGGAGGTCATTGTATTTTCTAGGAATTGAAAATTTTTCATGGTTTTTCTACAATTTCATTTATTTCATAAGCTACAAAGAAAGAATAAAACAAAAGCAATATATGAGTAAGCTATAATTTCTTTGAACTACAATTTTTCATTTCCCTGTATCAAACTTTTCTTGTATACGGTATGAGATAGAAGATTCCATGAAAAATAAACGAAATATCAAAAATGCTAATAAAAGGTAATTAAAGATATTCAATTGACAACTTATATTACATTTAGCGTAAAATTAATAACGGTTGAATAAATCTACATTTAACATTTCTAAACATTTGAACTCTATAGAATTCCCTATATTTCAAGAGAGAATATTGCTAGCAAAGTTATACAAAAATAAAAATTTTCATAACTATAAAGCAGAAAGTATTAAAAAATTTACTAGGCTTTTATTTTTTACTTCATTAAAAGTAAAATTTTAGGACATAAAGTCGGGTCAAACCTGAAAAAGTGAAAATACTATGCTTTTAAAAACAATCAATTACATATTTAAATTACTTTCATTGGTATACACAGATATTTAAGATTTCATACATTTAGCAATGTATACAATCGAAATAAAATACTTAAAATATTTAAAGAGGCGTAAACAAATTGCTCGATTTAGAGGCAATTGCGTCAGTTAAGAAAAATAATTACATTTTCAGTTCGCATGGCATTTCCCATTACCTTTTTCTAGTTATAGAAATTTTAATATAGCTTACAGTTTTGAAAATATAATTATTATGGTACCGAAAATTAGAATTTTACAAATTTCGAGAGGCCATAACTTGAGAGGTGGTCGCGATGAAAAACAATTTCTTTCTAACTTCTACAACATGCGGTCTAAAAGAAAAACTATTTCAAAAATTTGGAAAAAATGAATTTTTGATAACGGTAAATTTTTATGACCTTTTTGTTTTTTTAAAGTTCAAGTATGGAATGCCGCAGTAAAAGAAGCCAGGCACTAGTTTTACGCGTTTGCAGAATTTAAAAAATGCTTGTTGTTATTTTTCACAATAAACAGTCAAAAGATGTTATTTTTAGGGTTTTGGAGGGCTATAACTTTTAGAGGTGGGAGTTTTTAGTAAAAATCTATGCATATACGAAGTGTCAGCAGTATATCTTTAAGAATGAAAAAGTAGACTAAACTAATAAGCATTTATTTTCAAAAATTTTAGGAAAGTGCTAAAAGTGAAATACATTTATTAAAAATATATTATTAAATAGTTATTTTAGATCATGTCATAAAATTAAAAAGAAATGGTTAAAAAAGTTTTCGTGATATGACCTTATACCTCTTTAAATTAAAATTTTAGTATAGTAACAATTTTATAACAAGGAGTAAATTTTTTATTTATTATTACAATTTAAAGCTACTTATTCGTTGAATTTCATTCAACGAATTATCAAAATATATGCAAATCTTTTTTTTTTTAAATTAAAAAATTTCGAATCCGGAACTAAATTAGGTATTGAACAAATTTTAAATGAAAATATTTACAATTTAGGCATTTGTTATTTAATATCTGCAGGAAAATTTCGATAAAAATGTGATGATTCGTTTGGAAAAATATGCTCGTATGTATCAGGAAAGTGTAAGTTTTTGACTCATTAACCAAAGTTAATTTGTACATTCTACAAACACAAAAACGTAACAGTGTTTATTTCTTCCACAACAATCGCCATAAGCTACATAGTTGTCAACTTTACAAAAAAAACGGAATGTCAAACCAATTTTCTAATTCTTCGAATAAAGTACGTTTGGTAACTAGGATGAGTCTCAAATCTTAGCAATTGGTAGTTTCTTAGTTATTACCATTCAAATTTTAGAAATGTCAATTTTATTTGTTATTTATGCCCCACCCCCATAAAACAAAATAGACATATAACGGTAATTGTTTTCTCATAAATGTTTTTCAAAATTCGTTTGAAACGACCTAAATATTAGATATATTTTATGTACATATTGTATTAGTTTATGTAGATAGAAGAATAAATGAATGATAAATTCGTCTCAAATTTCTGTAACATTTTAATGAAACATTTTTTAGTAAAATTTCAAAAGATTTAATAGTATACACAATTTAGACGTAACGTATGCTACATATATAAATTTATGGTCTAGATGTACTCTTTAATTAGAAATACGCCATCTTATGAAAAGTATATGCATTATCTCAACATATTAAGTATAACGTTCCAAAAAGGCTGTAGTGTAGGAAGTTCTAATAATAAATTTTGTAATATAGGAAGTAAATTAAACTAGAAATTACCATAACATTATTTTCACAAGTTATTATTAAATCACTAATAGATTTGTATGTATGAAGATATCTAGAACTACACCGATATGTCCGAAATCTTAAAATCAATATTAAACGATAAATTGTAAATTTTGAAATAAAAAAAAAGTAAGGGTCCCCATTTTGTACTTTCTCGGAATAAAATATGTACATAAATATTAGTTTTAATGTCATACTCACCTGTAAATTACACTCTCGGGGTAAAGACATTTTTTGTTGTTAGAACTTTTTCGTGTTTTTTCACGTTTAAAACCTAAATGCATTGGTTTAAATTTTCGGTTGGCTCTGGTAAGCAAATTTACACCTTTAATTTTTTTTTTGTTTTCTTCTATAGAACTGCCACAACCACTTCTCTTCTGACTGCTCTTTTTTTTAATCCTTTAAATTTTAGGCCCCTTTTTTTCTATATTATTTTTTTTTCAGTATAAATTTTTTATCGTTTGTGATATCAAAGAAATATTCAAAAAGAAGAGTTTCAACCAACTTGTTATATTGTTATACAGTTAATTGCAATTGAAAACGAAAACATAAAAACAAATTAAAAAAAAAATAAATTTAATGGTTTTGCAATTTTTTTTTTCTTTGTTTTTGAAATTAAAAAATTTTCTTGTTTCGTTTTTAATTTTTCCGTTTTAATTAATTATACGTTTATTATTACTAAATTAGATGGGATCAATTGTTATATGAACTGTTATAAATAGGCTTATTTTTATTATAATACTATTTATGTACGAGTATTTTTATAAACGTTCATTAAATAATTCAAGTCTTTTAAATTGCTATTTTGAAAACTAAGCGCATAGTATGTAAATAGCACCACTTTTTGAATTTTTCAACAAAATCGAAAAGAAAATGGAACAGTTATTTTATGTTGTTAATTTATGTATGTGTCGGTTACTTTTATTTAATTTTTAGCAATTTTATAATTCGTAATTTATAAAATTATTTTTATTATAATTTTTCATTAAATTTTTGAAGTTATAAAAAAAATGTTGTAGTCCTCAAAAGAATTAATTATGAATTGCAATAATAAAAATAAAAAAAAAATCAATTCAAAAATATTTTAAAAGTAAATAAAACAAACTGAAGTAGTAATATTAAAAAGAAAACAATGACAAATTATTAATCGAAAAAAATTAAACGACACAAAAAAAAAATCAATAATCGATTTTTGATAATTTTTTTCTCTAAATTTTGGTATTTTGCGTATGTATATCCAATTTTCTTTTGTATATAGGGGGCTATACCTATTTATGAATGTTTGTATATATTATATAAGTTAACTAAAACTATATATTTTTATATAATCTTGTATTGAATAGTGAAGTATTGTAAATCAGCAATAAAATGTTATTATTGTTGTTATTGCAAGAATGAAAATTGCTGCAATATAACAATTTTTACTTCGACTTTTTTGTTATATTTTCTTTTTATTTATTTCCGATAGAATGCTTCATATATGTAGATATACATATGTATTTGAATATATTATGTACATATTTTTTTTATATATACTTTGAATTTTTTATTTTTTTATTATTTTGCTCTTTTATTTTTGGAAACAAAAAATATTTTTAACTTTTATACATATATGATAAATGGAATCGAAAAGAGCAATAATTGGTAAATAAAAATATCGAATTGAAGTCAAAATTTATTTAAAAGATTTTTTAAATATTTTCTGTTTTTTTTTTATTTTGAAATTTTTTAATATCCTTTTTTTTTAAATAGGTATTCTTGGAATATAAATGATTTTATTTGTTTCATTTGTTTTATTTTTCTTTATTGCGGATATGTTGATGTTTATGTATAAATATACAGCAGAATTCTTTCAAATATATTATAATTTAATTAATTTATTTAATATATCATAATTCAACTTTAATTTAATTATATATATGTATATAATTTTGTTTTAAGTTACTTTATTATTAATGAAACGAATGAACAAGGCAAAAAATAATAGATCGAAGAGAGACGACTAAAATGTAATTACATATTTATGTGCCGTCCTACATACGTATATAAAATCCGAATAGAGATAATCAAATGAATTTACATTAAAACGCGTTCTGTCAGTCAATATTATATATGTAGCTATATATATATATATATATAAGGATGATACAATACAAATATATAACTAACTATATATACCAAATGTGACGTAAAATTTGAATAACGATTTTATTAAAGTTCTTGTGTTTTTATGAACCTCTTAGTTCAAATTTCAATTTTAAAAAATTATTTATCGTTTATCGATCGTTTAATTTTTAGAGCATAATAGTTATTATTTTAATTTTTTCGTTATAACATTTGATATTCTAAACAGTCTTGAAGATGTCATAAATTTTAATTAAAAAAAAATTTTTTATTTAAAAATTTTAGGAAAATTTTAACGAATTTTAAACTTTTTTAGTTTTTAAAGAAGGATGTATAAATAAATAAAAATATTAAAGAAAATGTTATTTGAAAAAAATAAAATAAATAAGTTAAAAAGTAATTTAACACCTTTTCTAATTATTGTTTTTTGTTTATTTTTTTCTTATTTTTTGTTTTCTCAACTTATTTCACACCGAATGTATCGAAAATCGTTTAGCCCCTTATTTGGGAAAGGGGTTAATGCGGAGCCCACGAAAATTTTTATTTTTCGTTTTTTTTTATTTATTTTCTTCTGGTTTTCTTCTTGCTGATTTAAAATCCTTGAAATATTTATAAAAAATTGGTAATCCTTTGTCTAATGAATTGATTTTTTTTATTCTTTTAGTTGATTTTTGATAAAATTTGCTTTTTTTCGCTTTTTTTACAAGAAAAATAAAAATTGATTCTTTGCAAATTCTTTTACGCTTCGAATATTTTTTTTCTTCTGAATTATTTTTGTGTGTATTCGCTTTTTTTTAGGAAAATTTTATTTAATTCTACAGAAATTAAAATTATTTTGTTCTTCTCTTTTTATTAGTAGTTTTTAGTATTTTAAAAAGGTATAAAAATTTTCGTTTAATTTGTTTCTTAAATTTTCATAATTTTCATTATTTTAAATCGTAAAATTATTGGAAAAAATCCTTTTTATTTCGTGAATATCGAATTTTGTTATATAAATCCTTTAAATTCTTTTGGAAATGATGTATTTTGTAAGTAATTTCTTCTTGATTTTTTATATATTTTTCTCTTTGTTTTATTATTATTTTTTTTGCTTTAAGAAATAGTTTAAGTCTATTTTTGGTGCTTCTGTTGCGTCTTCTTTAAAATACTAAAATCAACTGACTAAAAACTTTTATTTTATATATTTGCATGAATTTCGACTTTGGAAGGACCTTACACAATATAATTTGCGAATTTAATGCTTTAAATTTCAACAATACTCGCCAATACGCATGCTCTTATTGTTGTAGATTAAATAGAAAAAAAAAGAATTAAAAAGGATGAGTGAAAAACAAAGGGAGAATATTTTTAAAATTATGAGAGAGAAAAAAAGAACAGGAATTTTTTACAGCTGATTATGATGCAATTTTTGTTTCTTTTTTTTCTATGGTTTCATTTATTTTGGTTGCACATTTACAAACGCTTATATGCCCATATTTATAATTTGTATGTAAACATATAACGACATAGTATACAACGACATAGTATACAACGATGTATGTATGTAAAAAGAATACCGTTACTTTAATATACAAGTCCGTTAAATTTCTAGAGAAAAAACAGGTGAGTGTGTTATTGAACATTTTCCTTCTTTCTTCTTGTTTTTTATTTTTGTTGTTTTTTTTCTTAATTTTTTATTTTTGCGTGTTTTTGTTTATCGTCATTTAATCGTTTCTTTTTTTTGTTTTGTTGCGGAAACATGCGACATAATTACAATATATAAAATATATAAGATAAAATGATAATCGGGTTTACTTACTTTTAACCTCTTACTGTAGCCTGTGATTTTTACTGTGAATTTTACTCTTACTGTGAATTGTGATTTTTGATAAATCCAAACTGCAAAATTTTCAAAAATACTTACATATTTTGTTCGATAGATCTCTGTTAAAAACTTATTGAAAAATTGGAGCTGTGCAATTTTAAATGCTCAAAAATAAGTTGCTTGTATATTGAGGGTCATTATAAGTCTGCTATTAGGGTCTTCACTAGTTATTTCAAAAGGTCATGTCTTGATGTATTGATGTATCAGAGCAAAATTTTGCACTTCAACAACAATTTATATATATAAAAAAAAATTCTTTCAATTATGAATTATTTGCTCCACAAAAACATAGTGTAAATATTTTTTTTCCTGAAAAATTTTAAAAATAACGTTTAAGGAAAATATTAACATGTCTTTTGCTTTAAAAAATAATTCAAATTTTATTTTGTGCTGTCAATTTGTAAATAAAAAAGAAAATGGAAATATGTGTAAATAATAATAATTTTTTAGTATTAATTCTTGTATAAAATTTTTTCAGTAAATACGTACACATACCCAAAAAATTTTACATTAAAAATATCCTTCGGTCGTTCACATTTGGAGGAAATTGTCCTCCTTTGCACTAATTACAGCAATAAGTGAGAACTCTTGAAATAATTTACTCGCAGAGTACTTAAAAATATTAATATTTTAGAGTTCTATATGAACTTGAAATTCAAATGAAAAATTATAAAATTTTTTTGAACAAAAAAAAAAATAAAAAAGAAATATGTTAAAACAGATGAAAATTTTATTTTTTCAGAATAATTTTAATAAATTATTGTCAATTATTATAATTTTTAACAAAAGAAAAATAAATATACAACATATAATCAAATAAATACCTAATAATCAAATTAATTATTTAATTAAATTAAAATTTTGTCTTTAAATAGATTGGATAATTAACCATTTTTACTATTACATACATATGTAAATTACGGCCTTCACTAAAAGATAAAAATTACTGGCAATTTTGTAAACAATATGAAAATAAAACTAAAGGGTTTTCGTCTGCACAAATTTCTCAAAAACTTTCATTTAGTTTATTAAAAGCTCGTAATTTACTCTTCTTTTAATTTCTCTCCCACTAAATATTTTCGTACAATTGACATTTTAAATAGAGGAACACTTAAAATAGCACCAAGGCATGCTCCGATCCAATAAACAATAATATGTTCCAAATTTGTATGTCCAGTACAACCCCATTTTAAAGCTGTAGCTAAAACTGGATTAAAATATCCACCAGAAAAATTGAAAGCTGAAATCATAATATAATTAAAAACATAAACTGAAATTGAGACATAAAATTGAAAGAAAAAAATCATATAGCTGGTAACACTGAACAAAAAAAAATTATTTTGTTACATTTTTTCATTTAATGAAGTTAAAAAGGACTTTCTACATTACATAAATGGAAGCTATAATTAGTTTGGACCTGATTTTTTATTATTTCAAAAATACAAGGTGTTTTTTTATATTTACCTGCTACAACTAAGCTTGTACCTATGAAAGAATCGATATAACTTGAAAATGTTGGACCAGTTTCAGCTAAAGATTTTGATGCCAAACGGCACAATAATGTCGCAACTCCTTCAATTACTGCTCCCAAGTATGGGTGTACCTATAAAAAAATACGTATAAATTTCTTACATTTTTATACGAATTCAATGAAAATTTTTTTTTTTAACTGAAGAGTACATGTGTATAAAATATTTAGTCTTGTACCTGTAAATCAGCTGTACACTCTTGAAAAGCTCTACCTTCATGTGTATGCGCTAGCTCAAACCACCAAAAGACTTGGACGATCCTATAAACGCAACATCCTCCCATTAACGCAGCCCAAGATTTTAAGGCAACGTCTTTCAAAGACTGCTTTCCTTCAATTAATTCTTCCATATGCGTATATGGACACGCTGAAGCATCACCCCAAACTTTACCCCACCATATTGTTAACATAAACAAACAAATAGCATAAGCTGCAACACCATAATTATCTGCAACTGTAGGTATATAATGAAATATAAGTTCATACACATAACATAAACATAACTGGAAATTTTAAACTATAATATTTACAGACTCAATATTTTAATAGATAAGATCTAATTTAAAAATTATTTTTCTAGAATTCATTTTAATATTAACAATCAAATTAATGTCGCAAAATTGTTGATATGTAATAAAGTTAAAATAAAATTTTACAAAAATACTTTGTAGAAATTGGAACATTTCAAGTGAGGAAAATTATAGTTATGAGTAATAGCCTATCGATATTAGGCATTCGTCATAAAATTATCTGCCGAGAAAATTAATTTCTTTGTCAAGCCCATATTATTTATATTTATTTCTACTTTGATTAACTGAATACCTTCTTTTTTCCCCGTTACTAAAAGAGCTTGCAATCTCAACTTTCACAAAACTCAAGAGCTGCACACGGTTTTAACTAAAATGTCAAATCAGTGACATGGCTTTCAAGTATAAAAATAATTAGACCACGTTGCTTAGGATAACACAATATTGATACATAATATTGTATTTATTATGTAACATTTTATATCAAGAATACCATTAACTTGTTGCACTTGTCGTATACCTTAAATTATTTAATTAAAAATAGTTTGAAGAATTCAATTATGAATGATTAATTACCTACACCTAGATCATAGGTAATTCTACTCCAAAATACCCCAAGATACTATGTGATTTTACTGGACTTTTAAGAAATTTCAATTGGAAAAGTTGATCTTAATTACCATTAAATCCGTTTTACAATAAATTTCTTGAAATTCTTTGAAAAAACTGTTAATGCGGGAATTTACATCTCTTTGACATTATTAAAATTAACAAATCTATTTGTATAATGCTTATATACAATAGTTCAGTTATTTTATTTTTTAAACATTAATAAACTACCACAATTTAGTTATAAAATAAATGTAATCAAAATATATTAACAAATTTTGTTTTGTTACTTTTAGTAATTAAACTTATGAATAGGTTTTAAAAAAAACTGAGAAAAAACAATGTAAGAACATTTCAAAAAGATTTCGAAAAGAATGTCTTTATGTCCTTTTAGAAAATCCTGCACTTTAAAGACACAAGTATTACTTTGAGAATCTTATTTCCCTCGAATAAAATTGTTATCGACCACCCCCATCCGTCTAGCGCTGCTTAAAATTCCACAGAACTCTAAGACTGCCATTTTTTAACAAATATTTTGTCGAAGCTGCAAAATAATTTTTCAACTCCCCAAAGGTTCAAAGAAAATGACTTATTTCTTCTATCACGATTTTATAAGGATGTATCTTACTTGATCAATACACTAGTTGAAATTAACCGTTATTAATTCTCGTTGGAAATCAGCTTTTTCAAATTTTTAAAATGATTCAAATAAGTTACAAAATTCTAAAATTTTGAACAGTCTTGTAGATATTTATAAATAGTTCTAACAGAATAGTTATAAATAGTAATAGAAAGAATAATATAAATAGTTTTGACAGAATAAAACTTTTTCTATTTGCTCCGCTGCCCCACCCATGTCATGTATCTCAAAATTCGAAAAATTTATATTTTTGGTGACTGGATTTAACACGTTTGCTTCTCTGAATTTCTGTGGAAAGAAAGCAACGGCAAATTTATTTCAATAACTTAATATTTCTTCAAAAGACCATAATTATTTACCTTAACTGATCTGATAAGGTGTCTTTAAATGGATCATTTTAAATAGTATTGATACTTCGTTGAATGTAGAAATTCTTCGTTCAATAGAGAAATGATTGCAGTATCAAATTTGAGATGTCAGTTTAGTTGCTGCTTTAAGAATTCCGAAAGTTCATATATATATATATATAAATTACATTCAATTTCAAAACATTTCTTAATAAGAATGCAGTGGAATAATTTATTTTTATTTTTTATTTGAAAAAATCAAAATATGCATTTAGAAATCAATCTATATATGTTTATATGTTGATATTGAATCACGATCGTCATTAATAGACGCAACTAAAAAAATCAAAAATTCAATATTATCTAATTTCTTAAAAACAATTTTTAATAATTCATGTGAGATAATTCATTGGTTCTCAACCTTGTTAATATGGCGGCAAGAGCTAATTTTACTATAAATCGCTGCGGCATCCATTTAACATATGAAATTCAATTAAAATTTTTTAGTCAAAATTTAATGTATATAATATTTATTTAAGAAAATTGTAAAATTGCATTTTTCAGGCATTATACCCCATTTAATAAAATTAGTTATTCGTGACATAACTAATTTCAAGTTGTTTTAAAGAGAAAACATACTATGGCTATGACAACTATTCTAAGGCAACTTAATATACCGAATCTCACCAGTATTACATATTCACATATATTATTGCAAACTCGGCAATAAGTTAGTGCTATTGCATTATTACTTTGATTCCAAAAAGCTCTTCTTATTACAAAAGATATAAATGATGCAAGTATATAGAGAGTGGTTTTTAGTTATTAGTTAAGAAAGCCAAAAGTAAATTAAACTACATCAATCTGTAATGCATTATACTTACCAATTATCAATTCAAAACAACATGAACATAATTCAGCAGCAGCAATTGCTTCATTCAATAAAACTGGTATAATACCCCTGTCTTTAAAAAACTTTTCAACAAATTTTCTGGCAATTTGAGCTACCACACAGCAGCCAATCATAAAGCCACTGCTAACCGCTAATGCTGACATTGACATTATTATTAGATATTTTAGTATATTTATAGTCTTAAAAATATCTAATAATAAAACAATATCAGATCTTCAAGTAAAGGTAAAAAAAAATTAATAATGAAAAAAAAAAGAAAAAATATTAATTTTCTTTCAATTTTGAATAAGAAAATTTACAAAAACTTATTGAAAATAAATAAAAGTGCAAAATGCAGTTCAATAGAATTCAATAAATTAAAATTATTGCAAAAATTAAATGTAAAAATAGAATTTATATTCAAAACTAACATTTAAAATTTTTTACTAATATTATCGTATGTACATGTAAATAAAATATCTTGTATATCGCACCCTTAAAATTTTTCTTGCTGTAACTGTACCACTAAAAGCGCAAACTTAATCTCTTTATTTTCGTCAAATGGCATTTTTTTTTAATTAATTCTTTTCTTAAAAAACTCCCCTTTTCTCATATTGCGATAATTTATACTGAAATTTATAAACTACTTTCGTTATATCAATATTTTAAACTGAATTTCCTTAAAAATATAAATTTCGAAATAGTGCGGTGTTGGTCTGAGTGTGCCATATGTCAAAATATGTTTAGATATAATGTAAGTATTTATAAGTCAAATTAAATTCCGGCTAATATTTCTATAGTAAATTACTGACCTTCCTTACTTTATTCAATACCAACTATATAAGTATGCGAATATTATTTTTAATTCATGAGCATGTCATTATAAAGTAAGTAAAATTTATTTTTATTCCTTTAAAATTAAAACTTTTAGCAATTAAACAAAAATTAATGTTTATTACAATAAAAATATAAAATTTATGTAGAAAATCTTATGCAATAGCAAATATTAATCAAAATTTTGTTAAATGGGAAGATTAAGATTGAATTTTGATTTTTTCATAATAATTCTAAATAACTTTTTAAATTCTTTTAATTAAAAATCTTTTTGCTTTTCCATTTGTTTAATTCAAATAAATTTCTATTTCTTCTTTATGTGCACATTATGATGTTTTAAGTAATATTTTTTAATTCTATTAATAGAAACAAGCAACATATAAACAAACAGACATATTATTATGAAATGAAAATTTTATCTAAAATTTTGTAAATTTTTTTTCTATATTTTAGCACTTTAAATTAATATTAACCGAAAATTTTTGTTATATTTTGAAAAACCCTAAAATCTCTCTTTTGCTTTTATATGAAAATTAAAATATTAAATAAATAATTCAAATTACTTTTTTTTTCTTAACTAAATAATAAATTTATGTAAAAGATCCTTATACTAGACTATTAAAACTAAACTAAATGTGATGAGCAAATTTCTTTTCAAAGAGCATAATAATTTGTTAAAATAATTTGCTTTAATTTCAGAGCTTTATTTCAATTTATTTTCATTTAAATTTATTTGAATTTTCAACTATTTTATTTTTTAATGTTTTATACCAAAATTTTCCCTAGCCACATATTTTAAGAGTAAAAATTATTTTCTAGTCGAAAAAGCTTTATTTATTCCAAATCTATTTCAGTTTTTATCATCTGCAATCTCTTCAATTTGTTGTTAATGAACTTTAGAACAAAGCACTGATATGTGTACACATGTAGATACATTTGGGATCACATGTACTTATGAGGTATTAAAAAGCCTTCCTAATAGAAATTGAAAGTTGACCAAATGATCAGTTCTATACTCACAAAGATCATTTTTATGTTGTATATGAAAATTCTGTTCTATTGTATAGCGAATCATTCATTAATTTTGAAATTGAACATTTTACGCCATGTGCTATTGTTCAAATGAAATTATTTAATTTTATATACGGCATTAAATGAATAAATAAATTTTGTTTCAGACGAAAACGACGGAATAAAATAACGTTATAATTTTGTAAATATTTAATTTAGATACTTAACATTTATTATTTCTTAAAAATTTTTGAAACATTAAAAACCAGAATATGAGTATAGGAATTTTAGATTTTATATGTAGATAATAAATACATTCTGGTTACCTGATTTTAATCCACAATTAGTATGTATTTACAATATTCAATTTTAAATTAGTAATTTTGAAAAAATGTGCTAGGTAGTTTCTCTGTGGTTAACAAAAACGGAGATGGCCTTAATATATGGGTTATTCATTTTTAATATGCTTTTCATACATTTTTGTAACTTTCCCTAGCAAATAATACTTTCATCATAGATTTTTTTATAATAAAAAAAGTTTTTAAAAATGAATGCACGTTTTATTAAAAATATCGTTTCCATAAAAAAATGCATTTACATTATTTTTAATAATAAAATTCTATAACTAAAAAAGATTTGTTCTTACAATTTAAAAAAAAAAATGTATAGTTTTGTTGTATAAAACTATTTTGATTTGGATCCAATTTTTTCAGCTTCTTCAACCTAAAATTTTACAGAAAATGCGATTATTAAAAAAAAACTTTTTCCCTATATAATTTAACTCACCGTGTCTGGTAACTTTTGTTGAAAAGTTTCTGGTAATAATAAACCAAGAAAACCAGCAAAAAATGAGACTCCACCAAATAATAGCAGTGGTAAGGGTTTATAATAATAGCCCTTTCATTTAAAATAATTTATTAACAAAAATTGCAAAAAAAACAAGTTAGGATAAAGTTATAATTATAAAAACTAAATTTTTAATACCAGTAAAGGAACAAATGGAGCAACCATAGCACCAAATCTTGCAAATGTTGACATAAAACCTACACCACCGCTACGAATTATCTATATATTTTAATAAAATTATTAAAAAAAAAGTCTTTTAAGTATTGAATTTCATAATTACTGTAGGCATCATTTCGGCTGTATAGGCATAAATAACAGCAAAACTAGATGTGATCCCAAGCTTACCAATAAGAAACAATAATATGGTAGCCCAAGCTACTTCTAAAGTTTAAAATAAAAACAAAATCATTATAAATTATATATTCACGTATCTTATAATATTAATAATTATTTGCCTTATTAGCAGCATACCTTGAGCTATGAAACCTCCTGCAATACATGTTACTGCACAAAGAAATAATGATCCAGTAAGAGACCATCTCCTTCCAAACTTTTGTAAGGCTATCTGTAATTATAATATATTTTTCGATTTTAAAAAAATTGAGTTTAAACATAATTTAACACCATACCCAAGCCATAGAATATCCTGGTATTTCAACTAGACAAACTAATGCAAAATTCAAATATTTATTGCCACTTAAATTTGTCGAATTCAAAGACAATCCATAAAAAACAAAAGCATTAACAATCCTTAAATGGTATTACAAAATTCTTTAAAAAATTCATTATATTTCAGGTATTTTTTTAATGATGGCATTTACCATATTAGTAAAAGTATTAAAAATCTAACAATTAATATTTTTGATTTAATTATGTCAAGAAATGCATTTAAAATTTGTTTTCCCGCATCTACACTATTTAGATCATCATCAGAATAAAATTCGTTTTGATCACGGTTAGTTTGGTTTGTATAAAATTCTTTTTTTCCTTTTATTTCAATCTCCAAAAAATCTTCACTATGTATCACACCATTTGAATTATTTTTTATAATTTCAACTTCCTTTTTAATATTTGGTATCGTTGATTCCAAATCCTTAATTTCAAATGTTTTTAAAAGGGTTTCAGAAATTTCTTTATGATTAGTTTTCGCTGCTTTTCGTATAATTTTTAATGCCTTTTTATGCTTTTCTTTTGTTATTAACCATCTGACTGATTCAGGTATTAACCAATAATATGCAGTAAATAGTAATGGAGGAGCTGATAAAACGTATTGTAATGTTCTCCAATCACGACTTAACCAGGCTAATAGTCCAACTAAAGCTTCACCAACTAAAAGAAAAAAAAAATTTTTTATTAAATAAAATTTCAAGCAATGCGTTGTATTTTATATATGCATAGTATATATATTATTATATATATTTACCTGCGTAAAAATAATTAAGTATTATTGATGACATTTCACGTTTTCTACATCCAACCATTTCAACTGCAATTATAAATGCCAAAGGATATACAGATGCCGTACCAACGGCATTTAGAAAAGCAAAAATCAGAAAACTAATGTAATCCCATGCGAGACCTTGTAAAATTCCAGTTATTGACATAAATATAATAGACAATATAAAAATTATCTTGCGACCAAATCTGTAAAATAAATTTTTTACAATAATTTTTTTTTAATTATAATTTTTAAAATATTGGTTCCAATAATTTAATTGAATCAATGCAAAGAACATAAATAAAATTCCTATTCGAAAAATTTAAATAAATAAGATAAGATAAAATGTTGCACCCTGCCACAATATGTGTAGGATTCCAGAAATTTGATGGTATTCCCAAAATATGATGGTTGAAAAGAAAAATGTTTCGTGTTGCTTTTGTTTGTCTAGACTTAATATAACTTTGTCTGTTTCGGGGCAATTATCAAGGTTTGAGCACGTTATAAAGTAAAAATTCAGTCAATCAAACCAATGGTTTGCAAAGTAGTTATAATATCATTTCGATAGTTTGAATAAAAAGTTACACTTTTATTTCAAAATAATGTAAATGTTAAAGATACAGTTGTCCAACCCATGTATAATAGCACTTTCTCTTTAACAATTTAGTCTAGACGTCTTTTGAAATTAATCTCTTGTTATCTTAAAAATTTGCATAAATTTTTGGGGAAATTTTATTCTCGAAAAGTTTTTTCTGAAATGAAACTTATTTACATAGTTTTTTATGGTAGAACAAGAAATTTCGGGTTATAAAGTGTTTACTGAATTTTAAAATTACTTTTGGTTTGCGCACAATGTTTAACAAAAGCTTCCAATTACGTACGAAATGTACCAAAAACTAAGCCTTTTGAAATAGTTCACTTTGAATTCTCCAAATTTCATTTGACATATTTTAGAAAGATATAGCTGAAAAAAGGAATAAAAAAGATTACACTAAAATAAAATTAAATGAAACAGTTAGTTAAGTCAGTTGAGAAGTTTCGGTTACACTTTGCTTTATTAGAAGTTTAATAAAGCTGATAATTTTAAAGGAACTATTGGTCGAAATATTTTTAGCAAAAAATCATAAGAAAACAGTTTTCGTTCTAAACAATTCGGTTTATAACCGAAAAATATACGTAATATATAAAATATGAGCTAAAGATATATATATATATATAAAATGTACACAAAATATGTATATATATCTGCACAATTACAGATGCATCTATGTTAGTATGTAAAAATAAGGAAATATAATTAAAAATGTCCACGTAAAATGCACTGCATGCCTGATGATGCTGATTGTCAAACTATGACAAAATAATTTAAATCACGAAAAATAACGGTAAATATAAAGTTAAAAGCTTAATTAATAAATATTACCTCCACTTGAGCATTGGTAAAGATTCAAATCAAAACGTGCGCAATAACTATTTTATTGAGAGTTAAAATTGAAAACGTGCTCTATGTATGCAATGTGAGCAAGTAGTTAATTAAACTAGGGTTAAATAATTTTTTGTGTTGCCAGGCCTGGCAGAAGAAATTTATCGGGTGCCCCAATCCACAGATTGGAGTCAATTCGAAACGCTCCTCATGGATGGGATTAGATCCGTTCCTGCTTCTGTCAGAACGGTGATGGATATCGAACTGGCCAGCGAGGCCCTGACGGCGGCTATTACTAATGCCTATCACGGGAGCTGCCGTGCTAAGCCGAGGCGAAGCAATAGGAAGTGCCCGTGGTGGAATGAGGAGCTTTCAAGGCTTAGACTAAAGACCAGGAAGCTATTCAATAAGGCCAAAGCGTCGGGTTCGTGGGAAGAGTATAAGGACTCACTCACAAAATACAATAAAGAAATTAGGAAAGCGAAGAGAATCTCGTGGAGGGCGTTCTGCAAGGGCATTGATGAACTCCCCAGCAGTGCGCGTCTTCACAGGGTGCTTTCCAAAAAGTATGCTAGCAGGTTGGGCCTAATGGAACGTCCTGATGGCTCTATGACTGAGAACGGAAGGCAGACGTTGGAGCTTATGGCGTCAACGCACTTTCCTGACTCGGAGATTCTTCGGAATCACTCAAATGCAGTCATTGAACCGGGGGCACCCTGTCCCAGGAGGGATGACTGGCAACGATCCCGTCAAGTCTTCACGATGGGCAGGATTAGATGGGCTGTTTTCTCTTTCAGGCCCTTCAAATCTCCAGGTGATGACGGGATATATCCTGCATTTTTGCAGAGGGGTTTCCAACATATCGCTAGAGCACTGTTGGGAATTTTTCGCGCCAGCTATGCGTGGGGTTACGTCCCTCAGGCATGGAGGGTGGCTAAAGTGACGTATATTCCGAAGGTGGGTAAGCGACCAAGCAACCACCCAAGGTCTTTCCGTCCAATCAGCCTTACTTCTTTTCTATTGAAAGCAATGGAAAAAGTGATTGATAGATTTATACGGGACGGTGCACTGGGAAGCAATCCCTTGCATGAATCTCAATACGCCTATCAGTCGGGAAGGTCTACTGTACTCGCTCTGCAGGGTCTGGTGGGGGTCCTTGAAAACTCACTGGAGGTGCGGGAGGTAGCAGTTGGCTGCTTCCTTGATATAGAGGGAGCTTTTGACAACACCCCATATCATGTCATCTGTGAGTCGTTGCACAAACGAGGGATTGATGCGACGACTAGCAGATGGGTCAATCGGATGCTACAGGATAGGATTATTAAGTCCACCATAGCTGACGATATACTCTTCATCTCCGCTGCAAAAGGATGTCCGCAGGGCGGGGTTCTTTCGCCCCTCCTGTGGTCCATTGTAGTGGATGATCTAATAGCTGCTCTCAGGGGCTCCGGGGCGCGTGTCTGGGGATACGCTGACGATGTGGCCTTCGTCGTGCGGGGAAAATTTGAGAGCACTATTTCTGATCTTCTACAGCAAAATTTACGTGTTGTGGAAAGGTGGTGCAAAGGCGTTGAGTTAAATATAAATCCAAGCAAGAGCACTTTGGTCGCCTTCACCAGACGCAGAAGCAGGGACAGATTAACGAGCCCAATTCTGTTTGGTGAACGTATTAGTTACTCGAGGGAGGTGAAGTATCTGGGGGTAACCCTGGATGATCGTCTCTCTTGGAATACCCATATCGATAGAGTTATCGGGAGAGCTACGGCGGCCTTGTGGACGTGTAGGAGTTTCATCGGGGGGACCTGGGGAATTAGTCCCAGAATAGCACTGTGGCTATATACGGCCCTTGCTAGGCCCATCGTCACCTATGCGTCGATTGTATGGTGCCGTAAGGCTCAGCGGGCGGGTGTGCGGGCCAAGCTGGAAAAGCTACAGAGGCTGGCCTGCCTGGGAGTGACCGGGGCGATGCGGACGGCTCCCACCGCTGCATTGGAGGTGATGATCGGATTGCCGCCACTGCACCTCCATATATTGAAGGAAGCTCGGCTGGTGACTTACCGACTTCTCTCTGGCGAGGACGGGGCAGGGCTAAAGTTGGCCCACAGAACTCACAGAGACTTCATTGAGGGCGATCCGATTCTTAGGATAACCATGTCAGATACCTGTCTGCCGCGGTACAACTTCGACCACAAGTACAGGGTTCTGTTTCCTGATCGATGGACGTGGGATCGGGGTGGTCCGGTACTTAGGTCGGGTTCGAGCGTGTGGTATGCGGACGGGTCTAAAACGGGGTCGGGGGTGGGCTCGGGCGTATACGGTGTCCGCCCGGACACGCGTGTATATGCAACCCTTGACCCGTATTGCACAGTGTTCCAGGCCGAAATACATGCAATAGAAATCTGTCTGAGAATCAATTTGGAAAGGGGGTATAGAAACCGCACCATCTATGTGTTCTCAGACAGCAGGGCTGCGCTGCTGGCGCTCCGTTCAGCTCAGGTTACATCCAAGCTGGTCTGGAGCTGCCTTGCTGCACTTATGGAATTGGCATCGGAAAACAGAGTGATGCTCATTTGGGTGCCGGGCCATAGTGGCCATGCGGGCAACGAAGTTGCCGATGAGTTGGCGCGGAGGGGATCTGGGGCTGCCTTTGTGCAGCCGCTGCCTTTCTGTGGTCTGCCTTCTTCCGCCGTGGGGGCCAGGCTTGCCTGCCTACTCGCGGCGGAATGCAGTCGTCACTGGCGGGACACGAAAGGGTGCCGTCATGCGAAGGTGTTTGTTCCGGCGTGCTCCGGTGGATTCGCTGCGGAGTTGCTGGGGATGAGCAGGAGCCGGGTTCGCACTATTGCGAATTTCTTCACGGGGCATTGCCCGGTGAAATACCACCTGCACAGGCTGGGGAAGTCGGGCTCCCCCCTGTGCAGATTTTGTGGGGGTGGCGATGAGACCGCCGTGCACATTCTCTGCGACTGTCCGGCACTGGCTGTTCGGCGCCGCAATTGTCTTGGACATGGGTCCCTAAGTGTTCGGGAACTATTGTCCAACTCCCTTAGGGATATCGCCGGCTTTGTGATTGGGACGGGGATATTATAGACGGGAGAGTGGGGTGGCTACAATAAGTCAAAAATGGCTGCGGTGGCTTGGGGGGATGCTCCTGTCCCACTCGGTTCCCTTAGAATCTACGAATCTACGAATCTGTGTTGCCATTATATTTGCGAAAAAAATGTGCTTTTTCAAAGACCATTTGGATCTAACCAACTGTTTTTTCTAATTGCAATAAAAAATGAATTAGCTTAATTAAAGATAAGAAAATTAATTCATTACTTGTAATTATAGATTATTTGACTGTTGACATCTTTATTTAAACGACCATTTTTGAGATAAGAAATAAGTAATAAAAAGCTTCGATAATTTATTTGAACTTGAATTATGCTGTTTTGCATAAAACCTTACTCTTCCATTACCACAAAGAAATTCAAAATATTTTTGGTCAAATTTAAAAATTCAAATTTACTCACAATATCTTATTGTTCATTTCTATTAGTAATGCACTTACAGCATACAAATATGCTGATGTAAAGTTGAAAATATTTATAAAAATTAATTATATAGAAATTATCGTAAATTATAAGAAATGAAAAATTATAACTTAAATTTCAAGCGAATGTTTCTTATATTCTAAAAGACCACAAAACCTGCTATTATATAAAGCTAGGTTTGAATTTACTTTTTTAAGAACTCAAAAAACATTTTAATGTATGTTAAATGCTGGCAAACGATGTTACTTATAAATATCGAGACGTCATGATAAAAGCATTATAAATCTTAACGTACGTTGCCACCACAATTCATGACCATTTTACTTATTTAAAATTTTTTTTAAATATTTCAATTGCAAAAATTGCTTAATGGCAGGATATTTGTTATTTACAAAATTAAGCAGTTTACATGGCTGAAATAATACAAGGAAACGACAAAATTTTCCATATTATTCATTGAGAATCTTCCTACAGCTTTTAACTTTATATACAAATACAGAATTTACTAGAATGTACAAATGAATAACGACAACACTGCGATTATATGTACCTATTTTAAGTTTTACTTTTGTTCACCAATATTAAATGTCACTTAATTGCTAAATATGTTAAATTCAAAAAGTGTTTAAATATTTGCCAATACTTTGTAATTATTTACATTCAACTTCCTATAGTGGCTGAAATAATAATAACGAAATAATACAAATTTTGTAATTCATTAATTATTAAATGTATATCTATATATAACATATGTAGATATATATTCTATATAACATATATAGATATATATTTATTACCCATTAAAGCCAGAAATGTTATTGAGTCAGCTGAGTTTTTTTTATTGTTAAAATCAGAAATAATATCTGAGTTTATAGAATATTCATTTTAAACACGTGGAAAATATTATTTTATTATTTCTTAATAAATCAAAGCTTTTCTTTACACCAAATGAAGCGAAAACTCATTCATCTGTCTAATCTTAAAAGAGTAATAATTGTATAACAAAAAAAATTCATCATTAAATTCAAACTTTACTACTTAGCTTTGATTATAGCTTGACTATAAAAGTTGAATATATGAGTACACATACTTTATGATTTTAAATTGCTCTGTTCGTATTAAAAAGATTTAAACAACAAAAAATTAATAGTGAAAAAAAATCTATTCAATATAAAAGTGTAGATAAGTTTGTATATACACATACATATATCTAGCAATGTAAACTTTCTTCATACATTACAATACAACTTGTCAATAAGATATTTTAATTTTATGGTTCAATCATGACCTAATGCAGCACTATAATTAAGTAAAAAGCACAACATGCTTTTAGTTAAAAAAATTACGTTTTCAGTAAATTGAATTTGTCAATTTACTGAAAATTCGACTGGAATTCTTAAAAATTTTTCTAATTTTTAAAAAATTATGATAAGGTTAACTTTTATAGTCAAATTGAAGGAGAAAGTAATAAATGACGCCAAAATAATTTTAAGCTGATCCTCTAAAACTATTATTATATGTGAGTACAATCTGATAATTGAGCTATAGTTTAACTGAAAATCACAAATATACCATTCTAGGAGGAAATGATTTGTTTCTATAATTTCCTGCGTTTATAAATTTCATTCACTATATGAATTATTATACGTTTTATATTATTTCTTTGATTCTCATTAAAAGACTTACCTGTCAGCTAAAAACCCAGATATAGCGGTACCTACTACTAGTCCAGCAAAATGACATGTTCCCACCAATGCTAATTTCCAAGCATTTTCTTTACATGTAATTTCCCACTACCAAAAAAAAATACAGAAGAATTCTCTATAAAAGATTATAATAAAAATGTCAATAGAAAAGTTTAATTTCATATAACAATACAATAATTTTATTTTATTATTATAAAGTAAAACGTGACAGAAACGATAAATTTCAATAAACTTTAATTAAACGTTATTTTTACAATTTTTTGTAATTTTAGAAAAAGGGACAATTTTTCTTACCTCATTCAAAATAGTACTTTCATTTGGATCGTAAATCCACTGATTACAAGTTTCTACGTCATTTATTAGAAACCAATCAGACGGACATGTTGTGTGATTTTGTGTATTGGTTTTATTATCTTTTATTTTAAATCTACTACACGAATCTGGTATAAAATATCCATCTGAGTCTTTATATCCTGGTACAGCGTTTTCCATCCAGTCAACGTCATATACATTTGAGTCTATTAAATTATCACATTCAGGTATAAAACACCTGTTATTAAAAAAGGAACGAAAAAAATAATCATTTGTTTATATGAAGTATATGTTTATATATATTAATATATGTATGTACAAAGCAATTTTAAAACCAATATTATTATGTTCCTGCTTGTAAGACAAAATACCCAATTGTATTTTTGTTTTTATTTCGACTCAGCAGTGTGTATGCCAATTGCACATTATGTTTTTAACAACGCAGATATAAAAGCATATATCTCTTCTAAAATTTCTTTCACCTTTACAAGAAAAACTAAATTCTATAAAAAAATCACTTTTTTTAAACAGTTTTTCACTAATGCCTTATAACTGAAAAAAACGTATATAAGAAAGAACATGAGTGCCAAAAATCGGAACTTTGGATATAAATTTGTCGCCTTAAAAATTTCTGTAAATATAATAATGATAGTCTGTAGATATAATAATGAGACCCGCTTTTACGATATTTTATTATTAAAACATCAATATGCAGCAGTTTACATGGCCTCAAGACTATGTTTTATATTTCTTGAAAACATGCAAAAGTTTATTACATGACTCCTCCATTTTTTAATTTGTTCATTAGTAATTTTGACTTTATCTAGGACCAATATTATAAACTTTACTATTTAAGAGTCATATACATACATTTCAACATTTTAAATTTGACAATGATTTTAAACACATACCTATGTATGCAAAAGGCTTTTGAACTTAGTTAAATTTTATATCCAAGGTTGTAATTTAATAATATTCTTACATGTTTTTCGATAAAAAATATGTCACGAGTTGGAATTGAAATTCAGTCATGTTTGTTTATTAAAAACATTTGAAGGAATTTCTATGTATGCAGAGTCTAACAATGGAGAACTATATTATTATTATATGTGAATACATCTTATAAAGTACATATTCTGTTAATAAAGTACATAATCTCTTAATAAGAAAACTTCAAGGATTTTCAATGGAATTATTACATTTTGCAAAAGGAAACAACCACACGTTATAAGAGTACAGCCATCTCTTGACTTTTGTGTATAATTTTAAATATAAAAGCATTTGATTTCAATATTTTTGACTTTAATTCATTAGTTTCCCGATATAAATGTGTATATTAATAAAATCCTTTTGAAAATTAAACAGGATAAATTAGAAATCCCTATGCAAAATTATTTCAAATTGATTACTTGATAGATGATTTCAACAAAGCAAACTTAACAACAATATAACAAAAAAAAACAAAACTCATCATCTCAAACTGAGAAGAAAATCAGTTTGATTCAGAAACTTTGATAAACTGCGTTTGTAGTACGCAATATATATTAGCAAAAATAAAAGTTTTTTATTTCGAAAAAAAAGGGAGTTTGTAGTGAAAAAACGAAACTCACCTATAATTTATATTACCAGCTGTAAAAACATAACTCAAACTATTTGCAGCCGCAAACATTACCGGTAAACATATTAAAAAATAATTTGTTTTCTGGTAACGACCAAATTCTCCAATTTCATCCAAAATTTTATCAAAATCCATTGTTATATCTTTATAAACATTTATGAATTCAAATTCTTTCTTATTTTTTCCTCAGTTTGATACCACCCTTATCTTCTATATGATTTAGTTTTTTAGATATTTAAATGTTAGCCCAAAGTACTTTGTATACCTACTGTAAGAAATATATCCACAAATTTTAGTTTCGGTTTGCTAAATCACCCAAAATCTAAATTATTACCATCAATTTCAAGAAATATATTATGGTAATAAGAATTCTATAAGCTAGAAAAAACAAAATATGGTAAACAAACCGGCGTAACAAAAATAATTAACCCAAATAAAACAGAATCAAAACAAAGAAAAATTTCTCAAGATATTTGTACACCGTATATGATTTACATATATGATTTACGTATATAAAAAACATTAAATGCAAATTAGTATAGAATTAATCGTAGCTTTGAATAAACTCTAGTACCTTACAAGAAGAATTTAAAATTCAATTTATTTTTAAACTTTTTTTTTTCATTTTTTCAATTTTTTTTATGAGGGTTAATCACATTTCTTTACAATTTTCCATAACGTGCGATAGATTTTTGTTTAAATACTCGTATTAATACAGATAACATTGATTTTGTGAAAAATAAATAAATATGTAAGTATTTTTAAATGTTTCGAAAAATTAAATGCCCAAAGGTCAAAAAAATATTGATTTTTTTTATTTATTTAAATAAAATTGAATAATTTTTAAAGACTTTATTCATGTACGTTATTGGAGAATTGTTTTTAATACTCCTTTATTTAATTCTGGTATTTCTTGGTAAGTAAACGCGATTGAAGTAAAGCAAAAAAAATTTTTAAAGTCTAATTTTAATTTATTCATTAACAAAATTCAATTAAATTTCATAAAATTATGAAATATATATTTTCTTTTTGTTAAAACAGTTTCAAATTATTTAAATTAATATTTATATAAAATTTATAATTACATACATATATTTATGTACGTATAATATTAATATTATTTTGTAATTTCAAATGTTCAAATAAAAAGAGGAGAAAGCGCTTAATTGCACCAAAACCATAACAACAGTTTCTTTTATAGAACATCAACTTTGAATTTAATGTTCATACATTAGATTTTCAAATTTAAATTTAAACACTTTGAATTTATCATAGTTATGTTACATAAATTTGATAAGTATGTAAAAACATAAACTTTTTCATATAATTTGAGGATATCGTTTCTAATATCTTTGAATTTTATTTTCGCATAATCATAAGTTCTATTCATAACTTTTTTTACTTATAATTTTCTATAAATAAATTTTATTCCAAAGTTCTACACAATATTAATATTTAATTTTCAATTTAATTTTCATTTGATTATTTGTTTATCTATCATACTCATAAATGTTTTATTAATAAAGCACAGCAATGTTTTCCGTAAAATGTGCTGTTGAATACTGAACAAAAATTTTTCTCTTGATATTTTCTTACAGATAAAATAGAGTTCTAAAAAATTTTATCTCGTATTATAATGATTAATAATAGCAAAATATGTTTTTATTTTCTCACCGATAAAAAAAAATTATTTATCTTTATAGTATTGTTTTGTCGTAATTGAAAGGTGATTGAGCAAATGAGAACAATGAAAATTTGAGAATGTTGCACATTTTTTAGTACTACCTACTATTGATTGTTGACATGCAAATGAAAAATATGGAAAGTAAAAAAAATTTAGAGTAAATTAAATGAAGAGAATTGAACAAAAAAAAATATTTATTAACATTTTGATTTTAAATTACATACATATGCGATGATACTTTCTTATTAACATAATAAAAATTAAAATATTATGTTGAGTAAAATATTATGTTACATTCCTTTAAAACTATTAACACTATTATATGGAGAAAATATTGTAAAACTTTTATGGAACAGAATTCTAGATATATTTATTTGAATTTTGTAATCAATTCTCTAAATTTTTAGTTTCTGCCACATATTATAAACAAATTCTAAGAATATGCGCATAAAATTTCATATAATGACAATTTATTCTGACAATTCGTTAAGGTTCTTATACTGACAGTGTTGGTTGAAGTTTTATGAAACATCACTTTTATAATAGCCATCTCCTATATAAAATGTTTGCTTGTATTAAAGTCATTTAATAAAAATGTAATCGTTAATCGATTCATAAAACTTGTAATTTATAAAATAACACATTTTATTTTAACAACTTAAGCTACAGCTTGTATTTGAATTATTCATTGATATAATTCTGTAAATTTTGCATAAATTTAGGACAAATTTTAGAGTAGAATATTTTTCAGAAAAGTATAAGAAAGAAATTTTGCTCTTGTATCAAAAATTTGCTGGCTCTTTAATTGAAAAATATTTATCGCTTGCAATATTCCATTAATTTTAATTTAAAACGAGGGAAAATAGTAGTCAACTGTGTGATTCCCGTACAAATTTTTTATCCTATGTGCAAATACATATGTCATAGCTGACTATGGGACAGACTTTTAGTTTCCATATTACCATATTAATTTACGCAAAATTTCAGTATTTTCTAAGATATAGCCAAACTACTATTGAAGTTGTATGGCAGCTACCAGAAAGAGCTAAGCCAATTTTAACGAATTTTATCAAACACATTAGCCCCACTAATATATTTAATTGTGCGAAATTTCAATACCAAAGCTTTCACAGTTTCTAAGATATAGTCACATAAATTTTGATGTTGTACAGAATATTTAGCTTAATAATGAATTAATTTTATAATATTCATATACACATAATATATTTTAAAACTTCTATGGAGAAAAATGAAAAATATTAAACTTTTCTAAAATATACGAAATTTCTTCACGAGCTCTATCTGGAAAACTATGGCACAGATCAAATTGATTGTATGACCTAAGGTAACGAACAATCAATCGACTGTAAACTCCCCATAGTTACTCTATTTCGCATGGTCCTGAAGTTATAATCATTTATGTATTTATATTTTTGCAACAGGCTGCAGCTCGAAAACGAGTATATCTGCACCTCCCACCCATAAAAGGTGATTGAGCAAATGAGAACAGTGAAAATTTGAGAATGTTTCACATTTTTTAGTACTACCTACTATTGATTGTTGACATGCAAATGAAAAGTATGGAAAGTAAAAAAAATTGAGAGTAAATTAAATGAAGAGAATTGAACAAAAAAAAAATACATCTGGAAATACATCAAAAAATCATCCCTGAAATTATTGCTCACCTTATGCGAAACACCCTGACTACTCTTATACTATTATAGTTCCTAGAATTGATATTTTTTTGAGTTTTATGACAATTACTCGAACAACTGCTTCCATAAAATTCAAATTAAATAGTGTTCTTGTGGTAAATCATTTGGTAATTGGTAAAATGTTATTTAGTCTAGCTTAATGAGTTTCTAGTGATCGCTGGTAGAAACAGGCGGTCAGGCAGACAGATGGCAGGCTGACGAACAGACGGGCAGTCATACATGGCTTAATTTACTCAAAAATCAACACTAATCAATACGATAATTCTTAAGCGTTACAAACATAAAAATAAAACTATAACACCCTTCGACACATTGCTTCATACGGGTTTAATGTAAACTTTAAATATTTATCATTTGAAAAAATTAAGTTATTATTTTTAATTAACTAATGTTAAGTAGAATGAGTTGATTTTTTTAAATTGAATGATTTTCTATAATTTAGATTTGTTCGAAAAAAAATGTTAAACAGTGAAATTTTTTTCAATTTTTAAGTTTAATTCCTAAGACAATCAAAATTATTTTGAAATTATTATCTAATTGTTTGACCGTTAAAAATAGCAATATTTTTGCTTACTGAATTATACACGTAATTTGAATTTCATATAGCAAGAATGCTATTTTTGTGGGAAATGATCGTCAACTGGATGGTGGGAACAATTACTTGCGATTTTTTCTTTATAGAAATTTGAAATAGCTTACAACAAATTTTGCGAAGCGATAACTTCGAAAGTGAATTTACGTGTAAAAAAATGTTGCTCCGACAAAGTAAATGTCACAACTATTAGAAAAAACTATCTGATTTTATTATAATTTTGTAATTATATATTTTTTATAATTATTCATATTAAGTTAAATAATTTTAAAAAATAACGGAAATAGTCGAATAAATAAAGTCGATCTAGTGGAATACGAACATAATTTTTACACAAAAATAATTTTTCCTTTATAAAAAAATATTAAATACGTCGGTACAAATTTACTTGCAAAATAAGTATGTATAAAAATTGCACCATAGTTCCTACTAAATAAAATTATTTGTCCTCTGGTCTTTTTACTGGTAGTCCGACGATGTGTCTATACCTAGCCATCTGTTAATGAGTTTGCCAGAATATTTTACGGTAATGTTTTAGGACAATTATACATACATATGTATGTACACGTATGTACGTACACTTGTACGTCTGTGGTACAAAAAAATACCACTTAAAATAATTTATCACAAAATTAAACACTAGCAAAGTAAAGTTTCTAAATTTAAAATTACAAATAAAATTTGATTAAAATTTCATTAACTTTACTTGCAACCATTTAAACCTACACTTTATTTTGAAAAGACAATATACACATTATAATATTGACCTATAATTATCCATTTGCTACTTTTTAAATAAATTCTAGTTTTAAAAAAATTTGTTGATTAAATTATTTTTTTTATTTAAGCAGTTTCTCCTCATGATCACAGATATAAATATGCATAGGTGATTAATACAATGAGTAAAAGTTTGTAGGCTTATCTTATCATTCTATATTCTGTAAAACTAAGATAACGAAGAACTCATACAACTACATACCCCAATAATAAATTTCATTATTACAAAAATCTAAAATTTTAAACAGTTATGCAGACAATAGTATAAAGTTTTCGTATGAATAAATAACTTTAAATTAAAAGAATCGATTCTGAAAAGAAATGTTTTTTAAGAAGAAAACAAAAGATAAGCTTTCGGAAACGTTGACTCCTTCCGTTAGTCAAAAACAACAATTTAGTTCTTTTGAAATTAATAAAAAACAAATTTTATCTTCGTCAACATCCAATTATACAAGTACAGAAACACACATAATTCACAAATTCACAAATAAAAGTTGTCGAAATGAAACGAAATCCGAAATATTTTCAAATTGTGAAGTTTGGAAAAATGTCAAACCACAAACTATTAATAGTGACGGATTTTTTGATGCAGGCAATTTTTCTTTAAGCAAAACAAATTCAAAACAATTTGAATCACCATTACAAAAATATATGAACGATAAAAAAGAAATTAAGAAGCCTGCAATAAACACATTTAATCAAGGTAATTATAACAATTCTTTACTAATAAAGACAACCGAAAACCTGCAAACACCACTTGTAAAACAACCGGTTTTAAGTGTACCAAAGCAAACAATTTCTTTATCATCAACATTTCCTTCATCATCATCAACTGCGTCCTCTTATGTATCACCATACAAAAGGCCATCGTTACTAAATAAGGACGACACAAAAACTAAAAATCCATCTAAAGAAACATTTTTCAAATTTTCTACGCCATCAAACTCAAAATCGAAACAATGGAATTTTTCACCTAATTCGACTTTTGAAAACAATAATAATGGAAGAACGTCTACAACTTCTTTACAAAACAGTAAATTGGTTCCTTTAACAAAAATTAATTCAGGAATAAATATCTTAAAAGAGATTCCAAATACTTCTTCAATGATTTCAAATTCAAAACTAAAGAAACTTGGTCCTGGCGTTTTGTATATTTTTCATCATGATATATTTAAAGATTCTAGTACAAAATATAGAGAAGGAAGTCAACATGATGTTCAAATATTGAAAAAAACCTTTACAAAATTTAATGTCAAAAATTTTGTATATGAGAATTATACAGTTAGTAATATACAAAAAATCATGAAAAGAGGTTGGTATTAAATTAATTTAATTTTTTTTTACAACTTACTATCAAATTACTTCAAATTATCTGAATTTCTTTTAGTTTCAAATCAAAATTTCAAAAAGAATTCTTGTATTGTATTTGCAATACTATCACATGGTAATCGTATGGATCAAATAGCTGCATATGATGGCAATTATTCTATTAACGATGACATATTATTTCAAGTTATAAAAAATGAAGACTTAAGGGGAAAACCCAAAATATTAATTGTTCAAGCATGTAAAGGTTCATTCGATATAAGGAATTTTGACACAGATGAAGCAGATAGTAATACTCATGGAAAAGTTAATCCCGGTGTGCCAGACGAAATTTATAAATTTTATAGTACATGTGAAGGTAACAAAATTATAAATAATTGAGTTCTAATGCATTAGTTTATTTATAAAGTTGTCTTTGATTTAGATATTCTCTAATAGTACTGATTCTTATAATACCTTAAGTACACTACATGAAATTTCAATAAAAATTTGTAAAAACAATAATATAACCCAAATTTAACTTTATTTTTAACGCTAAATTAAAATCTTGAAAGAGAGAAAAAAACCAAACTCACAAGAAAACATTTATAAAAATTTATAAAAAATTTTATTTTGAAACTCATTCCAGGCTTTGTATCTTTTCGTAATTCAACTGGATCAGTTTTTATTCAACAATTTTGTTCGGCTCTAGAAAACTATGGAGAGAAAAAAAATATTAAGGAAATCATGGAATTAACTATACAGAAAGTAAAAGATCAAACAGGGTAATTACAACAATAAATTTATTAGCAAAGTTTACAGTAGTATTAATCCTTCTTAATTTTAGAAACAAACAAATACCGTCAATGTGTGTTAACAACACAGTTCCTTATATCTTTGGAGATTACAAATAGTTTAATTTATAGTTTAAAAAAATTAAGTAATAAAAGACATAATTAAAAATTGGAAGTAATTACATACTTTTATTTTAAGTTTTACAATTCTAATATAAATTTTCCATATCACTAAATGCAATCTAATATTTGACATAAATAATAATTCGACATATCGTTTTATAGAGTATGAAACTTTTATATATTAAATATTATTCAAAAGAATTATTGTTCTTAGTGCAGAACTGCAAATTCCGAAATTGGTTTTTGCAAAAATAATAAAATCTCTTTGAATAATATTCCATTATCTCAAGCGAATATAGGTGAATGCCTAGTTTCCGATATGTAAATTTGTAAATCTCTCATATGTGTATAAAAAATTGTGATATAATCTAATAATTTCTTCCAGGTTCTTTCATCTAATTACACTTAAATACGACGGTGTATGTGTATTATATATATGTATCAGCTCATTACATCTAACCGCATTGTCAAAGTGTTGCATAAGTTTCCTTAAACATTTATTTCAAATTCTCTGAAAAATAGAAAGCAATCTTTGTTTGATATACCTAGAAAAATGCAGATTTGGTTCTTAAAAGAAGCTTATTTTCCGTGATCCGATTTCCCTCCAAAGTCTCCAAGTTAATTTAGCAAAGTTTTCCTTAGTGAAAATTCTGATATTTTCAGATTTTAAATATGAAATTTCAATGATTGTGATTATTTCCCTGTATATGAGCAAAAATGTAAATTTAGTCCTCAGTAAATCACTTGCTAACATCTGATTTCCTCATAAATTTAGATAACTTATAGTGCCTGTTAGAGCTTATATATACAATTTCATGAAAATCCCGCGATTATTTTCTTATAGTTTATAGCGCGAGTATTTTTAAAATAGTTAAAAACGCAAAATCGACCTGTAGTAGATCACCGAAGGACAGTCAGTGATCTCTTTAAAAATATTTTATTTACGCTTCCGTAACGAAAAAAAAAACGAAAAAAAAAAAAACAATTATAACGTTACACATTTCGGTATTTAACGGTTTAAAAAAAATCGTTGCGTTATTCCGTTACATAATGATAAACGAAATTCCTTACGTTATGGTATAACGTTATAACCAAATAAAAAACTAATGAGCGTTCCAGAGACAAAGTTTCTATTTCATATATTTCCCACGTAGCTACTACTTTTATCTTTTTTCATTACAAGGTGAATATTTCTATTTTCATCTTTAGTTTTCTAGATTTGTGTTAGATAAATTTTTTGCATTAGTCGTCGAAAAATTAATTAAAATAAAAAGAAAATTTTTAAATATACAAAGCATAGTAAGTTTACTATGCTTTGTAAGTAAGTTTACTTAGTAAGTAAGCATAGTAATTTTGCTTATTAAAAAATAAAAAAAAGGGAAAAATATAAATTTATTTCTTCGCTTTCGTTACGTTTTTAGTTGTTATAACATTATTTTAATTTTATAACGTTACATAACGTAATAGTGCAAAATGATTTCGTTATTCTGTTACGTTACGAATAACGTTTTCTATCATTGAACCCAATTGATTGATTGAGGCCAACCAAATAGTGATTGGTTTCTTAGGCAGGTCAAAAATTTACAGGAAATTACAATTGCACAAGAAACTTAGAACTTTGGTTACCTCAGTTTTCACAAACTGAAGCGTTTTGAACACACATATATCTTAGAAATAACCGATTTCTCAAACAAATATTTTGCAAAAAAATGGATTAAAATGAACTTTCCTATCAATTTAATTAAAAGAAACTAATTAAAATATGAACGGTGTCTATACCAGGAACCAACGCACAACTGCACAAATCGTCTACACATTTGCTCGAGATAGTGTAGTTGTGCTCATTTTTGGTTACTCAAAAGTAGTTTGAACACGTACATGGAACGCAAATATTGAACTGTATTTTGTATTGAACGTTTTTACCTTAATGGTACGCAGCATGAAAATTTCGTTTAAACGCAGTGTTTCGCATAATGTGGCAAATAATTTCAGGGATGAATTTGTGGCAAACTTTGAGAGAAAGAGGAAAATGTTATATGAGTTAACTTTCAGCCCTAATCGTGGCGCATCGAAAAAAAAAAACAAAAAAGCAAAACAAATAATACTAAAAATTTTCGAGAAATTTCGAGTTTTGTAAAAAAATTTAAAAAAAATTCTAACTTTGAAAATCAAATTAATTGTAAGACTAAAAATAAACAACAATCCATCACCTGTAAAACAAGCTCCTAATGATAACTCTATGTTGTATGGTTTCGAAGTTATAAGCATTTATTTATATTAGGAGTCCGGTATCTTTTTTGCAACAGGCTGTAGCTCGAAAACGAGTATATCTGGCCTCCTCCCCCCCCCCCCCCCATATAATTTTTTGCTGGAAACTCATCAAAGAATCATCCCTGAAATTATTTGCCACCTTATGTTAAATACCCTGTATAATCTTTACAAAATTAATTGCAGTAACTGAACAATGTTTGAAATTCAATTATCACAATTACAATTATTGGTATTACTATTACTGACTTTTCAAAATTTAATATATTTTAAAAATAAAAAATAAAACCTTGATTATACAAACTTTCTTTACTTTCATCATCATACCATATTTCAAGATTACATGTATTGTACATGTTTAGAAAGAAAAAATTTTTTTTTATTTCTAAATATTTATATCGAAGATTTTTTAATTTGTGTACATGGTAGGAAATCTGGAAGCATAAAATATTTATATACGTTACATATTAATGAATATTTTTATTCATATACGTGCATTACTTTTAAAATAAGGAAATGAGGGGTAATTTTCAAGAATGTTTAATAATTTTTTTTAAATATTTACTTTTCAATTATTTTAATTTATTAATTCTAATTATAAGTTTTTTGTTAATTTTTTTTCCACAAAACGCTGCTCATTGCAAAAATAAAAATAGTGCTATAATGATGACAAAGGAATGTCATCTTAAAAATACAAAATTTTTTTGCTGCATTAATTTCCTTAATAAAATTACCTCCTTTTATTTATCTCCCCCTTCTAAAAGTGATGATCCCTCAATAATAAACTTTAATGGACTTTTTTTTATTAAGAAACCACAAATATTTTTCAAATTTTACAAACGCAAAAAAAATGTAGCTGACTAGTCCTACCATGGCACGGCATAATTGAATATTAAAGACACAAAATGGCTATTAAATTAAGCATTATCGAAAAATCGTTCCTGCAAATTTTTGATACCGTTTTTCTTCTATACAATACTTTGTAGGAGTTTGAAATTTTAGCATCTTTTGATACTAATAAATAGTTTATTTCGTTAGAAGAATTTTTTTCCATTCCCACCCCCTTCAAGCCTCCACCATTTCAAGTTATCGCCTCAAATGCTAGTTACACCTCAGCAGTGGCGACTAGGTTGCTTCCTAGGGACAACAGGTAACTGATGCGACTTAATGTTAAGGTAGTGTGAGCTTCCATCTCGGTTTCTGAAAGGTTGGGATCAAACAAACCACTAACGAGATCCTTCCGACGCTCACGCAATGTCGGTTGTACAAGTGGTTTGTCCCGATAATTTGGGATAACTCTGTCAGAACGGACCGTAATTTCGAACAAACGTCGGCAAGAATCAGTCGGTAGTCGGAGGACGAGATACCGATCTCCAGTCAGCAGACTGTTAAATCTTCATGTTCCAACAACGATGCGGACCAAATTCTTAAGAAGAGGCCCTCTAAGGCCAACTATTTCTCGATTGAGATTTCTCGAAATGAATTATACAGAAAGTTGTCCAACCCCAAATCGTCGACAGAGCTCTGGTGTATGGTAGAGGCCAAGCTATCAAAGAAGGTAGTGGAACATCTGATAACCCCCAAAGATAAGGATGTCCTGAACTTTCCGACCTTGGAGGTTACAAGGTGATCAAATACGAAGGCAGGCTCTCCGCGTATTTTCTCAATTCGTGCTCTCCGCTGAGGAGATAATCTGCTAAATTGAAGGCAATAACCAGCTGAAGGTGTTAAAGATTGCGAATCTGGGGGTTCCGATGAACGGGTGGCAGGTCATCAAGAAGGAGGAACCCCACAAGAAAGGCTACTCCTTTCTACACCATATGTAAATAAGATATGCGAAACTAAAAATCTTCCGCAATACAAACTCCGAAGGGGACGCTGTTGAGAAGACAAGCCAGCTGCTTGAACAGAGGAGAGTGGCTGAGAGAGCCGATTTCGAAAATGAGGAAACCCGAACTAACACGCGAAATGCGCCTTAACCTCTTTTACAAACTATTAGAATATGAGAGACATGCATTTTGGTTAAAAAAACACATTAAATCATTTCTTTACTCTAATTTAAGCACCGAGGGTTTGACGGTGGAAAAGTTAGAAATAGCAAATAGGGGCAACACTGCCGGTTTTTTTTTTTCTTAGTAACACTTAAAACAACTGTTTAATCAAGAACTGGATACTCTTCGATAAGAGGCTCTTTCGGAACATGGTTGGATCCTCTTCACTATGGGGTTCGACACTAAATCTGCCTTATCATATAGGAAACCAAGGAGAACGAATGGGGTTAAATTTATGGCTATCGTTCGTCCCTGGTAGACTACATTTCCATTTTGTGGAGATTAGTATCGAAGAAGCACTCTAATATTTTTTTTCTTAAAGATATTGATGGGACCGACACGTCCATAGAGACCATAAACTTATTTGCATGTGCAGACGACTTTGGTAACCTGGTTTCAGGGCCCAACTTTCGAACGATCAGCAGTGTCTTGAAGGGATCGTTGACCGGAGCAAGCTCTTGGGCCGAAGAATGTAGACTAGGAGGGAAACCGGCAAAAACGGAGCTAGTATTTTTGAGGACAAAACCCAGAATTTCAGACTACTGGCTGCTCAGCCGCTGGGAGGTGTGTCCCTTCGCTGTTTAACGAGTCCAACGATTAAGTACTTGGGTTTTGTGCTGGACTCAAAGCTTAACTGCAGGATTAACGTTGAAGAAAGGTGAGGAAGGCGTGCATGGCTCTCTACACCTGCAAGAAAATAGTTGAGAGGAGCTTGAAATTGAAACCCGGCCTGGTTATGCGCTTGTAAACAACAATAGTGAAAGCAATTCTTACCTAGGGAGGCAGAGGAAATACAACCGTACCAAGATAGATACGCTTTTGAATACGCTTTCGTATGCTCAATGACGGCCTGGCGATCACGGAGTAGTGTTAGCAAAACGGCACAATTTTGTTTATTGAGATGCGGTGGACCTGCTGAACCGGCCACGTCAACCAAATAACCAACCAATGGTGTACATGAACCGATGCTGAATATCTTCAATCTCGATGTCACTCGAAGATAAATTAGGTAACTAAATATTTTGATTTGCAAAAATACATACATGCTATGCCTCCAAATAGAGAGAAAAGATTCACACTAAACGTAATAATAAATAAATCCCTTGACTTAAGATTAAATCCCTTGACTTAAAAACGTCTAATTTATTAACACATTGAAACACATCATCTAGCCTATACTAAACGACTACCTAAGCATTTCTTGAGTTATTTGGTTTAAAACTTCTTACTTCCTAGAATGTTCGAAGGGATATTTTTATCTACGTTTTAGTGCGAAAGTTTTTAATACATGTACATATACACATCTTATCTTATCACAAAATATTAATAAAATCAATTCCATTCAATGTTTTTTGAAAAATTTTTAGTGCAGTTTTTACAGTAGATCGATTCTGTTAAAAAAAAAATAATAACTAAGCATGTCTAATAAAAATAATTTAGGAAATAAAGTTAAACTTGAAAAATGGGAACTTTTAAACCAGGCTCAAAAGTCAACATTGAATACATTAAATAATATAAGTGAACCAACATCTTCAAAATTTCACTTTCCAGAAGGAAAAGCAAATATTTTCAACGAAAGAATTACAGTTGAAAGATATCGTAACGAAACTACAAAAAAAACTGTTACAAAATGTGAAGTGACTACAAATAAAGAGTTTCATAAAACAATTAAAAAAATTGACAATGATTTAAACAATAATTTCTTCAATATCGGTGGAGAAAGATCTTGCTTAAATAAAGAAGAGATTCCGCCATCAAGCTGGTGTCATGATGATGCAAAAAATCAAAAGCCGACTTCTTCTCAATATAATTCAAATGCTTTATTAAAAAATTCAGCCACAACTACAAAACACGTTACGAAGCCAATTCTTAGCACTCCGAAGCAAACAATTACAAAACTTTTGAATTCGCCACCGTATTTGACTGAAAACCTTAACCAAGATTCCATAATCAATATAAGAAAAAACCGAAAAATTCCAGTGCCAATTCAACTTTCTGCGTCAACTTCAATAGAATTAGAAAAACTTAAAAAACCTGGAATTTTGCATATTTTCCATCATGATTATTTTAAAGATTTATCAAAGAGAATCGGAAGCAAAAAAGATGTTGAATTATTAGAAAGCACATTCAAAAAGTTTAAAGTAATTACTGAAACACATAATAACCTTAGTGCATTGGAGATCCAAAACATTATGGCAAATGGTAAATACAGATACATAAGTATGTACATATGTTCATACGTATAGATACATTCATAGATGAATCTTAATTCCTACGATAACGACCCATATTTTAGCAAAAACGATTTAGACAACATACTTAAAACCTTGATGCATGATATAATATTACAAAGTATATTGAACATACGTTAAGGTATAGAATATTGGAATTGAGCTTTCTTAAAGAGCTTACAAAATTTAGTTCTTTGATATAATTCTGTATTTTTTCGGCAACATTGTACATAAATATCCCTAAAATAAATACATCAACCTATATTGTATCCGTCGCAAACTACTTTTTTTCATTTTTATAGAATACCATGAAAAAAAAGAAACCTTGTCATACATATTTCAGTTTGAGGCATTTGAAATCCAATAAAACTGCCTTCGACGTTTTTTCATCTATTTAAAATTTCATTCAAAAAACATTTAATACGCTTCAAATACGTCTAAATAATTTTATTTAACCACAAATTATTTTTTACTTAATCAAAATCGAATAAAAAATTTCTAATGATTTCCGTCCCAGCTTCAGAATTCATTCCAGTAACGAATTGAAGTTTAACATATGCTTGATACCAATGAAAAATTAACAAAAGCATCGACAATCGAAACTTAATGATAAAGTTGTATATTTTATAGTAAAAAAAATAACTTAAAACTAAATAATAAACGTGTACATTTTATATTTTTCAATAACTATTTTTAATTAATTCTCTTACAGTTGAAAGGAAAAATTTTAGCAATCATTCATGCGTAGTATTTGCAATTTTATCTCACGGTGAACGAAATGATAAAGTATACGCCTCTGATGGAAAAGAATACTCTATTTATGATGATGTGATATTTCGTGTTATTAAGAATAAAACTTTATCAAACAAGCCTAAAATATTCCTTGTGCAGGCTTGTAAAGGATCGACTGACCCTAGGTCTTATCATACAGATGGATCGGAAGATAAATTTAATGGTATGCCAAGAGAAATTCTCATATTTTCCAGCACATTTGAAGGTAATTGTAATTTGTTTATAATTTTTTTTTCAGTTGCACCCATATATGTACAGTGAATGTTTTACTTTTATCTATCACAACTATATATTTTTTTAAATAAATATTTGATATGTCCAATTTTTATTTATCACGAAAGCGACCTGGTAACAAATTTCCTCTATTCCTCTATTTCCTCAATCCGATTTTCTTGAAACGATTTTCGTATTTGCAGAAATGGGAAGGTAATGCCATACAAATTGATTGGTACTTACGTTACCATTTTTCTGAATATGAAAATCAAATTACATACATAGTAAGGCCCCAGAACTAGTATTAAGTCCTTGTAGAGAAATTTGATTTGCATTTTTTAGGAAAAATATTATTTGTGTTTGGGAGGACTCAGAAGTTTTGGGTTAGTTTTGGAGGGTTATAGAAAATCAGATTGAAAAATTCTGTTTAACAAATATTTTCAGAACAATTTTGTAGCTGTTGATGTTGGAATAAAGTTCGCAACTTCTTTACGCAATTATTAGAACTACATAACGGTAATGTATATGGTTGATACCAAGTTTACCGTGCTCGAGTAATAGCTGCTTGAACATTAAATTAATTTAAATAATTTAAATTAATAAATATAAAACAAAAGTTGAATACCTCATAAAGGTTCTTTTTTTTATTAATTTTTTGATGCGATACATCATTTTCCGTAACTTAATCGTATACAACTTTCACGTCACACGTACCGGTTTTAAGGTACACTAGAGCATCGATTTATGTCCAGGTTAAGCTATTGAGGATGTTATAGCCAAGATTTTTCCAATCTGATTTTTTTTAAACTTAAGATTTTAAAAAACCTTCCGAGGGAGAGTATTGACATCAGTTGCGGACCACCCTGAATATTAAATAATAATTGTTCCTTTTTGTAAACACAAGGAATTATTTTGTTCTATTCAAATTTTATCCAACATTCTATAATAATTTTTGTTTAAAATTTTCGCACAAATGTAATACGCGAATGCAAAAAAAACTACTTAAGAGTCATCTCAGCATTCTCGAAATATTCTAGTGAACTTTTCTAATTCAAAGTTACACAAAAGATAACTTAACAGAATTTTATATGGCGTTCTTTGTTTGTGAAATACATTACTACTGTGGACCATATGGTAAATCTTACTATATAGGTTCAGTTGTATAGTAATACTAGAAAAAAATATTAAAGCAGTTATAATTTTCCAGGATTTGTTTCGTACAGAGATGTTAATGGAACTCCATTCATCAGAAAATTCTGTTCAGAATTTTCTCAGTTTGGTGATAGAAAGAACATTCATGACATTATGAATAATACCATAAAACTAATTCAAGATGAAACTAGGTATTTCACATGTAACATACATATAATAAATCTAATAAATCTATTGCAAAAAGGCAAAACTTTTTAAGTCGGTTTAGGACAAAGTCCATTTAATATTATATTTCAGAAAACTCCTGTATTAGAGCTATATTAATGCTAAATTTGGCTTATTTCCTCTGGCACTTTGGTAGTAGACAAGTAAAAATGGGAATTTTTTTTAAGAGATTTACACCAAATATTTTTTTAGAAAACGTACTAAACACACATGTGTATATGGTATCGAAATTATTACCTTATTTTTAAAAATGTTATTTACATATATAGCCGATATATATATGTGAAATAAAAAATTAAAGCAAAAGGAATTTGTAATTGTTTTTTATTTAGATTATTACATGAAATCAAAACAATGCTGTCTTGTGATTTATAAAAATATTTAGAAGACTTAGTTAAGAGGGAATAACAGTTTCTGGAAGGGGAGAATTGTATTAATATACAGTAAATATTTTTTTTAAATTACTATCTCTAACTTGAGCAGTTTTGCCTTTTTACAACGGAAATATTTCATTAACAAAAAAAAATGATAAATATATATTTCAGGGGCTTACAAATACCGACAATAACCCACACAATGACAGTACCTTATATTTTCGGAGATCATGTATAAAAATTGCAAATGGTTATTTAAAGTTAAAAAGCACACACTACGAAAACCAACTTTAATTAGGATTACTAAAGTAATCTAGCAATCCAGTTTTTGTTTTATTATTATAACGACTCCGCAATGAAAAAAGTCAATTCGGAATGAAAAACGATATTTAATGAGATAGAAGATCACTAAAACTTATTTCATAAATGTAACTGATATTTTGTATGTACTACTAATTAAAGTAATTAACAATAAAGACTTGCAATAGTTTCAAATTGTATTATTAAAATTTTAAATCCAATTGCACACTTATTTTAATATTATTTTATTATTTTTGTTATTAATTACTATTAGAATAATTAATTTATTATAAAATAATTGAATTATCCTTTTATGTTCTTTCAAATATTGTGCTAAAAATTCAGAATGTTTAAAGTTTTTTTTAAATTTGAACTTTTAATTTTTAATTAAAAATTGCAATAATTTAGCATTTAGAATTTTTCATTTGAAGAAAACCTTAAAATTTTTAAATAAAAATCCTTGATATCGTTTTGCATACAAAGTCGCATGGTCAGAATTGTAAAACAAAAGCTCATTCAAACTTTCTTTAATATTTTTATTTCTAATAAGTCCTAATGCTAAGAGTACTTGAAAGCATGGTCTTATTTTATATGGATTTTTTAAATCGTAATAATTATTTTTGAGAAGAAATAACAAAATAAATTCATACTTGTTATAAAGCAGGTAAAATTTTGAAGTTATATTTCAAATATCAATAAAATATAATTATATTTTCATTCACAATTATTTATAATTTTTAAAATACATGAAACAAAGCGGAAAAATTACAAACACAACATTCGCCTTCAACATTTTTTAAGGTACTAAAAAGTAGAAGCATTTCATTATTTTTAAGTGATGACTGAAGTGCTTTTCTTCTCATAGACTAAGTTTATTCAAAATATGAGAAGTGATTGTAGTGTCAATTTGAAAAAATAAAAATGAAAGAATGCTTATTATGACATTGATGTAAATTCACAGTACCGCCAAATGGATTAGCTCAAATATCTTTATTTTTATTTTTAAATAAAATCTTCAACTTGAAGATTCGATAAAAAACCCTTTGAGAAAAAGTTTAATGGAAAAAGGAAGAAGCCGAAATATCACAATTTTAATTCAAACCAAATCACACAACAAAACGAAAAATAATATGCTCAATAACATAATATCATATGCCGTATGCGCACTTAGTTAATGCGTCAAGTCGATTAATATTGAGTTAACTGCAAAGGAGAATATCGAATTTTTCTGCCGTGGAAGAAGCGTCACCATGTGTTACCACTATTAAATTGACTGCCTTGTAAACTTTGGAAAACATGGAAAAAAGTGTAAAAATTTCCAATTCTGAAAAACTTCAGTAGCATTTTTTTTTTATTCCTGCATCGCTCCCGGGAAGAGCATAGGGCTGGTGCGCGATACTGTTGATAATCATGAACACCAGTTTCTTACGTCATTGAGTTTTACTAGGTAGGTGACGAAACTATCGTAGTTTTATATTAAATATTTAAGGTTATTGATATTTACTATTTTATTTTTATGGTATTTTTAATATTGGATATTATTGAAATATAGCAATTAGTTAATATGTATAGTATCATGTAATTTGTATAAAGCTTATATAATATTGAATATAATTTTTATAGTGACCTGGCTGGGCTATCCGAGACCCTTCTGTTAAAGAACCAGTTCAATAGCCATTGCACCATTGGCGAGGCAAATTTAATTCAGTAGCATTAAAAAACTTTAATTCTGAAGATATTTTTGTACAAATTTAAAAATTGTAAAATCGTTTTTTGCAGTTTTGCAGAAAAATATCACCACAAAGCCTTCATTTTTCTTCATTTTTGAACTCGCAGTTTAAACTCTTGTGATCCCGCAACCAGAACTGAAAACGCGAGTTCAACCTATTTTTCCCCGACTTGCATTTTCTTAAATGGTATTTACATATACAAGCAGGTAAAGACTTTGTTCTCTCTTATTAATTTTTATTCAAACAAATGAAATATTTAGAGTTACATAACAAAATAATGTATAATTTAGATTGTTTTGGGACAATTCAGATTAAAACAGCTCTTATTAATTTTATTTAAAAAGTCGTTTTAAATCCATCATTCAAATCATAAATGGTAAAGCTAGCAAACCAAGAACTCCTTTTGCTATATATAGTGCCGAACCTCCTCCAGTAGCATTTGCCTTTAAAAAAATAAATATAGTTGTTATCTTCTTAAACATTGAAAAGGATATTTTCAAACTAGTTTTTATTTTTTTCATAATTTTTTATTAATTATGTACATACATATATGTACATAATTTATTATGACTTACCTTCAAAATATTGTACATTATTTCCTGCTTATTCCCGGTTACTAATTGTTCACGTTCATTATCAGCAGCACTATAAATATTCAAAAATTGAATCTTGAAAGAAAAAAATTAAATAAGAAAATCGTTTTCTATCCAAACAATTCCTAACATACCAAAATAATGAAAGCACAGAGAAAAATGGTTTTTTTATTCATTTTGAAAATAATGGCTTCTTTTTTTGTAATTAGTTTATTTTCTCCCTTTTGAAAGCTTTGATACGTCTTACTCTTCGAAACGACTGAATCAAATAATTTTTTTTTTATTAATTTTTTTCTATACGTTTCTTTACAGCCTACTTTGAAACAAAAATTTTACTAAATATAATTTTCATTGGAATCTTTTACTAAGTAAATTAAGCGAGTTCATAAATTTGATATTTACTTAAAAAGGAATAACTCCATACATACTTACATATATCATTTACTTGTCAGAAATTTAGTACATTACTACCGCAGCATCTTTACATTATAGGAGTTTATGGGTGTATCACGTTCACTACAGAACTAATTGATACTTAGCATGTTCGTATATACATATGCAATACATATTAGTTTTAAGAACCAATTGAATATAAACCCTTTTTAACAAGTAAGTTGAAGATTTTTTTGTAAGTGGTTATATCATATGATGGAATATCATATGGAAAAGAAAAAAGTACTGACTTTTTATTTACATAATATATTTATAAGGTTGTCACACAAAATTATGATTTAACCAAAAAAATCGTCTTTTTACTGCAATTAACTCTAAATTACATACATATGTAATTTTTAAAATTCGGCATAAAACTGTATTGTCTTTCATCTAATGTAGCTTGATTTACTCAATCACATGGCCCCATACTGCTCATAATTTACATTAGATTTTTACATTAGATTTACTGCATTCGATTTTTTTGTGCTACAATGTTTCATTGATTTTTTAAAAAAATTTCCATTTTAATTATGTAGTTTTTCAATAGGATGTATTTTTGAAACGATTCTATCGTTTTGATAAATCTAGATTTTGATAGATTGCCTTTAGGTTGCTACTGATGAATTCAAAAAACCTTTAAATTAAAGAACCAAAGATGACAAATGGCTGATAACTTTTCTAAAATAATATAATATGTATTTTGTTTTGAATAAAATATAAGTATCTACTTGAAGAAAGTTCCATATAACTTTTTTTGCAGTAATAGTAAACATTTCAAAAAGATACCACTTTTTTTATTTGCAAATAAATTTTTCAAAATTGTAATGGGATTTCTTTAGAAGTAAAGCAAGTTTTACAAATAACACCAGAAGTAACACCTTCCTTTGACTAAATAAAAACGGTAAGAACAAATTAAAGTTTTTTTCAAATTATTTAAAAGGTAAGAGCTAAAGCTAAGAGCTTGTTTCACGCCCTTAAAACGTCGTTGAACAATGACCGAGCTTTTCTAAAACTTTCAAAACGCACTTAATAACGTTTCTTTGAGACTCTCCTCGAAAATTTTGGGAGCACGACCACTTTGCTTTATGCGGGTTTTCGAAACAAGTCTAATCTAATAACTACTGATTTTCCCGTTTCGCAGCTGTTCTGTGTTAGGATTAGATATCATTCGCCATTGCAGTATACTGTTTTTATTATGTTTTTACCATTATGTAAGTAAACCGAAATTCACATTTATGTGTACGTATGTATGTATGTACAAACATAGTTACAGTACAGGTTATAACACTTTCCACGTGCTGAAATTTAAGAAAAAAAATAAACACTCTAACTTTAAAAAATAATTTAGAATTTTAATTTTAGAAAATTATAATAGATTACAATTAGTTATTTTAATTAAAAGCTACCAAGTTAGTCGTGTAACATGGTCCGTTTTACGTTTAGAAGTTTTAATGTAACCTAAAAACTGTAATTCCGCAACAGCTCTTGTAAAACTTGCTCTGAAAAAATAAAATGTCAATTTACCTTTCTTTGCCAGTTTGTTAATTTTACTTACTGAATCTTTGGATCAATTTGTTGATCATTATCATCTTCTTGATAATCGGTAATTGACCGAAATGCCTGTAACCAATCATACAAATTTATAAGTTTACCACATTCCAAATGCAATTTGTAGGCAATTGAAATGTCAGGTAATGTGTTCTTTATAGTTTGCGGCAAGTCCAATTCACAGCAGTCGCATTGTAAATAAAAATTTGGATCATTTAGCGCAGTATGCAATGAACCCCGTGGACTTCCCATAACATGCCTACGAATTGATGTTAAATCAGAAAAGGTAAATAATTCATAAAATGTTAGTCCGTGCACGTCCGGTGGACTTAAGTGTTTAAAAACTATTTCAATCTTAATATATTCTAATATTTGTTGTATCGAACGAATAAAATTAGAAACAGGAATTGCTTTTTTCGACATTTGCAAAAGCTTTTCTTTCAGTTGATGTCGATTTAATTTCCCCAATTCAAATTGAGTTTCTTGCCGATTAATTTCAGTAACATTTGAAAGTTCATTTTCTATGTCAGCATCTTCTATACATCTCAATAAAGTTTTGATGGCATCAAATTTTCCAAAAATTAACTCTTGACATTCTGAATCGACTTCGCCATTTGTTAAATTTCTCGCAATAAAGTGTGTAGTATCGCCTATTGCTTTATTTATTTTGAAAACAAATTCCTCTTTAGAAAATAATTCCAAAATTTTCCAACACTCACGAAAAGATTCCGTTTCAATTAAGTCTTTAGACAAACAATAAATGTACACCTCCCTTTTGTGCTTCCCAAGTGGGGAGTTTGGTAAATCTCCAACTAAACTTGTTAAAAACACTATAAAACACCGAAAAATTTTGAAGTAAATCTGGCATTTTTTTAACAAATCGACGACCTTTTTTAACCAGTATTTACTAGTAATGAACATTGATAATATTTTGGCAGGATTTTTTATACTCTCAACAAAAGGACGAAATGATGGTAGTTGTCTCAAAACTTCGAATTCATCATGTGTAAGATATTTTAAGTTTTCAAGAGACTCTTGGAAATTTATGCATAATGAAAAAACATTATCTTGTAGAAAGTGTTCCAAAAGGCAATACTAAATTAAAGATTTTTCAACGTATTATGAAGAGTAATTTAAACTTTTATTTCCTTACCTTAAATTCGTTAATAAATCCGTTTATAGAAAAATCATAAAACAAGAAAATGTCGCTTAGAAACTTTAGTATTTTCCCTGATAAATTGAAACTGTACTTTGGAGATAAAACTACTTCGTCAAATATCTGAAATAATTTTTGTAAAATTTTTTTGAATTTTTATTATTACGAAGAGCACAAAAAGAAAAAAAACTCGTTTACCTTATTAAAAGAATTCATAACTGAATTAGTTTGAAATATTTTTAGCTTTACTTTACTTATAACGCGATATGATAACGTATTATGAATAGCACATACTGCTGTTGCAACTCCCAAAATAAGCACAAATGAAATTCTGTCACAGTAAGAATTCAAAATTAATATAAAATCTTCCAAAATTTCAGCGTTAAATCCTTCAAAGTCGGGTATTATTACCACCAACAGAAGTTCCTTTCCAGAAGATTGATTAACGTACCAGTTTTCTAGTGATTGCATTGTACATTGTGATTTTCGAATTTTTTTTGGAATTTCATTAAACGTTTCGTCTTTATTTACTACTTCAATGAAATTTCGAACCATAGTTTCTATGGCATATTTCAACGTTCCACAATCCCGCGACTGAATAATAGCCACACTTGCGTGTAAACGTTTAAAAATTTCAGACTTTATATTTTCAAATTGCTCCAAATGGTCGGGGTGATTAATTCCTAAAAACACAATATTATATTGCCTTAAAAAATAAAATTAACTGAACAACTGCTAAATTAAATGCATTACCGGTTAACAAAGCTGCAATCGGTAAAATGCAATCATAGTTTTCTTTATGTGCGTTAGCAGCATAGCTAACTACTTCTTCTATCGTTTTTGTATAACCTTCCTTTTGCAATTCAGAAATGTCTTGTTGAATAGAAAACCAAATTTTTGTAAAGGTTTTATAGGACAACTGCTCTTTTAAATTTCTTATAGCTGACTTTTTTTTTGTTGTATCTCCCATTGATCTTTTAAAATTAGAGTTTTTGTAGACAAAAACACCCTAAAAAGAATAATTAGTAGATGGAAATTCCTTAAATATTTCGCACCAACATAAGAAAAATTGGTTTGGGTTACATTTGTGCAAGTGCGGATTTTTTATTTTATTTATATTATTTAAATTTTTTATTTATATTATTTATAGTAAAAAATACTTCAGAGTATTCGAATAGAAACATAAACCATTTTAAAATTAAATTCAAGTAACAATTTGCATTAATATTACAGTAATTTTTGTATATTTAAAGTTTTATAGTGTCATTTTTATATATGGAGGTACAACACATATTTTATCACATTCAGTTTTTTGACTTAATATTTAAAAATTATTGGGCGCATAATATAAATTGTTTTCTATTTCTTACACAAAAAGCTTTTTATTGTTTTATAAATTGGTGTATTTTTTCTTGTTAATTTTTTTATTTTAAAATAGAGATATCTTTTTTATATTTAATAGTGCATTTTCTACTAAAAATATATTGTGAAGAATTAAATAATTATCCTTGAGTTTTTATATTATTAAAAATTCCTTAAATATGTTTTACATTTTTAAAAAATTAAACTTTTTTTATCCCTGAAAAAAATGAAGTTGTTCTGTCGAAAATCCAACAGTTGTCAAAAATTTTAAAGCTAAATCGTTAAAAGGTCTAGGACCACAAATACAGCAAAATGTTACAAATGAGTTTTTAGTGTTGTCATTGAGAATAGCTATCAAATCTTCTGAAATTCTTCCTTTTTCACCATTCCAATTATTATCACTATCTGATAAAATATATCGTATGTTTATCCTTTCATCCTGTGAAGCAATTGTTTCCAACTGTTCTTTGCACCAAATATCTTTTTGAGTTTTATTAAAAATAAATAACTCTATATGCTCTAATCTATTATTGTTTCGACCTAAGAGGTGTTCTAATAATCCTAATATTGGTGTAATTCCACTTCCTGCTGCTAATAGGGCAACACGATTATGATCCAAAAGTTTAAGTAATGAAAAATTTCCTTTTGGGGCTGATAGTTTAACTTTGAGCTGATTGTGCGATTGATCTGTAATAAACTTTGCTAGCGTCCCTTTTGGATAAGATTTAATAAGCATAGCTATTTTGTAAGACACATTTAAGTTGTTATGCGGCAGATAAAATAATGGCACTGGAGTGTAACTTCTTGTCACCTCATCGCCATTTATTAAAGCGGTTAAACTGAGGTGATGTCCAACTGGTGTTAAAATTGACACTTGTTCATTTGATTTTAATATCAATCCAAACGAATCATGATTAATTTGTTCACAGTTTTCTATTTCAAATTCGTATTTGTCAGAATAATTGTAATTATTTTTATAAGTATTTTCAAGCTTTAAATTTCCATAAATTGTCCACAACTGTGGTTCAGTTTTTTTGCAAATGATGTCTATTTTCCCAGTTTCTTTGGAAATTTTAATTATACATGGCCATTTTATATCGTTATTAAATTTTACACTAAACTCATGCATTACGAATTCAATGAAAATACGAATATTAATTTCTGAAAAAGTCTTGTATGATACAACTAAACCTGGATTTGAGAATGGTCTGGTATAAAAAATAAGTGTTAAGTCGGACGTATTTTGTATCCAATCAAATCTTGGCACAATTTCTGCTAATGATCTTTGCTGTTGCTTCTCGCTTATTGCATCCGTTAAGTTATTCATTATAAAATTATTTTCAGGACTAACAGTTTTTACCGGTGAATTTTTTTCAGAATTGCTTAAACGTAATGGTAATATAGGTTTCTTAAAACTATCGCTTTCATCACAACTAAATAAATTTTTGCTGTTCAGATTTTCAGTGCAGTCAGGTGTTGGCGTAGTTGCTTTTTGTCTAGGTTTAATTGGTTCTAAATCAACTTGAACTATATTTCGTAATGGTCCAATGAAGCATTTCGCCAACAACTGCTCATAATTCACCCATGCGTGAACTTGATTAAATAAGGCAGTTCCGTCTTTCCCTATTCCTCTTTTCAACTCCTCGACTCCTCCCGGATGAAAATCCATATATTTGGTGACGTTATATACTTTTCCACGAATTGCCATCCAAGCATCATTTTGATTGCAATGTTTAGCTAATTCTGTGCTACTTATTGGAGTGATAACACCTTTTGTACCTGCTAAATCTGTACCAGACGTTCCTAACCTTATCCAGTCCATGAGAGAATGACCTGGCTTTAGTGCGCATTTGTTTCGCGGATTTCCCGTTGCTGAGCCTCCGGAATCTTTATTCTCATAATCATTACTTTTTGTAACCTCGCTTTTATCTGAACTAGGAACTTTGTCACTCCTTCCTGGAGCACTCATATTATCCTTTTTACTTAGGAACGGAAATACCTTTTTCATTAGGTATTGTTTTAAAAACAATAAAAATATAGTAATTTGTATCCGACTAGAACATGTAGCATAAAATAGAACTATAGGTCAAGCCAAAAAAAGCTCGTCCTTTTTTACTCCAAATTTACCTTTGCCACGGAAACAGTATCATCCATCATAAGATATATTTTTACGTGATCAGTTATTTATATTTTTAAAGATTTAACCAAGTTTCCACTTCCTTTCCTAAAATTTTTCCATTTGTATTTCTTACTACTTTAAGCGCGAAAATATGACATTAATTTCATCAGCTGATTGTATCAGTCACACAGAAAATTGCACAACACTAACTTCGTTTTGCAATAATGACGAAACACTTTTTAGATATTATTTATTTACAAGTTCCCGAATCGTTCTTGCATTTTCACATTAGTAATTACGAAAATACATATCAAACTGCAAAATTGCTATAGGAGCCATAAATCGAAAATCAAAAATTTGAAGTAGGTGTGTATGTATGTAAATTTAATAAATTTTTTTTAATATGCTTCTGCTTAAAAGGCAACTTTTCGATCCTTTACTATAATAGGATAGGAATATTCATGCACACAAATTGTAGTTATTTTTCTATTCTTATTACTTTTTCAGTAACGATAAATACTTAAAAAATAAATATGCACTTTTCCTTTTAAGTCCTTATAGTTGTGTCAGTATTTTTATTTGCAATATTTTTTGTTTTATTGATCAAACTACTAGAACTAAGTAAGCAACGAATATTGTAAATGTAACCAATTATATTTCTAAATAAAACAATAAAAACAAAAATGTTGTCACACCAAAGCTGGCCATAAAAATAATTAAAATAGTTGATTTTAAGTCAATTTTTGATACAGAAACATATTATTCCTAACTTTGAATTTTTGAAAATCTTAAAAGTAAAAGAAATTTTTGGCATATTTATCAATATCTTAGGTAGTAAAAATTTACTTGAGCAGGATTCATGAAATTAAAAATTTTCTTTATTTTTAAAATAGTTTTTTTTTTCTCTGCTTCGAAAAGTTCAATCTAATTTTATTTAGCCTGGGTTTTTTTGAAATGTCAATTTTATTATAATTATATTATAATTAACAAGCCCGTTTTATATACTTTAATTATTTAATTGAAAATTATTCTTGTCAAAAGAGTGCTAAATCATAATAAAAAAAGTGCGTTTAGCTTAAAAGCGTCGAACCATCAAGACACAAATTAGTAGACTTGAAATAACTGCGACGAAACAATGAATCCACTATCAAACTGCGATTCCTGACAATTAGGTGATTTTTCATTCCGTTAGTTTATCAAACTGAGATGTTCATGCCCATGGTATAAAGTAGAGGAGGTCTGTCTGGGATAAAACTTGAAAAAACTTTAAAAATAGAAACAACGACGAAATTTCTCATAAAAAGAAGAAAAAAATCTCATTAAAAACAAACCGGACGCAAAAAAAAATTTTAAAAATTGTATAATCATGCGATAAACATAAAATTTCAAAGTATGTATTTATCTAACATAAACAAATATTTTTTGGTTACATAAACCGTTCAACATAAACAAAAAACCGAAAATTTTGATTTTGGATTAAAAAAGTGTAAAACTTTTTACCATTTGTGAACCCATTTTGGTTATTTTGCTTTATTTTTAATTAAAAAGTATTGAAAAAAAAGTTATTTTTAATTGAAAATTAAAATTTATTAAAAATAAAACCTCTTGACATAAGCAAGTTTTTAAACCCAGTGAAATTCAAGTTTTTAAAACACTAAATTTTGCTTTACAAAACTTGAAAAAACTTTAAACATTGAGAAAATGAGAATGTCATCATTTTCCCTCAATTTTGTTTGATTTCAAATCAATTTTAAACAGATAATCTATTTACCGCCTTTGAGTTTATCATAACAAAAATGATGCCATACTTGTTTGATGTTTGATAACCTCATATTACTACGCAAAGGTTCTCCGTACTTTATTTTTTTGGGATAAAATGCTACTGAAAAACAAGTTAGAAATAAAAACACCGTTGAAATTTAGGGGAATTCGCCAATCATAATTCATAAATCATAATTACATAGTACCAAAAGTGTCATTTGCTTCGTCGATTCTGATAGTAATATTTATATTTTTACGTAGTTTTTCTAAATTGAAATTAATCAAAACTTACTTAAGAACAAATATGACACAAGATATGCTAAATAGTTTGGCGTTAATTAGAATTGAGAATGATTTATTAGATGAATTAGATGTTATTCAATTTTTTTTGTACTAAATTCAAATTTATTAAATAGTAATTAAAAAATTTAATGTGATTTTATATGTTATTTTAATGATAAGAAACTATCAAAAAATTTTTAAAATAATAGAGACACTTGAATAAATATGGTTGAAGACGCTGAGGACCCTAGTTGTTGAGGTTCCTATTTATTGTTGTTCATGCTAAGTGCTATTTTAGAATGTTTTTTTTCCAAAAAAAAATTTAATAAAAGTGCTTATTAGTTTCATTCTGTCGGTTCGTCGATAGACATGTTTACAAAACTTCTACACCCTTGAAGATGGAAAGCTGAAATTTCATACGTACATAGATCTTTTCTAGAAACTTATTTCGGTAGAAGAAAAGTTATAGCTCCCTAAAATTATTTATATATATTATTATAGCCCTAGCAATATTTTTTATGTTTCGTAAACGCAAAAAAGTGTTTACTGACTTCTTCTACAACGGCATACCATATCTGAACTTTAAAAAAACAAAGTGGCCGTTAAAGTTTACCATTATTCTTCGTTTTTCTTCTAGACCCCATGTTGTAGGGCTATGAAATTTTAGCACACACTAATAAATACATAGAAGAATGTATTTATACCTTTTCAAGTTATCGCCTCTTAAAATTTGTAAATTTCGAATATTTGGCAGCTTATATTTCCAAAATGTAAGTTTTTCCAAATTTCTATAAATTTAGAGAGCGTAATGACGGTAAATATCATGGCATTAAAAACAATTATTTTTCTTAACTCACGCAAATAATCCTTAAATTCGAGCGTTATGTTAAAGTATCTTTAACTTTTTTTTTGTTTTATTTCAAAAACATTGCATTTATTGGTCATTCTAAATGTATGCTATATTTGAAGTATATTCGTACATGAATGACAATACAAACCATTAGTTTGGCCCAACCATATTACTTCAAAAATGGATATGGTGTTGAAGCCAAATATGATAAAAATTTATCAGTAGATATTAGCAATTTTACTATTAGCCATTTTATGCTAAGTGCAGGACCTATTGGGCAAAAACTCAAATTTTGTTAAAAGCTTATTTAAGTCAAAAATTGTTTTAAGTAAGTAGTTTCATTTAAAAAAAAACATGTAATAAAAATTAAAATATGGTGGTGTTGCTCTAATTAACTGGCTTCTTTTCGAAAATTTTCAAAAACAATCTAATCTTCAAAATTTTTAAACAATACCTATTCTTATGTATAATATGTATTATATATCGATGGTGAAGCGCATTCAAAAGCTATTTTCATTTCGAAAAATCAATATAATACAATATAAAAGCTAAGAAACTTTTGTATAAATTGAGAATAAAAAATTTATCTAAAGAATTTTAGTGCCGTTATAATAAAAATACTTTATTAAGAATAAATAAGCTCAAAAAACTGAAAAATGTGTCACAGCACTTATCTTTTCTTTTAAATTAAAAACTTCAAATTATACATAATAACATCGCTTTAAATATTAAACTCATTACATAAGTTTTAAAGTATCCATTGCCGAAGTAATTCGTAATATTTCACTCGCGGTTTGTTCCAATTTTTCGTTATTTGAAATTTGTATTTCTGGAGGTACTTTTATTAAATAGTCTTCTGCACCCATGACTTTACCCAATTTCTCTACAGTTTGCTCCAAGAATAGCTTTTTCTTTCCTAGTTTTGCAAGTTCTTTTTCAACTTCTATCAATCCTTTAAGCAATAAATGGACTTCACATTGTCCAGAAACAGTAATTATAGCACAACCAATAGGCGGTTTTTCATCAAATTTTATATTACTACAAAAAGAAATGGTGGCCAAGTCATTTTTATATTTTTTCAAAACATTATTTGGTTGTTCAACAGTGCATACAACATACGCTTCTGTTTTCGTTTTGTTTGGTATGTTATAATCACTTCGTGCAGATCGTATTCTGGAAGCTGCTTTCTGCATAAACTCAACATCTTTTTCAACATCTTCGTTGTACCATGGACATACATCAAACTCTAAAATCAAAATTTTATTTGAAGCTAAAATATTTTGTTTTAATTTTTTTTATACCTGGATAAGAGGCAACACAAATACTAGGCGTAGTCTCTTTTCTTGGTAGTCTTTGGTATAATTCTTCAGTTATAAACGGCATAAAAGGAGATATAAGTTTCAACCCAAAGTCTAAACATGTATACAAAACTTTTCTTGATTCTTCCTTTTCTTCATCATTTCCTGTTTGAAAAATTGGCTTCACACATTCCAAATAAACGTCACACAAATCATATAACCAAAAATTATAACAGGCTGTCGTAGCGGAAGCAAAATCATAATTTTCAAATGATTTATTACAACATTCCACAGCATTTGCAAGTCGTGATAAAATCCAAATATCCATAGTATTTTCTTTCCCAGACAATTTTATTTTTGGTTCGAATTTTTCGTCACCAACAAAATAGTGTAAAGCAAATTTCGTAGCATTCCATAATTTATTACAGAAGAAGCGATAACCTTGCACACGCAAAATGTCTAAATTAATATCGCGACCTTGTGTTATATAAGCACATAAAGCAAAACGTAATGCGTCTGTCCCGCATTCTGGAATTCCATTGGGATAATCTTGTTTTTGTCCAGCTTTAGCCCTTTCGATTTCTCTAGGGTCCAAATTCGAATTATACAATTGGGCGTGCAAGTCTTCCAAAGTTATGCCGGTTATAACATCCATTGGATCTATAACATTTCCTAAGGATTTAGACATTTTTCTACCATGAGCGTCTCTTACAATTGGATGCAAATACACTTCTTTGAACGGTAATTTTCCTAATAGTTTTTGTCCCATAAATACCATTCGGGCCACCCAAAAAAATAGAATATCGTGTCCAGTTTCAAGTAGCACTGTTGGATAAAATGCCTTAAGATCATCTGTATCATTTGGCCAACCAAAAACAGAGAATGGGAAAAGCCCTGAACTAAACCAGGTATCTAACACATCTTCATCTTGCTTTAACTGAATTTTTGATTTATCCACATTAAACCTTTGTGAAGCTTTTTCAAGAGCTTCTTCAGAAGAACGAGCAACTATCCAATATTTTTCGTCATCCTAGAAAATATAAAAAACCTTCGTTGTTATCTATTAAAATTATTACATCATACATTAGTTAATAAAATTTTCCAACATACCAACATTTCATTCTTACAGAAAGCAGAAAAATTATAAATTCATACAATATATAAAAATATACAGTTTCAAATTCTAAAATGAAAAATGAAAAACATACAATTTCACATTTTATATTTGTGTCAGTAAATGACACAAAATAGGCTGGTATTCTATGTCCCCACCATAACTGTCTTGACACACACCAGTCTCTTATGCCATCCATCCAATGAAACCAAGTTTTCTTGTGATGTTCAGGAATAATCTTAAGTTCTTCATCTTGTACAGCTTTAGTGGCTGAAGCCGCCATGTCCGCGCACTTTACGTACCTAAAGTTTGAAAGTCTTATAAAACATAAATTTTATTAAATAGAATTTGTACCATTGAGGCTTTATTAATGGTTCCACTACATCTTTTGAACGACTGCATATTGGTACTACCATAGGATTATCAATTGTTTCTTTATAAAGCTGCAATTCTTGTAATTTTTTCAATAATTTTTTTCTGCACTCAAATCGTTTCATCCCAGTGAACTCTCCATAATCACCAATTATGTATCCATCATCATTAAATATAGTTATAAAAGGTAAATTATGCCGCTTTCCTACTTCATAATCATTTGGGTCATGTGCAGGAGTAATTTTAACCGCGCCAGTACCAAAGCCAGGATCAACAAACTCATCACATACTATAGGAAGCCGCCTCGAACAAAATGGATGTAAAACATATTTACCTCGTAAATGACTATAACGTTCATCATTTGGATGTACGGCAACTGCTGTATCTCCTAACATAGTTTCAATACGGGTTGTAGCAACAATAATTTCTTCATCTGAATTTTCAACCTTATATGCAAATGACACAAGAACTCCAAATTCAACTTTTTCATCATAGCCAGGTATAGAAAGCAAAGTTCTACCAGGAATATCAACTTTGTCAACTTCAATATCCGAAATAGCCGAGCGAAGAGAACAAGACCAGTTAACCAAACGGGAGCTGCGGTATATGCTTCCTGCTTCATGAAGTCGAACGAATGCTTCAGTAACAGCTTTACATAATTTTTCGTCTAAAATATTATTTGGTTTTCTAATTATAAACTTTAAAAGAGTTGTTTAAAGGATAAGCAATGTTTTTACCCATAGTAAAAGCAACGCGAGACCAATCATATGAGGATCCCATTCTTTTAAGCTGATCATAAATACGATGTCCTTTTTGATTTTTCCATTCCCAAACCTTTTCAATGAATTTTTCCCGTCCCAGGTCATGACGCGTTAGTTTTTTCTCACGCCATATCATTTTTTCTACAACTACTTGCGTTGCAATACCAGCATGATCGCATCCAGGTACCCATAAAGTAGTTCTACCCTTCATTCTATGAAACCGGGTAATGCAATCTTCAACTGCATTTGTTAACGCATGCCCTAAATGAAGCGAACCAGTAACGTTTGGAGGTGGAATAACCATCACAAAGCGACCTTTAGGATTTTCTTCTAAAACAGGCCGCTTCTACAAAAATATTTTTTTAAAATATACATATCTGCATTAACATTTTTTCAAATACATTGTATTCAGGCTTGAAGAAACCTTCCTTTTCCCACCAACTATACCAAGCAGCTTCAACATATTGCGGACTATATGAATCAGGCAAAGGCCCAGTAGTGTCCTTTTTATCTCCAGGAGCAGTATCAGCAACATAAATTGTTACTTCTTTTTGCTTTTTCTAACAGAAAAACATCTTTTATTTAAAATGAAACTTTTAAATCAAAATATGTACATAAAAATATGCAATTTACTATGTATATGTCATATGTTTTGTAAATTATTGCATCAGTTCACTACATTTTAGTACTTAATTGCGATAATTCAATAATTTCAAAATTTCACCATAGTATGTAAATTTACCTCAGGCTTTTCTTTTTCTTTAATTGCTGGCTGTGATGCAGCTTTCTTTTCGAGTTTCTGTTGTAATTTTGCAAGTTTCGCAGCTTTTTCTGCGGCCTTTTTGGCCTCTTTTTCCAATTGCTTAGCAGTCTTTACTGGTTGATTTGATGAATCTGGAGCGGACGCAGAACTTGAATTTTCCATATCATTTTTACCGGTGGATTCTGGCATTTTGAAATTTATTAACTTTATACTTTTTTTATTAATTTTCGGCACTACGACTCATAAATAACAAGTATGTATTTCAGTTTAGAAATTTATTCACACAACGTGTAAATTTTGGAATACTGCTATCTTATATCCACCTTAGTCAGGGGTGCAACATTAGCAACAGTGTTGCAATGTCAATAATTGTTTCGATAGCGTATTGTGTGACATTTCAAATACAGGATGTCTTGGCGAATATGAAAAAAATATAAGTAATTTTTTGAGATAACCATGGATCTAATAATTTTTGAAGCCGTCATAAAATATGTTTTTTTATTTTTATTTTATAGAAGTTAAAATGAAAAATAAATGAAAAAATGCTTAATGAGAAACGGTCTGAAAATATATTTTGGATATATAATATAGTTAGAAGTTTATATGAATTATTTTTTTAATAAAAAATTTATAATTTTTCAACAATATATGTATATGCATATGTATATACATATTTTTATTTAAACTAAACTAGATTGTAAAAGGTTTTAAAAAAATACACAACTATTTCTTAAAAAAATTTTGTTAACTTAATATTTCTATGTATTATTGCTATGTGTATTATATTAACTCGTTCGCTACCAGGGTCTTCTGGGAAAAACGTCCACAATAGCCCAACATTTTTTTGGTGGTTATATTAAATGAATTGAAATAGATTTTACGTATGTATATTTAGAACAGTCTAAAAAAGTAAAATAAGTATTCTTTTAAACTGACCCAAATATGTGACGCTGGGCTAACTTAACAATTTAGTTCAATACTCAACATGTTCAAACATGCTTTTGTAAATTATACAAAAATATCTGTCACATATATGTGTCGCCGGGCTGTGGTAAAGAAACGCGGTGACACATATATGTGACGATTGGTAGCGAACGAGTTAAACTATTGACGCATAAATTTCAAAAACATTTTATAACACATTTTCATTAACATAAATTTATGTTCTCAATTTAACTTCATGATTTTATCAAAAAATAAAATTTAACTTTACCAAAAAATTTTCCTTCGTAATATTCGCAAAAAAAATCTTTATTTAAATATTTTTCGCTTTTACAAAAACGAAAATTTAAATAACAACTTAAAATAGCCTACAATTTGGTTGCTTGAAAACAAGACACTACGGTAATGCTAAAATTTTGCTAAAAAATAAAATTTGACATTGTCAATTTGATGCAAAAATACAATGCGTTATATGAAAGCGTAGCGTACTTTATGTTGTCTTAATTTTTTCTATTAAGAAATTATATTATGACTGCTAATTATCAGGTCTGTCTGGCGAAATTTTTCTCAAAAAGAAAAAATTCTCACTTAAAAAAAATACACCAGGCAGAAAACTTGAAAAAACTTTACAAAATATGTAATAAACGTGAAATTTCAAAGTATTTATCAAGCACAAACAAATATGTTATGGTTTTACCAAAAAAAAACAGGTTAGATGTCGCTACGTACACGGAAATCAAATTTTTCTGAAATTGAAAAGGGATTTTTTTTCCTTTTTCTTCTTTTTTTTTAAACATAAAAACAATAAAAAGAAAATGTAGAAAAATATAAAAAAAATTAAAATTTTAATATTTTGAGGATTCGAAAAAATATTTAAATATTTTTTTTTAAAAATGATGTTGATGAATTTGATACTAATGATGTTGATCATTTTGTCTTTAATTTTTTAGAACTCTTCAAAAATTTTGAAAATTAGTGTTTATAGTTTCCCTCTGCCCATGTACAAGTTTGCAAAACTTCTACATCCTTATGAAGGAAAGCTGAAATTTCATAATATGTATCTAAGTAGATCTTTACTAGAAACTTACTTCCGTAGAAAAGGTTTAGCTACTTCCACCTTTTAGCCCGGTCTAACTACGAATAACGTCGCCCTAAGCGATTTAATTGCACATTGTGCATCATAACTCACTTTCTTGTAACCTTATCATGCTGAATACTTAAAGTCTTTCAGCTTTTTGTTTTATAAATTCAACAACAAGGTAATTTAATTAACTATATTTTATGTAGTTCTGATCAGATTTATTTCAATCATTTAAAAGCATACATTTACTTTTTGGCCCAAGTGAAACTAAATTGTAAAAGGTTTTAAAAAAATCAATACATAAACTTTTTCAAAGTTTATTTGAATATAAAAAAAAAAGTAAAAATTTATTTACTTATATGTATACTTGAGTGTACAATCATTGCGAAATTTTATATTTTAAATGAAAAACTCAATCATTGCAAACTTTTATTCGTAATTTTAAATTTATAAATGAATTGCATTTTATTTCACAAATCGTCTGAGAAATGAAACAATGTATAAAAAGAGTTTCGACTTGCATTTAAAAATTTGGGAAAAATTAAAACTTCAATCAAATTTGTGACTTTTTGTGTATAACCTTTTATATTTTTTTATTATATTTTTTACGAATTTAGCAATGCATTTATTAGTGTTTACAGACTTGCATACCCACATGAGTCTATGATAAATTGTGGTTTTGAAATTTCAGAAAGTCAGACTGTTTTAATTTTGGTGAAATAAATTATGCACCATTTCATTTTACTTCTATTTCTTGGACACCACATAAATTCAACATAAAATTCTTATCATTCGCTTGATTATCAAACAATATCTTTTCAAATCAATATAAATAGTAGTAATGTCTTTATATCTAACAAGTCCCAATGCTCAGAGAGAAACTTGAAAGCACGACCTCATTTTATATGGCCTTTTTTAAATCAAAGTAGCTATTTTATGAGAAGAAATATTAAAATAAATTAACACTTATTATAAAACAGGTAAAATTTAGAAAATATATTTGAAAAATCCAAAAAAATATATTAATATTTTCATTGGTAATTATTTTAAAATTATAAAAAAGCGGAAAAACATCAAGCACATCCTTCGTCTTCAACACTTTATATGTTACTGAAAGCATTTCATTATTTTTAAGTGAACAGCTTTTTTTTCTCATAGGGTAAGTTAACTCAAGATATGGGGAGTAACTGTGGTGTCAAGTTGAAGTTGAGTAAGGAAAAAATTTGAAGAGGGAATTAGAAAATAATATCTAAAATACAATCAAATACTATTTGTTAAATACAAATTTTATATAAACCTCAAAATTTTACCTTTATTTTTATTTGAAAAAATATTAAAAACTTACTATCATTTATATCAATTACCTAAGAAAAAAATATATTTAAAATGTTTGGAAAAAACAATCATATATTTTTATGACCGGATTTGAATATTTTTTTATTTTTGAAATAAATGGTATTTTACCAAATGACTCAAAAATTCCGACTCTAAAATAACAGGTATTTTAAAATTTTTGTTGTTTATGTAATATTCTTTCCGTTTAGAATTAAGATAGGTCATACATACACATGCAGGGACATTTTATAAATAGATTGCTCTTGTTTACCTGCTAATAAAATATGAAAAAAACAGAACAGTAAAATTTTTGAAGCACTCAATATAACAATATAATTATGAAAGATAATTATTAAATATTGATATAAATACGTAATAAAGGAAAAATTTGAAGAGGGAATTAGAAAATAATATTTAAAATACAATCAAGTATTATTTTTTAAATACAAATTTTGTATACACTTCTAAATTTTACCTCTATTTGTCAGAAAAATTTTTAAAACTTAATATATTATCTAAGTAAAAAAATATTTAAAAGGTTTTGGAAAAGACAATAATATATTTTTATTCTGGTCATAAAATTCTTCGAACATTTCTTTTTATTTTTGAAATAAATAGTATCTTATGAGTAGCAAATGACTCAAAAACTTCGATTGTAAAATTACAGGTAGTAGGCATGGTATAAAGAAAACATGGTAGTATATTCAGAGTTTCAATTTTTGTATTTTCTGCGCATCTACGTCATCTGCATGGTAGAAATTTTTTTAGGTTATGTTACATTGTTTAATAGGAAAATATGAGTTTCTCATAAAAGACCTATTTTGTTTTTGAAAAAATAAAAGATGAAGCTATTTTAGTTTTTTTGAAATTTTAATTCTTATTCAATGTCAATAATATTAAACATATTTTTTAACTTTTAAATTATAATTTTTTAGTATTTTTTATTTAAAACTTTTGAAAATAAACTAACATTATGTTAAAATTTTATTTACTTTTCTTTTTCGACTGTTTGCTGATATTTCAGAATTATCTATTCGTATTTTAAAAAATATTTTGCAGCGGAAAAATTTCTTTTTTATATTTGAATCTAATTCTACATCATTTGCCAGCGTCAATAGATTATTTAGATAATTAAGGTTGACCCTTGATAATTTAGAATTATAGTTTACGAATATTTGGTTAAGTTTCTGTAATTTCTCCATAAAGTTTTCGTTAGGTTTGTGTAACATTCCTTCGGATACCATATCAGTCCAAGTGAAACTGGTAGTTGGGTTTTGTTCACAATAGTTTCCTATTAAATTTGGAATATTGTTTTTGAGCGATCGAATAATATATCCTCCAATATGTTCGAGTCCATCAAATTCTAAATCATTCAATTCTTCAATTGTATCATTTACAGTAAATGATACAGTCTGCTAGTCTGTTAAATCTGAAAGCATCCTATTTGCTAAGAGATTTTCACAATCATCGATTTCAATTTCTTCGTTGTTACTATTCGGAATTGAATACCCTTCATCAACATTCATTTTAAAAGCTGCTTCCCGATCTTCTTCTACATTTGCAGATTGAGATATGATTGATTCATTTCGGCCCAGCAAATAGTTTTTAAGACGATACTTAAATTGTAATGCGCAAATTTTTTGCGGGACTGCGTCATCCTTCAATTTTTTACTATTTTTTGGCGAATAATTCAGCAGTTCATGCTGTAAGTTTCGCCGATAGTGTTCTTGTACAAAATGTTTACTACATATGTACGAACTTTGGATATTAAATTTATCTTTCCTTCCACATTTTTGTATCCATATTTTTGCGATTTCCTTATTTTTTGGAAATCGAAAAAATTTCGTTTGCTTGAACGATGAATCATTCATATTTCTTTTTAATTTCTTATCGCTGTTGCTATTGCAATTAAAAACCGCGCAAATAACCATTATTAATTGTATTTTTTAAATTATTAATTTTACTCTAACTATACGCCCATCACTTTTGTATGAAAAATATTTTTGTTTACATTTTTTGCCATGCACGTGACGTAACACATTTAAAAAGAGATAGCAACAGACATGCGCAATATATTACCATTTTTTTCTTTATACCATGGTAGTAGGTACTGATGTAAATTTTTGTCCGTTTGCGTTTACTATTAAGACTCATACACAGGCAGGGCCATTTTATAAATAAATTGCTCTTGTTTACCTGCTAATAAAATATGAAAGAAGAACGCAACAAAATTTTTGAAGTTATTAATTATTGAAGTAATTAATTAAAGCATTTAGGAAAAAAACTTGATAGCTAGTACTTTATTGCTGAAAATATATGCTAGTTTATTTTATTTTTTCTAAAATGCAGCATAAAAATGCTATATTTTTATTGATGTGGTAGCGATTTATAAAAATGAACATTTGAACAGAACTTTAAATTGAAATTTTCAAATAAACGTCAAGGTTGTATTGATATGGTAAAAATTGTATTCCAAAATGTACGAAAAGCTTTAGTAGGTTTTTCTACAATGTAAAGATATTGAAAGCTCTGAGACACTACTACAACAGTATCCGTGACTTCAATAATGCGCTTAACACGTAAAATTTTACAAAGTATCAAATTCCAAAAAGTTTACTAAAAGCTCTTGACATGGTACACTTTTCCAAAATGTGTTTTATACGTAATGGAGACGTAAAATAAAAGTAAATCGGGTATCGAAAAAATCGAGCACGCTTTTCTTATACCTTATCATATAAATGTTGCCAGAAATAAGCGATAAACTAAACTAGCATATATTTTCAGCAATAAAGTGGTAGCTATTAAGTTTTTTCCAAAATAAAGCATAAGAATGCTATTTTTCCAGTGGTGTGGTAACGTTTGTTAGTTATACAAAATTTAGTGTCATTTGTCATATTTCAAATTCATAAACAAAAAAGTTTTTTGAAAACATTCACGTATATGTTATTTTTAAAATTTGAAATAAAATGGAAAAAGAGCAGTAAGTTATACCTTAATTCATTAAATGTAATATTTGTTTAACATTTAATTTTTGCAGTAATAAGAAATGGACCGTGGATAGGAAAAAATTATTGATTGCTACTATTAAAATCAATTGAATTATTTACAACAATATTTGGGAACACATTCATTTTTTTAAAATTAACATTTGCACCGAACTTTCAATTAAAATTTTCAAACAAATGTCAAAGTTGTATTGATATGGTAAAAATTGTATTCCAAAATGTATCAAAAGCTTTAGTAGTTTTTTTTACAATGTAAAGGTATTGAAAGCTTTGAGACGGTACTAATACCGTATTAATACCGTACTTAAATCTTTTTTAAAGCATTATTGAAGTCACGGGATATAAGAAAAGCGTGCTCGATTTTTTCAATACCCGATTTACTTTTATTTTACGTCTCCACTACGTATAAAACGCATTTAGGAAAAGTGTACAATGTCAAGAGCTTTTAAAAAACTTTTTAGAATTTGATACTTTGTGAAATTTACTTAGGAAGCGCATTATTGAATTCACGGATCCTATACTTTGCAAAACTTTAAAAAACCTTAAACATTGAGAAAACAATGACGTCATCATTTTCGTTCATTTCTGAAAAAGTATACCAGACCTGCATACTTTATAAAGTTTTTAAAAACTTGCTTATCCGAAACAGACCAACACATAGCCTATGTTCGACATAACAATTATATAAACGTAAATCAATCTGAGTAGAACTTATTGATAATCTTCAATTTACATTTGCATAAAAATTTAAACACTACTTTAGACCCAAAAGACGACAGAAGCCAACTCTGTATTGTTTTTTATATGTATAACAAAAAAATATTTTTTCCAAAAGCAAAGTTGTTTTCATTGCAGGATAAATTTGTTTTTTAAATTTTAACTAAATTTATTTAGGTATCACCATATTTCCTCAAATATCTTTCTAAGGAAAGTTTGTGTAATTAAAATTCCACTGAAATTTTAGAGAAAATGTTATAAACTTTTTGCTACTGTTAAGGAATTGCATAATGAATTCCTTTGGAATTACACATACTTATTTCTAAAAGCTGTAAATGTAAGTTGATAAATCTTTTAATGCGTTTGAAACTTTTCAATATAATTTATGAATATTTCAAAGGAACTCAAAACTTGAATTCATTTTCAACATATAAAATAATGTAATTTTCTTTAACCAAAGCATGGCAACATCCAAGAATGGATTAAAAACATTGTGGGTACCAGGCAAAAATCCTAACAAAAAAGGTAAAATCGAAACTACAAAAAAACCAGTGAATTACAACAAAACACAGAAGAAGAATGAACAATGGACCCTAGGTGGACCTAAATCAATTGAAACTTTAATGATATGTGATGCTCAATTAGAAGTCCTAAATGGTGTTATTCCCTCCACATCTAAAAACAATTCACACTCCTACATAGATAAAAATAATTGTTCCATTGAAAACAATTTAAAAAATGACAAGACTAATTTTGATGAAACAAATGAAATATGCAGTTGCAGTATAGAAGAAACAGACGCAAAAGAAGTACTTCCCGATTGTGAAAATGAAAATTCAAAAAATGAAAGATACGAGAAATTAGTTACATGCTTGTATTATACCATCAATTTATGTGAATGTAGCATAAGTTAAGTTTAAGAAAATGTCCATATGTCTATTTGTATATATATTTTTCTTGTATAGTTTACAAGTACATAATTCCGTAATTCGTATTTATTTTAAATAAAACTTTATACTGAGAAAACCAAGCACAATCTAAGAATAAACGAATAATAAATTAAAGATATTGTGTAATTTTTACTAAAAATAATTTTCACATATTGATTTTGTTTCATTTCATATTTTTATTGACAAAATTTTTCAATAATCATATTTAAAAGGTTCCATCTCCACCCCATGAACCTTTAACAGGATCTTCTTCATTCCAGTCTTCAGTAGCTGCCGGCATTGAAGCTGCAACTTCATCAGCCCAATTACTTGGTTCTTCAGGTCCTGGTTCAACAGCATCGTCCAATTTCGTTGCCGGCAAAAGTTCTTTTGCTCCAGCTTCTTCTTTCTCAGTTTCTTCTGGATCGCGATAAAAGAACAAATCAACAACTACATTCCATTCTGGTTGTCGAGAAATTGTTCCGCGCAAACGTAGTACTTCACGTGCTAAGAACCACCACATTAATCCAATTGAATCATTTGATTTGTTGTTGCATGGAATCGCAATATCAATATAACGCAAAGGGCTATCAGTATTACAAAAAGCAATAACTGGAATGTTGACATACGAAGCCTCAATAATAGGTTGATGATCCGTCATAGGATCTGTGACAACTAAGAGACGTGGTTCTCTGAAAGCTTGTTGAATTTGATTTGTGAATGCACCAGGGGTAAAACGACCAGCAATAGGAGTGGAGTCAGTGTATTTTGCAAATTTAAGGACTGCACGCTGACCAACCGGGCGAGATGAAATGACATAAACCTAGAATAAAATTGGATATATGTACATAATTACGCACAAAATTTATAAAGATTTTTACGTTATACGATAAAATTATTTTTCAGATTTATAATTTACATCAAAAAATATCAGCCCCGAAAGATGAATTTAAAAATTTCATCATCTAACACTTTAACTTACTAATTTAAATACATTTGAAATAAAAACTTACTTCCTGCGGATGCTCTATCGCAGCTATTGCACGAGCAGCTAATAATAACTTCTCCCATGTTTTGCCCAAATTGATTATATTTACACCATCAGGACGCCTTTTATAAATGTATTGTTCCATTTGAAAATTTACATTTTCAGACCCAATATGTGTTGTAGCCACTAACATTTTAGTAACATCATCTTCTTTAAGAGTTAATATATCAAGTCCTCCCGACATTGTTACGTTTTAGTAAGGAGCAACGAATAACCTAAAATTTTAAATTTTAAATACTTTAACTTAATGAATTTGTATGTTTGAATGTATAGAAAAATTATTAAAAGCAGCCACGTGGTTTATCCCATGTTTAGAATTTTTAAAGTAAAACCAATTTTTATGGCTATTAATCCCGCAAGTTGAAGAATAGATATTACTTTAAAATATTACATTTAATTAAAATATTACAAATTATTTCTTAATAATTTTAAAATATAATTTAACCAAATTATTACTTACGCGTGATGCCAATTGGGAGTAGATTTGAAAAGAACATTGTCAAAAAATACACCTTAAAAAGTAACCTCAGATAGGAATGAATAAAAAGCAGTACGTGCATTCAACAAGTTCGATTTAGTTTGAAATTTTTTTTTATAACGTTTGAAAAATTAGTTTGATACATTTGTATACGTTATTTGAATTTGGAATTTTTTACATTTTGCATAAAATAAATTAAATATTATAAATGAAGCCTATGTACATATTATGTATTTTTTAACGAATTTTATTTACATATGTTAATGTTTTAAAATAAAAAAATATATATGTATGTATTACAATAAATGAAATTATTTTTTTTGACAATTAAAAAATTCGATGCCAATCTATGGACTGGCACAGAATTTTTAATATATTACAACAAATAATAGAATAGAGAAGGAATAAGAAAATAATATTCAACTATTAGAAGAAATAAATAACAACTTCAGAATTGAAGAATTCACAATTGAAAATTGTGAGGTAACGTTTATATAAAGGGTGATTCAGTTATCAGTGACCTAACAAATACCATCATTTCAATTTTATTGGTTTTCACAAGATTTCTACTTGCCCCAGTTTATTGGCTTATAATTTCTCTTCCGGAAAAGATATACACCCGAATTATGAATTTAATGCCATACATAAAAAAAATTACCAAAACAATTCTTAATATTATGTTTTCGAAGTATGCCGATTGAAATTTTTTTTTTTTGTGAAATTTTTGTGTATTCTTTGTGACTTTCACTTTATTTATGGTTTTATTATGTTTATTATTATACACTTTATGTACGGTTTTAAAAGCCATCTAGATTATGATAATTATTTTTTTGATTTTTTTTCAATTTCTCATTCAAAAACTTAACTTTGTCAATAATCCAGTATCCTTCCAATTGAAAGGCAAGAAAGGTTGTCTGCGCTAAAAATTACATTTTATTTTTATAAATGCATTTTTCAGATGACATTTACCAACCAATTTTTTTGAAATTTAAATTTTAAATTTAAAAAAAAATATGTAGAATCAGTAGAGCTAAAAATATTGATCAATTTTCTTCACATAACTTCCGACACCCCTTCCATTTAGACTCCATATAAATTTGGAATTTATTTTTTATTTTTCTCTGAGTTTGGATGCCTATATGGATATATATGGCATTAGCGGATTTACGCACAGCTGACAGAAATACAGGCCTGGACCCTAAGAGAGAGTGACGGCTCACAGCTGATGAATTTACATGTTTTCTTATTTACATCTATAGAGGGCCCTTTTTAAGATCATAAATCTATCACAAGATCGACTTTTTTTAAATTTTTAATTAGAAAAGGTTAAAATTCAATTATTTTCTGCTTTACTACTGCTTACATTCTTAAAGTGTTATTAAAGCATTACAAAATTGATTTAAAAAAACCTTCTAGGCTCAGTGGTCGCAGACGTTTTCGTTAAGTGGTAATAACTTAACGTGATGACAAATATCAAAATCATCGTGTAAAACTTTTCATACGATGTGACGTGCATGATAATGACTTTTTACTGTTTAAATAATTACTTTGTGATGTAAAATTCAATAACTTTGCTACGAAAATTATAACCAAAACAAAAATCAGATCATTTTAATTAAACACACAACATAATTTTAGTTTACAAAAGATGTTTAGTAAAACACTTGGAAGAAAAGAAAAATTGTCCGACATGCTAGAATGTTATTCATCAGTCACATCCATTGCAATATATAAGTTTTGATCGAACTATGCAAGACATTGTATTTTATTATTAAAAATTTTTTTTATTTAAAAAATGATCATTTATTTTTAAAAAATGTGAAGGCAAAGAAAGGTGTGTTACCCAACGAATTAGAAATACTAAAGGAAGGAGCATCTTGAAAAAACAGTGAAGTCAATTTTTTTTTTCTAGTTGTCACTTTCTTTGCTCCGAGAATTGTCAAAGTCGTAACAGGAGTGTATTTATTTTATTTTCTTCTTTGGCCTCTGTAATAAAATATGCGTAATTTTTGAGAAGGAGAAGTAAAAATTTTTTCGAAGTAAAAACTAAAAATTGTTTTAAAATATTTTTTCATTCTAGATATTTATGAAAAAAAAAACAACAAATTTAAACAAAACTTATTATATATTTTTTCCTCTTTTAATAAATTTATTTTATAAATTGCAAATATTTATAAGTATTTTAATATCATAATATTTTATGATCGTCAAAAATGAATATATCGTCGGCTGAGAAATAAAACAGTGTATAAAAAAAGGTATAGTTTTGAGTAAATCGCGTTTGAAGTTTTTTGCAAAATGAAAATGAAGTTTCGAATCTAAAATCTTCCGGTTGTCATCTTTGACTATCCTGAAAAGTTATGTTAAACATTTTTGGGGGAATAAATAGTTTATTTGCATAAATTTGATTAAATAAATTTTTGTAGATCTTAGAAAATTAGAGGTTTGAAATTTTTTGGTACTTCTTACACTATTTTATTTTTGGTAGAAATTGTATGAAGAAAGTTATACACTGTTTCATTTTAATTTTTTTGTATGGTATACACCATTTCATTTTTATTTATACGTTATTTTATTTTGTAAAAAATTAATATAATTTGAGAAACAAAATTAACATTACATACTTTAACTCAACGTATAAAAATATAAACAGGTATTTTTATCGATATTAATGTAACATGAAAAGTCGTAAACAAAAATAAGTAATATTAACATAAAAGATAATTCAAATGTACATTATTTCTACTTGAAATTTTGAAACTTAGTTTTAAAAATTAATTATAGCTCTTCAATCTCGTCTTCTGAATAGCTTGGTTCGTTTAATTTAGATAAATTATTTTTAGATTAGGCTTTTTCTGCCAAGTTTTGATAAAATGCTACTGAATGTTTCTAACTAAGATTGATTGATCATGTTTTCATATTGCGCACATGAAACGAGTAATTAAATTTTGTATTAAAGATTCTTTTATAAGTATGCTAGCCAACTTTTATGTGTATTTTATAATGCTTGAGTTAATGTGTTGGCAGTTGCAAACTCCGTTGTAACTTTCTTTTGCTTTGAATTCTTTCTTTTTTAATTTTTTTTATTGCTTTTTTACATTTTCACTTGGATTAGTACTTTATAAAATTTTTTCGAGTAGTGTTTCGGCTGATGTAGATGTAATGGTTTCATTATCAAACGTTTAGTCTATAAAACATTCTGTAAGTTTTTCTGGTTCCGCTTCACCCGTTTCAGATGCTGAACTCTTGCTAGGTTCATAATTGTCATCAGAACCAGAAGAAAAGTCTGTAATAGAATTTTCTGGTGACTTCTCGAAAAATGTTACCACTTCTTCATCATTAAAATTTTTATTCCTTTTCTTTTTACGTAACACAACAAAATTATTTTAATTGTTGTGAGTATAAAATTTTGCCTTAAATTATTAATTATTTGCTTCACTTATTAAAAAAGTTATAACTTTAAGTTCTGTACTGATCAACAAAATCCAACAGAATACTTATTTCTTAAAAATATTTGTCTTATACATGAAGATGCATATAGAATTAAACACAATTAAACAAGTACAATGTACATATGTACGTTTGTTTTGTACGCTGTTTTATTGCATTGTTTGCCAGGGAAGACGATTCAAAATTCAAAATTAAAGTAGTGTATAAGACAATATGAAACAGTGTATCAAATTCTTACACCGTTTTACTTCTCAGTTTATTGCAAAATTTTTTTTTATTAAAATTTAAAAAGCGTGTAAAAGTAACATACACTTTTTTATTTGGTATTGAAATTAACAACCGAATGATAAATTTTCTACCAAAATAGTTTAAGAATTCATTACGTTATTTTAAATTTTGTAAAAAATTACGGTTTGGCAATAAAACAAAGTAAACGCATTTTACTCTATTTTGTTATTAATTAGTTTCTAAAAATGCTTTATACAATATTTTCGTTTTTATTTAAAAAGTATGTTAGAATGAAAAGATAGAGAAATATAAAGTAACTCAACTTATAGAATCGACTATGGAGAATCCAATGGTGATAAAATCGGATAAATGTTATACGCTGTTTTCTTTCTCAGCCGACGATATTTTGTTAAGAAATTTCTTGTATTTTCAGTTTTGATAATTTGATCAGTTTGATAATTTTACTGAACAACTCTAAACAGTGTTATTAATTAACATGTAAATCTGAATGATTCTAAAACAGTTTAATTAATAACAATTAATTTTAATTAATATGATGGTTATTACTCCCTGAAGTAGGTGGTATGTTGTCATATTCTTCCTTATTCATTAATTAAGCTTCACATATTAATTCATTCTGAAACAAAATATTTTGGAATATAAATAATTCACGCTAATATTTTATTTTACTTGCTGAATGCAACGTCATCGGGACGTCTCCATTTATTTTGGTGACGAAATCTTCACTCTATAGAGGGAAATATATCTTATTTCATAATTTCTATAGGAAAACTGTAATTATACAAAAAAAAATTATTTAAAATATTTTTTTGCATGCTAAATTTTATCAAACCCAAACTGATTTTGCTTAAAAAACCGGTCCTGGTAAAATTATGGCATCCGAAGTAATTTTAATTTAAAATAAAACAAAAACATAACATGTTTTCTTTGCAAAATTAAAAACTTAATAAAATTAGAAATATGAATTAATCAAAGCACTATTGAATAAATATCTCTTTTAATTATTGAAATGAATAATATCCACATGCATATGGTGTAAAAAAACTATTTGTTTTTGCAAATAAAAATAACAATTTAGAACTATACACCTTTTTCTTTTTTTCACTTGTTATAATTTTTTTATGTAATTCTACTAATTTTATAAAGAAAATAAAAAAACATTTGGCATTTAGTGTTAATGTCAGTTTGACAATGCTGGGAGTAAAGAAAGAGACTTACCTGAAGCTTTGGTTTCACCATTTGTTTTTTTAAAGATACGATTTTTCAGGAAATGTAAGCGAGACGGTCGGACAATATTGTAATCAAAATATTTCATTTCGCTGATGCACATACAAAACTGCAATGGCTTAACAATTCGCTCATCCACATTTTTGAATTAAAAAATTTTTAACTTTTGAATGATGACTGAAGCCACAAAAAATTATGTTACTATGTACATACCTTTTTACTTAAATCTTAAAAATTTTATTTAGGATTATTACAGATGAACAGGATTATCTATTTTTGCAGTGATTTTAATGTCAAATATCTAATATCCTTCGGTACATAAGGATAAGTATTTTTTAAGACTTTTTTTTAATGCTGCAGAATTATTTTAAATTTGAAAAAGCACATAGAAAAATACATACATAATATAAGATAATAAAAATAAGAAAAAAGGAACTACATTCGTATGTATGTAATTAGTTAATGCAATATTATTATCTACAGGCCATCAAGCTCAGAGAGCAAATCAAAAATAAAATCCAAATTTATCCATATAAATTAAAGTTTAAATGGAAGGTGTGTCAGAATTTATTTGTGTGAAGGAAATTGATCAATATTTTTGACTCTACTGATTCTACATATTTTTTTTTTAAATTTAAAATTTCAATTTAAAAAAAATCGATTGGTAAGTTCTATTTAAAAAATGCATTTTAAAAAAAAATTGGAACGTTTAGTGCAGGCAACCTTTCTTGTCTTCCGAATGGAAGGGTACTGAATTACAGAGTAAAATTTTTAAATAAGAAATAGAATTTAAAAATAAATTGAAGAAAGAAGCAAAAATGTAATAATTATAATCTAGATGGCTTTCAAAAAAAAATTTCACAAAAAAATAAAAAAATATTTCAATCGCTATACATACATACATACTTCGAAAACATAAAACATTAAGAAGTGTTTTTGTATTTTTTCCGATTCAAAATTTCGGAAAATATTTTCAGCTTGGAGGCCTGATAGATATATATGGCATAATTAATTCCTGTTGATATGTAATAATTCCAAATAAGATTTTTAAGATGTTAGAATTTTAAATGCATATCTGAATGATCGGAGATACCCCCATTTTATGCCCTATATATAATTTTTGGAAACAAATATTTTGAAGAATGAAATTAAAAAAATAAGGAAATACGGGTAATTGCGTCAAAATTAAAAAAAAATTGGTTTGCACCATGTTATTAAAATCTGGCGGCTTTCTATTTTTCCGATAAGGATTTAATTTGATATCAGACTTCGATTACATATCAGATTAAGATTTAGTCTAAGATGTAATTTAATTTCAACAGGCGACTTATTCCCTGATTTCCCAGAACACGATTTCCTCGCTTGCTGAACTTTCGTATTAAACTTTGGGACATGTTGTCATTGTTTTTATGATTCTGTTCAGGCGTCATCATTAAAGAATGAGATATGAAAAATAGTTGGCATTGAGCACATATTGTAATTTTATGTGGAAAAAAATCTGGCTTCATCCTTAAAAAAATGCGGCTTATCATTCACTTAATCTTTCTTTGGTGAAAGGTAGTTTTCGTCTTTCACTCATATTTCGTAACAATCATGGACTTTAATTTAGTTATCTTAGTAAAAATAATAACCTTTGTTTCGTGAGCGTGCTTTTTTCACCAAGAATTAGTTCATATTTTGATAAGCATTAATTTTAAGTACCTGAGTAATGTTTCGAAAAAGGCTTTCACGTTGTTAAAAAATAACTTGTATGTAGTTGTTTTTAAATCGAATTATTTTAAAACTACGTAGTATAAATTTTTCTGAAAACTATTACAAGAAAACTATTTCTCTTACATTTACGCAATTCATTTTCCATTAGTATAATTCCACTATTTTTTATTCTCGAGTTAATTCCTGGATTAATAGATAGATTAATATTAATTAAAAACAATTTTTTACTTGTTAACATGCCGTGCCAAAAATTGAATATAACATTTTATTTCATTTAAAACTAAAAATAAACTCGCTAAATGCAAGCATCAATACAATTAATTTTTTTTTCTGAGATTCTGTTGTTATGAGATATAACATTTTAATAAAAATTTATTTATCATTGGAACTCAAGGCACTTTGTAGCGCATATATCATATTCTACTTTTATTATTTGTCCGTGTGTCATTAGAATTAATTTGTATACGAATAATATCAATAACAGTTTACTTATGCGTAATAAAAATATATAATATACAATGTAAAGTGACTTGTGATAAGAATAGGTATGCAATATATTTAATTTGAAACAAATATCTCAAAATCTGTGTATGCCAATTCTTGACCTCCATATGGTATGTAACAACATCCATGAGAAGGTTGAACTTTTCCTACAGTAACTGTACCATTATGGTTGGCACGCCCAATGAACAATGGTTCACCAGTTTCAGTTTCACCAGCTGGCATGGCGTTCGGTGGTATATTTCCACCTTCTACCGGAACCCAATATCCAGAACCAGAACATAAAACTTCATAATCGGAACAGGCATGTTCTTCTCCGCCCCATGGAATATAGCATACCCCATGACCTGGATGCAATTTTCCAGGAATTAAAGCGCCTTCATGACGGGCTCGAGCTAAAAGCAAATTTCGAATTATTATTCTGGTAACGTTAATTATATAATTATATACCAATATATAATTGTTCTCCATCAAAACCGCCTTCCATTGCACCGGGCGGTACATTGCCTCCGGAGCCTGCCACCCAACACCTATTTAGGAAAATATATCAATTTAAATCCCAGATTGATTTTATTATAATAAAGTTTAAAATTTACCCTGGACCAGCCCCAGCTGGAGCTGACCATCCTGGTTGACTTGCAGTAAGAGCGGCAGCTACTCCTGGTGGAGCAGATTGAGATTCTAGAATAATTAAAACAAAATCATATATATTTCATTTTTTACTTCTGTAATTTATATTAATGGAATATTGTCACACCTTCAAGAAGCCAAGTACCAGAAGCGCCCCAACCAGTACAAACACCTATGAAATTAACGGGGTATAAATCGGGATCTTCATGTGACATAAATGCGGCAGCTTCACCTATCAAATCAGAAAACATATTATTGCAATTCTAATGATTAGCAAATAATTTGATTTTTCTACCTTCACGTCCAACTGTAATGACGCCATCGTACCAGCGGATCCAAAATCCACGGAATTCTCCAGGATTTAAAATTCCAGGTGTATCAGTTTCAACAACATCTGGTTTAGTCCTATTTTTTCTTATAACTGATTTAGTATTTTGCCATCCTCCAATGAATACCTCATACATTGGATCAGACTCGTTCGGACCATTGGTCAAAGCTAAATGAGCATCATTCGGAGAACGTACTTTAAATTGGAAACAGGAACCACTTACAGGGTGAAACTGGTATGTTAAGTTATCTGGCGTGTTAATTTCTAAGAAGAATAATAGTTACGTCATATGATGTATGTATTTATGTACTTATGGATGTATATTATGCTTTTATTTATGCATGTGTTATGCTTAAGTTAATTTAATATTTTTAAGAAAAGGAAGATTATTTCAGTTTTTTAAACTCCTAATTAATTTATAAAGCATTAATTATCGACTTAACAACTATGTAATATAAAATAATGTAGACACGTATGTATGTACACATATATCCTGACATTACGAAAAATCAAGGCCTAGACAGTCGTATAAAGGCAAATTTAGTATACCCTTCGAACATAAGTTCGTATGGGTATAATGAAATAAGCTTGGAAGGTTTTTTTAAATCAATCCTTTAGTTTTAATAACACAAAACTTTAAGAATGTAAACACTAGTAAAGTAGAAAGAGATTGAATTTTAACTTGTTCTAATTAAAAATTTGAAAAAAGTTTGATTTTGCGGGAGATTTATGATGTTAAAAAAGGCCCTCTATAAATCCCATAAGAATACATGTAAATCATTCAGCTCTGAACTGACACTTTTTCTTACGACCCAGGCCTGTATTTCAGCCAGCCGTGGTTTGTATGAACAGAATTATATTAGATCTTCCTATGTACATATGCTTACGTATATACAGTGAATCAAAAAAATTTCCGTACACTATGTAATTTTTTATAAAACTTATGAAAATTGTAACTTCCTTGCAATTAATTGGAAAAAAAAAATAGTAGGCGTACAATTTGCAGCATTTTCTTTCAGATTTATTTATTTGCTGCAAATTTTCCAGTATAAAAAATGGGGATTCCCCAAATAAAATAGTAATGGAGCTATAGTTGGGAAAACTCATTCTAGTGTTCAATACATAATAAAAAATTATGATTAGTAGAGAGATGCAGGAATCTTTAGAAAAAAAATGTAGCCACCAAACTGTCCGTAATATACTACACAAACCCGGTTTTCACGGTCGTTCTATACGAAAAAACCTTTACTAAGAGAAATGAATCGTGTTAAAAGGCTTAGTTTATAATAGGCAAACCGAACGACTTCTGGAAAAAAGTTGTATTTAGCGACGAATCGAAATATGTATAATATTTTTGGATCAGATGGTCACGCGAAAGTCTGGCGCCAAGTTAGTAAAGAATTTAATAAAGAAAATGTATCTCCTACTGTAAAACATGGTGGTGGAAATTGTATGGTCTGGGGTTGCATGTCAGCTTTTGGAGTGGGAAATTTGGTGTTTATCGTTGACAAAATGGACAAGTTTGGCTATTTAAAAATTTTACAAGAAAATTAGCTAACCAGTGTCCATAAAATGGGTTTAAATGAAAACCATTTCGTATTTCAGCAAGACAATGATCCAAAACATTGTTCAAAAATTGTTAAGGAATGGATGTTGTATAGAGCTCCAAAGCAACTAAATTCACCGCCACAGTCTCCAGATCTGAATCCCATCGAACACTTGTGGGATTTGTTAAATAGGCGAGTCAGAAAACATCAAATTAGCTCCAAAAACGAATTAAAAACAGCATTATTGGCCGAATGGGGCAAAATAACTCCTCAAGATTGTGCCAATTTGGTTTTTAGTATGAATGACCGCCTTAAAGCTGTTATTAAAGCTAAAGGCTTGCACACTGAATATCAATTATTGTTAATTGATCCAATTTGTTATAGTTTTTTCCTAATATGTAATAAGTGTACGGAAATTTTTTTGACTTAATTTTAAAGAATGTTTTTTGTTTTTGTTGTTATTTTGTGTTATATTTAAAATTGTTGAACTATTTTTTTTTTGTTAATAGTCTCTAAATAAAATGAAAAAATGAATTTGAATTAAAAAAATTATTATAACTTGTTTACTTTATGTTTAAAATAAGTTTACCTAAAATATTTACAAGTGTACGGAAATTTTTTTGACTCACTGTGAGTACGTTATATGTATGAGTATTTTTTTCCAAATAGCTTAATTATTGATGACATCACATATCATAGACAAAGTGAAGGTTAAAATTTATTGTTAGCCAAACACAACAAAATATGTAATAAATGTACATATCATTTGCTAACACATAAGTAGTTACTATCAAAGTTAACTCAATGCATAATTACTATATATCAAGGTAAACAGTGAACAACTAGACAATTTGAATTTATGTACGAGTATAAGAAAAGTAACTCTTGCACTACCAAAACAAAATTTTGTTCGGTAGTATATACGTTAACTATGTATAACTTTATATGTATACATTTATATGAAATTTGAATTCCTTTTAGTTGAAGTCAACAACAAAATAATACTATTTCGTCATTTTGAAGATTTTCATTTATAAATACGTATATAAAGGGTGTTTCGCATGAGGTGGCAAATAATTTCTGGGATGATTCTTTGATCAGTTTCTAGCAAAAACTTGTAAAGAATGAGGGCGGTGCAGATATACTCGTTTTCAAGCTACAGCCTGTTGAAAAAAAAGGTACCACACACAAATAAAAAAGATTCCTGCATACAAATAAAAAAAAAATAAAAAAAATTTTCGAGAAATTTCGAGTTTTGTAAAATTAAAACAAAAATTCAGCCTCAAAAATTCCGTATCTCGAAAACTATGGCTCAAATCAAATTAATTGTAAGACAAAAAATAAAGAACAATTAATCGCCTGTACAATAAGCTCCTAATGATAACTCTATGCTATACGGTTCCGAATTTATAAGCATACATTTATATATGCTTATATCTGCACCTCCCATCAATTAAATTTTTTGCTGGAAATTGATCAATGAATAATCTCTAAAACAATTTGCCACCTTATGCGAAACACCCTGCATAATATAATATGTATGTATAATCATATAATACATACATATGTACTCTTTATATTCATGTTATACTGACGTAATCACTGTTTTTAATTCTAATGTTTTAGTAATTGATGAGTGATGACTAATGATCGTAGGAATGAGATATAAAACCATAGATAAAACTTATTCTAAACAAAACGTAATTATAAGCACTTTATGACTCAAATGGGGAAAAGCTTCAAATTCAGAAAAGCTCTTCGAATCTCTGAGTTCCAGAATGTTTGAATATTATGTACGTATGTATTTATTAATGAAAATGCAATTATTGTATTATGAAAATGAAAAAAATTGTTGATATTGATAACGAAGTTTCAGAGAAAAGAATTTGAACTTTTGTAAAAAATTTTCCGCGGCGAAATGTCAGGATTCATAAAATACATAATATTTAAATGAAACAAACAAATTGTCGCTGCGAATTTAGCAATAGTCTAAATTCATATTTTATTTCTCACTTTGACTATTGTACTATACATTACATTTACGTGCTATTCTCCTTAAGAAAGTTGTATATAAAAGTGTGTAAGACGCCTTTTGGACAACAGATTTATTTAATCTACGATTAAATCTGAATCTGATGAAAATCTAAATCTGATATCAGATCATTAAACATCAGATAAAATCTAATGAAAAAAAAGAGAAACCTATCCGATTATCATCAGATTTAAAAAGAAAACATGACGGAAGTAAAATTTTTAAAAAGGTTTTGTCATGATCAGCTATTTTTGATTTTTATTTTTTTTTTTTATTTTGTTTCTAGTTTATAGATTACAAATTTTAAAAACTTTGCCATCAAAAGTTTGACGTAAAAGTATAAATAGAATCTGATGTATAAATGCACATCAGACTTTATCGTAAATTTAGCCTGATGTATGACTGGCACCTAATAAAAACAAAATCCGTCGAGCGACGAATCATCTTCCCGAGAAGAGCAATTAACAATCATTTTATTTTGAAAATAAATAGAATTAAATCTGTTTATTATAGCATGAAAAAAAACTTCACTTCGCTCTTGTTTTTGCTTCGGTAATACCGCAAATAAACAAATTATGCAGATACGCAAAAGAAACGGAAAAAACATTCATATGAAATTTCAATAGCAGACAAAATAAAGGTTTAAAGGTTTAAGGATAAAAGGTTTAAAGCTTCTTAAACTCTCCCATATTCAAATTTGTAATGCCATATTCAATAAATATTCTCCCATAATTAATTTGCTCGTTTATTTTACACATCTCTTACTGGGATTATGACTTTGAAATGTATTCTTTTATAAATTATTTTCAATTTGTGTTCCAAATCTTGTTAAATAAAAAGACAATACTCAAAAATTTAAAAAATGAACTTCAATCGTTATGTATTGGAGTGCAAAATATTAAGCCATTTGTTTTGAAAATTTGTTATTTCGGAAAGTAAGTTGAACTTTATACATATAAGTACGTATATAATAGAATATATACATATGAACGTAGGTATATGCGAGTACAATAGAAGATAACAAGTGGGATTTTCAACCGCAGTAAGAATTTAAGACATATCTTAAATTTAAAGTACATAGTATTTCCAATTGAATTTGAAAGTATGGTATTTACTATTTAGTGAAATATTTGATTTTCAAATGTTCCCAACTTTTTCATATTTTTAAATAATCAGAAAAATTATTGCGCTTTTTTATTTGCTTGCCAATGCCGTTTCTGTTTAGTAGCATTTTCAAAATTTGGCCAAAATTATTTAGGAAAAGCACATATTTTATTTTTTTGTGGAAAAACAAATATTTTGTCCACTTTGTTAATTTTATTTTGTTTACCTAATACTTATTTTTAACCTTACAGAAAACTCTTGTAACCTTACAGCAACTGGAGTCATGTTACTGTCTAAATTCGTTAACATTTCATGTATAAATCATATATGTATGTACATAAGTATGCGTGAATATATGTATATCTGCATAACAGTATTTGTGCACGTAATAAGTTTTGTTAATGTGTTTAACTTTATTTAAACATGCACCTTAAAAGTTTTGTATAATGTGTGCATGTACATATTGTTTTGGTTTATATGAAAAATTCCAGCTTAAAAAAAGATTTCTAATTTATATTTTGAAGGTAGCATACACAAAAACAATCCAAAATCAAATAGTGAAGATATGACATCATCTTAACAATTTGAATATTGAAGCACAAATAAAAAAAAAACAAACCTACTTATAAATTGAATAAAGATTGAACACAGGTATATACAAATATATATCTGTCTTCATATCATTTGTACACATAATAACGTGCATTTTATAAGCATACATATATAGATATATATATATATATATATAATAACTTATAAATTATAGCACATATCTGTAATTTAGTTATATGAACATAATACACATATTTTTATGAAAAATACAAATTATATACATATATTATACACATACGTATATAAATATACAAATAGTTATTATACCCATTTTTATTAAATTCATACATACTAAATTTCAAATTTTGTAAGAATTGCCTATAATACTGTTTGCCTATAAATAATATTGTTTTTTCACTTAAATAACAAAATATTGTGAAAATTAAATCTTACGCTGAATTACGTTTGTTAATATACGCTGAATTAGAGTTGTTAATTGAATTTTTGAATCACAAACTTGGTTCCAATTTAACTTTAACTTTAAATGGTATTCGTGATTTCTAAATTTAATTGTGTTATAATATCGTGTACATTCTAAAATCTACATATATGTATATGTATGTAACTCGTATGTACAACTTATAAGAACAGAAACATGTTTTTTTATTTACATAAAAAATATGTGGATAACTTATGATACTTATAAGAATTTTGACACACGCACTTTTATTTTAAAAAATTTGGCCGATTAATGTAGATATTGCAGATAAATATATACACACATATATATATTTAAAATATAATATCTACATATGGAAATCTGTATAAAATTACATTTTAAAAAATTTTATTATCTAAATAATTTCACGTATTTCAATTTTATAACTTTATTTTTAGAAATTGTATAATAAAATTGAAAACGATTTTTGAATATACTTATATACATATACATTTTCATTTGAAAGTTATACATATTTCAAAATATAAAATACTCCATTTCAATATGCATATATTTTTAATATTGTTCCAAATTTCTGTTATAGATAAATTTATGTCTAAGTAACTTAAATGAAAAATAAGTGGATACTTACCGACCGGCATTGTAATTTTATATATCTAGTATGTAATATGAGTTTAATAATTATTTGTAAAATATACCGTATTTTAAAATAAGGTTATATAAAATTAATAGATACTTTATCGCCTTTTATGTATTCACAACAATTTCTCGATTTAAACTAAAATTTGACTAAATTACTCATACAATTATATTGCTTTTATTCAGGGCTGTCGTTTGGGATTTTGAACGAAGCTTTTTGCTCCCTTTTGTGTACGTGTGTTCGAATATTCTACTTCAACTAAAGCTGCGATTTAGAAATCATGTATATTTAAAGCTCCTTTTTAATAATAAGTACTTGTACCAAAGCATATTTTTAAAATGATAACTTGGTGAAACATTGATTTTATAGATAGATATATGTATGTAGTTTATTTTGCGTTTATTTTTCTTACGTTTTACATCAAAATATAAAATTTTTTTTAATTTTTCAAATTTGTTTCTTAATTTATACTGAAATGACTACTTTGAGAGAAACTTCATAAGATATTTAAATTTTTATAATTGTTGAAATAAAAAATTTTGTTTTTATATTTTTAATTTTTTACAGCAATCATCAATATACAAATATAGTATATATTTAATTTATATATACTAGAGATATATAATAGTATCTCAGTAAAACTATAGACTTCTGTATATTTATGTATATGCCGAAGAATGGATGTATGTATGTATATTATTTTCAGATACATTTGCTTGTGATAAGCAGCTTTTAAAATACATATATGAATATAATATAAATGTAGAAATATAGATATTGCTCTTAAATATGGATTGGTTATCTTCAAAAAATAAATTAAAAAAAAACTGCAAACAAATAAGGCGCAAGCATTAGAATACCAGTTAGGACATTGGTCGATGCTTAAGCCCCTTTTCAAACTTGAGAGCTCAGTTTTTTGTAAAATTGTCTCCTTTGTTATATTGTAAAACGACAGCTCTGACTGCTTTTACAATGGTCTAATAATAACAAGGTTTATAGAAATGCTTAGACGTTTGAAAATGTGACGCCATTGGGGAGATATTTTTTTTTCTTGAAAATTTATGCCCTGATCGTCTATTTCGCTATTTTACTCGGAAAGTGAGTAACTATCATACACAATTATTTGATATTGCGTGTCTCGTTTTTTTATAAAATGCATACAAAACTTATTCAGTTTCTTTTTGAAAGTGATACGTTCAGTCCATTATTTGAGGTAAATGCAAAAATCCAATTAAAAAAATGAGTAATTTTATTGGAAAAGTGTAACTCTATTAGAAAATACTGAGAATTCGGATTTGAAAGTGAATAAAAAGCCGATATCCACGATCAGGCTGTTAAAATTTTTTTTGTAAGTTTATCTTTTCTTTTCTATCTAATTCTTCTTTTTTTGCTAATTCTTCATTTCGAGTTTTCTATGAACAAATTCTGAGTTGATTTGCTTTTTCTGTCCGTCCCAACGATAACTCAAAAACTAATTGAGCTAAGCTCACCAAATTTTCACAAAAGATTTATTGTAATAAATGCCAGAACCCTATTTAAATTGGGCATGATCGGGGTACCGGTTCGTGTAGCTGCCATACAACTTCAAATTTTATTTGGCTATATCTGAGAAACTATAAAAGCTGTGGTATTGAAATTTCACACAAACGAATATATTAGTAGGGCCAATGTGTTTGATAAAAGTCGTTGAAATTACTTGGCTCCTTCTGGCATCTGCCATACAACCTCAAAAGTTATTTAACTATATTTCAGAAAATATTAAAGCTATAGTATTGAAATTTCATTTAAACGAATATATTAGTAGGGGCTTGTTTTAATTAGTAGTTATATATGCTTGATAAAGTTCGTTAAAATTTCTTGGCTGGTAGCTGCCATACAACTTCAATATTAGTTTGGCACACACAGTATTTTGAAAAACACATTGTACGCAAATATTGCATAAATAAATATGGTAATACTTGTCTTAAAGTCATAGTCTGTCCCATAGTCACTTTTTATAAAAAGTCCATATAATTTATAAATTTATATAAAAAGAATACACACTAATATGTATGTAATAATTTTTATTAATCATAAAGCATATTAATTAAATTAATATAGTATACAAACTAGTTAAAGAAGTATGCAAACTAATCAAATTGTTAATATCAAATGTACATTTTCTCAAATTTGAAAAAATACACAAAAATCAATACGTCGAGAGAAATTGCACTTTTATTTGCTGTATACATTATTGAAATATTAAAAAAAGGCCTAGGAGGTTTAAATAAATTTTTTAATATTTTAATAACACAAAACTTTAAGAATAAGAAAAAGATTGAATTTTAACTCTTTCTAATTAAAAATTGAAAAAAAGTTGATGTTGTTTCCATATGAATACGTGTAAATTCGTCAGTTTTGAGCTGTTACTCTCTCTTAGGGTCCAGACATGTATTTCTGTCAGCCGTGGTATATTGCAACCGCTGCCATGGTAGTAGTAGTATAGTAGTAGTAAGAGAGGGGGACCCCACCCTGATACGCACGTGGACCCCATGCACTAGGCCATTAGAAAGGCCCATTGGCAACCCTCTAAACCGACACTCCACACCCCCATGCAATCCAACTCCATAGACTTCCTATCCGAACTTCCCCGGCGAACCCCAAAAGCCGATGGCAAGTAAAAGGGTCAGATTTAATATAATTCGTATGTTTTTCCTCGATTTGTTTTCTATTGAAGTTATTTTTTAGTTTGAAAAAAACTATTGAAGAAGTAATTCCTTTTTGTTTGCTTAATATTTTTTTATTTTTATTTTTGTATATTATAAGAGAAATAGACAATTATATATGCATTTATTAATTACTCCTTTTTAAGCTTTTCTAACTAAAATCTTTTTACATAATTATAACTGAACTTTACTAATTAAACTTTACTTTGGTTAAATCGTACGTCGGCAAACTCTTGTGGGTGGGCAAATATGTACTATGTGAGTATGAGTATGGGCCTCTCGATTTTCTTACATTACTTGCAAGAAAAATTACATTTTCAACTGACTTTATTACTTTGTTTTGGAAAATAGTAAATTTGTATGAAATTTTATGTTCTTATCTATATTTATGACTGAATTTTCAAAATTTTTTGAAAAATTTTAATAGTCGCAAGTAATAGTTACCTTCAGATTACGGTAAGAATAAATATTAATCTCCGTAAATGTAACTAGAAGTCGGGGGGGTTCATAATAAATCTCGTTATTTCAATCTGATTTCAATCCCCTTATGAGAAAATAATTGTTTAAATGAAGTCAATTCAACTTCTCTTGGGAGAAAACTAATGGAGTTAGATATACATATGTAAGTAAAAACTACTTATTTATTTAAAACTTTATACTCTCTAATTACAATAAATGGTTCTTAAACTAGAAGAATAAGAAATACGGCATTAATATTTATTAAAATAATGTTAACGCCACTAAAAATTTCATTACATACCAGTTATATAAAAATATAAATACATATGAAAAATTTATATAAAACAAATTTAAATTAAAATATGTATATAACAAGTTACCAACTTCAGTATGTTCAAAATTAAGGAGCCTTGTCTTTACTTTTTTAACAAATACGTTTAAATTTCTAATGGTTCGTATAACTAATAATAGATGCGCAAGTAAATACTTTTTTTGAGGTGGCGCCATTTCCATTTGATGGTAGGGACTCGAACTAATGCTGGTACAAAAAAGTATACATAGATGCCGCTTTTAGTATTTATGTACAGGGTGTGTCACGTAAGATGGCAATTAATTTCAAGGATGATTCCTTGATCAATCTCCAGCAGAAACTTGTATTGTTTGCCGGGGGTGAAGGCGGTGTGCAGGTATACTCGTTCTTGAGCTACAAGCTGTTGAAAAAAAGGTACTGGACTTTTCTTGTATTAATTTCATTTAACATAACATAGTAGGTCTGTCTGGTATAAGAAAGTTTTTAAAAACTTTAAAAAACTTTATAAAGTTTTTGCATGCAACATGTCTAGGATAATACTTTTTGAACAAAAATGACAAAAAATTATGATTTTCTAATTTTCTCAATGCAAAAATTTTTGCAAGTTTTGTAAAGTAAAATTTAGTGTTTTAAAAACTTTTAAAATCTTACAGCTGTCGAAATATGCTTTTCTCGGTTATATCAGAATGTTTTATTTTTGAAAAAAAAAATATTCATCAAGAATACCTTTTGAAAACTTTTCAATTAAAAATAAAATGACTAAAGTGGGTTCACAAATAGTGTTTTCTAAGTTTCACACTTTTATAATCCAAAATCAAAATTTTCGGTTTTTGGTATAACCAAAAAATATTTCTTCATGTTTGATTAATGTCTTTATATCTAACAAGTCCCAATACTCAATTTTTTTTACGAAATATTACGAATTTTTGGCTTCGTTGCTGGTTTTTTCTTTAAATGCCACTGATCGTGTCATATTTTTTATTATTTTTTTTTTTTTTAAGTAAAAAAGAGTTTAATATTTTAAAAAATCTCAGGATATTATACACATTTTGTAAAAAGCTTCCCATTTAAATTCTATTGCACGAAAAAGAAAGAAAGGTAGGAGGAAAGAAAAAATTAAAAAAAATTTCAAATTCGTATTTCAGTATGGTTTCAAATGTTAATGAGGAAGGATGTAGGATTTTTTATGCACATTTTGTATTTTTCAAAAAGGTAAGTTGAGTGGTGTCGGCTAACAAAAATTTTATTAAAAGTAATATAGGTTGACATATTTCAACATTTTGAACTATCTCATTTCGGTTATTTACACGTTACTTATAAAATTGTTTCAAATAATTTCAGTTAGTTTTTAAGTTATTAAAAAAAAATATGTATGTACCTACTTCCAATCAATTTTTTTTTAAATAATTATTTAAAAACTATTTCAAACATGTTATATTGAGTGCTTCAAAAATTTTGTTATGCACTTCTTTCATATTTTATTAGCAGGTAAACAAGAGCAATCTATTTATAAGATGTCCCTGCATGTGTATGTATGACCTATCTTAATTCTAAACGGAAAGAATTTTAAAATACCCGAACAAAAATTTTAAAATACCTGTTATTTTACAGTCGGAATTTTCGAGTCATTTGGTAAAATACCATTTATTTCAAAAATAGAAAAATATTCAAATCCGGTCATAAAAATATATGATCGTTTTTTCCAAACATTTTAAATATTTTTTTTTTCTTAGGTAATTGATATAAATGATAGTAAGTTTTTAATATTTTTTCAAATAAAAATAGAGGAAAAATTTTGAAGTTTATATAAAATTTGTATTTAACGAATAATAATTGATTGTATTTTAGATATTATTTTCTAATTTTCTCTTCAAATTTTTTCTTTACTAGGTATTTATATCAATATTTAAGAATTATCTTTTATTAATTATATTTTCAACTTGACACCACAGGTACTTCCCATATTTTGAGTTAACTTACCCTATGAGAAAAAAAAGCTGTTCACTTAAAAATAATGAAATGCTTTCAGTAACATATAAAACGTTGAAGGCGAAGGTTGTGTTTGTTGTTTTTCCGCTTTTTTTTAAATTTTAAAATAATTATCAATGAAAATATTAATATATTTTTTTGATTTTTCAAATATATGTTCTAAATTTTACCTACTTTATAATAAGTGTGAATTTATTTTAATATTTCTTCTCAAAAAATAGCCACTTTGATTTAAAAAAGGCCATATAAAATAAGGTCGTGCTTTCAAGTTTCTCTATGAGCATTGGGACCTGTTAGATATAAAGACATTAGTTTGATAAATACTTTGAAATTTGACATTTTTCACAAATTTATAAAGTTTTTAAAAGTTTTTTCAAGTTTTCCGTCTTATTTTTTTTATATGAGAATTTTTTTTCTTTTTGCAAGAAATTTTGTCATTCTTTCTCCTTTTTAAAGCGTTTTTTAAGTCTTATCTCAGACAGACCTAGTATTTTATTTCATCTTTTTAATTTTAAAAATTTATGCAATCTTTAATTTCTATTTTAGTTTATGCAATTAGTTTTTTTTTCAAATAATACATATAATTAAAGTTAAATTTGTACTTTAAATTGAATTGATTTTTTTCCAATTTCCCACAAAAATACTTTTACCTTTTACCTTATTAGGGATGGTGACAGAAAATCAATATTTGTACTAGTCAAAGAGAGTCACTCTATGATAATGTTATGTTGGCTTCATTTTTTCTCTGAAAACATCTAGCAGCAACCATCCATATTTTATTGTATAATTTTTATCATATTTACATCAAAGTATATCTACTAACATGTAGTTCGAATCTCCGTTTACATCACACTAATGCAATCACTCACCAATATTTGTATTTAAAAAATTCCCTTAGATAAAAGAGTTAAGCAGTATACCTTCTTATTTTCATTTTTATACACATAAGAATTTTTGGGAGAGGGAAAGAGTACGCAATAGATGTCAACCGGTTTTTTATAACGTATTTTGTAAGGCGACACTTTATTATTTGCTCGTATATAAAGTATAGGGAAAAATATTAAGAATTCTAAAAGCGACACAATAATTTCTGTAATTCATTCCAATACAAGATGGCAAAAAAGTTGCATTCATATTATAAAAGCGAAGCGGAAAAAAAGTGTTTAAAAAAATTATTATAATTTATATAATATAATTTTGAAAAATAATAAAAATAAATTTTAAAAAGACGTATAATATTAAAAAAAATTTTAAGTAGTTGTGAAAAAAAAAAATATTTTACAGTCTTTTATAAACCATCCAAGAATTTCATGAATAATTTAAAGATTTTAGAAAATACTTTTATTAAAATTTTTAATGATATTTGTACAGAAAAAAATTTAGAATGTAAAATATATGAACACTTAAAAAATAATTTCAACTATGAATGTTGTGAGAATTAGAATTTTCCACATAATAAAAAGTTTTAATAAAAGTATACAACAATTTGATATAAAACAAAAATTTTTAGTGTTAAGTATTTGTAATTGATAATTATTAATAAATAAAATAAATAAATTATCTTTAAATTTTTTATTTTTATTTCAAGCTTAATAAATTTAGAACATATTTCCCACGAATCGGTAATAATCATATTTCATAAAGTAATCAGTATGCATACACCTTTTTTTCTTTATAAATTACTTTATTTCTATGTCACTACCTGATACTGTGTATCTACTCTACCATATACATGATACATGAAATTTCAAACTCTTTTGCTTTGATACATTCGAATTTTTTACCTAAATTTTCTAAATGTTTTTGATACACTCGTTTGTTTCCAATGTTTTGTTTCTTTCTTGCCTATACAACTCTTATTACCATCTATTTAAAAAAAAAAAATGGAATATTTTAAGAGTTTGGAAGCAAGATGCAAACGAAAACTAACGGAATGGAACGAGTCGAATTACTTATTAGTAGATATACTTTGATTTACATATTACATTATATTCTTGTCAGAAGGTAACAAATGAAGTATGATTAAAGAACCCGCTCAGTTCAACAGCGAGTACCCCCAAATTAATCCCACAAAAACTACTCACAAATTAATCTCCTTTCAGAGGTCAGGCAGACATGCAACTTTTAATTTTACAAATTTTATTAGTAATTATTAAAACGATAGAGCAACCGTGCACGTAACTTTATGAGTGCTTAATGCTTATATCAAGCAGTTAACAGTAGTTTTTTAATTTTTAGTTGACGCGTTTAAATTGACGTAGTACTTTGATTGCTTCTATGTTGGTGTAATGTAAATACTGTAAATAACGTAAACACATTAGTGTAATGTAAATATATTAAAATTATAAATATAATGGAGCTGTTATTGCAAAAGTAAAAATTACAAGACTGCCGGTTGTCGATTCTCAAAGCTTTAAGATGCCCAAAAAACAAAAGAAATATAGGCTTTGATAAGCTTCGTATGTAACGCTTGAGATACAAGCAGAAGTTCAGTGTATCTTCTGAATGAAAAAAGGTTTTATTTAATTTGAAATATTTAAAAAATCATTTTAATCAATTTTGATTCTTTAAAAATTTCAAATATATGGTAATACTAAATATGCTTTTGGATTTGTCAGCTGTTCATATTGACAAAAAATACCGCGGATCTTAAAAAATGCAACACTTTTTGCTGCCTCTTATAAGTTTATTAAAAAAGTTTCAATTTTAATTTATTAATAAAATATCTTATAATGTCAAAAGAAGTAGATATATATGGCGATTTGGATAATTTTAACAAGGAACAGAAATTCAAAGAAGTTCAATAACTTAATTATACTATAGATAATAATACTAATTTTGTTATGATTTTAGAAATGGAATGAAATTTTGGAATTACAAGCAAAATATAAAAGATCAATTGAAACTATAAATGATCTACAAAACGAAAATAAGGCTTACCAAAAAAAAATTAAAAACATTGAAAGAAGCTTTTGGAGTCTTTTGGAAACAGCTAAAATGGAAGTAAAGAGGAAAGAAAAGCAAATTAATGAGTTAAGACAAGAGTAAAATTTATTTACTTATAGTATATATGAAGAAATTAAAAGAATTATTTTTGTAGGCTAGATAATATAACATTTAGAAGGCATAATCCGAAACCAAAAAATAAAACTTTCGAGAAAATATGGTCTCAAAAAGATGATGTTGTGAATATAAGTTTTAAAAATGATTTTTTGTCAAATGATGGTAAAAGTTGCAACGAGAGCTTAGGAAATTATGCAGATAATTTTAGTGACTCTAATATACGTACAAAACCGTGAGTACCTAGTTATACAGAAAGTTTCTGTAACATAAATATATACGTGTCAATTTGAGGTAGCCTTGGAACATCTGGGGAATTTACAACTGAAGGGAAAAAAATTGCAAAACTCTCCAATATATCTAAATCTATTAATACTAGTGTAAAAAACTCCAAAAATTTCCTTATGAAAAATGAAACAAAGAGCAGGAGCGACAAAAAAAAACTGAGTGAAATAATAAAAGAAGAAAAATTAAATAATTTTGTAAGTGAAAAAGAAACCGAAATGTCAGAAGAAAGTATCCAATTAAAAATTCTTCAGGATGTTATCAAAATTAAGGAGAAAAATAAAAATAAAGAAAACAAGGATGAGGTTGTAAAAAGTGCGTTACAACCAACTGATATCAATTCAGAATATGCCAGAAATATTGAAGATTTGATATTTGATGAAATGCTGGATGAGTCAAATTCATTAAATGTAAAAAATAAAAGCATTGAACCAGAGAATACTGAAAGTACATTAGTATTAACTGACAATGAGAACGAGAAAATTTGTAAATATGTTCAAGCAAATACAGCAAACTTAGAATCTACTTCCTTCAATGTAGAAAATCGCGGTAATAAGGTGAATAATAAAAATATTGAGAAGTCCTCCATAGCTAATATCAAAGGTATTGTATTTTATGTAAATATTCATTCTATTACTTTGTTTCTAATAAAATTTTTCTTTATACATACATTTTTTTTTGTTTTTAATTGTTCAATTTAAATTTTTTTCTTCTTTATACATAAATAATTTCTTTTCGTAAAATAGATGAAATTAAAAAAACGTTTGATAAAATGGAAGAAGAACTGTTACATGAAAAAAACAAAACAAATTTAACAATAAATGTTCCAGAAAGCGCTGAAAGTTTAAACAGAGAAGAAAAACAGGAAGAACTAAGTAAGCTTTAACGGTAAACGTTTTAGAAGTTTCATTTAATAGATGAAAATTCTACAACTTTAAAAGTTTTCTACACTCAATGATTTTCACACGATGTTCAGAAATTTAAATAGAAGCAATATTCGGAGATAGCATCCACACAATGCAATTTCCATGCAATATTGTTGCAATATCGGTGAAAAACACATGTTTGCGTAACGATTTCTATAGTAGAGAATTTTTTTATGAATAATTAAGATACGACCGAGCTGGAATTGAAAAAAAAGATTTATAATGTTTAAGAAAGCCATATTTTCAATAAACTTAATTCAAAACTTTCTGTTTTTAGCACATATTCACAGGTAATTTAAAATAATTATTCAAAATTTTTTTTTCAAAAGCACAATAAATTTTATTTTCAAAACACGAACTTTTATTAACGATGTTTAACCTGATAGCAATTGTTACAGATGAAAATTGTAACAAAATCATTTGAGGTTGAATACACGATTAGATATTAATAATAACGCATAATTTTTAAATGGGCTGCAATATTGTTATAACAATATTAACCATTAGAATCTACACGTACGATTTTCATAATTTTTTGTAAAATATTGGAGAACATTATATGAAAATCGCTGTAACAAAATAATATAAAAATATACTAATTTTTATTATTTTATCATTAACATGATAAATTTGATAATATTTTTATTTTTGCAAATTGCAGACTTACATAAAACGAAAATATATTGTAGTGTAAAATACAATAATTTAAGAAATGGTTTTGAAAATAATGAAGCCTTTATGAAAACTAATGCTGATTTTGAACTTGAGCATAAAACAAATTTAATTGAAGCAGAACAATTGGATATTGAAAGTTGTTCTTTGAAAAAAAATGGAATTATGTTATCAGATATACAACTGAAATCTAAAGCTTATGAAAACCCAGGTAATAATGTAAAACTAAATTCGTAAATATTAAATTTTGTTGTTTTTCTATGATTGTTACTTGATTTTTTTTAATAGCTTACCTCGAAATTTCTAACACTGACAAAATGAAAGTAATACATGAAGACAATTCCACAAATATTAAAGAAAATATATTCGAGCATTGTGATGAAAAACGTAACATAAAACGACCGCAGGAAGTCTTGGTAAAAGAAAATTTTAAAAACAACGAGAGTGGAGCAATAACCAAAAACAAGAATGATAAGTTCGTTGGACATAAAATTGATGGATTCAAACCAAAAAATACTGAAAAACAAGGCAAGGACGCCTTTAAATTAAAACAAACACTTTTCCAAGAAATTATTTCAGGAAATACAGAAAAGTGTGAAAGAAAAGGTGATTCAGTTGAAAAATATAAATCTGGTAAAGAGCTTGAAGTAAAGATAGAGAAAGTAAACAAAATCACAACAGGAAATGTCGATGAAAACTATTGCTCCAAAAAAGATAAATCAATAGATTTAATATTGGAACCCTTAAATAATTTAACAATGTTTCATAATACTCTAAGTGAGCAAAATACATTGAATCAATGTGGTAAAATTTTTTTGGCCGGTAAGTACATAATATAAAAATATATGAGTTTGTAAAATATTTTTGACATTGGAAATTTTTTACATTAGAAACGAAAAATCAAAATAAAAAAATTAATAAAAATGTACCTGATGACAATCACGAAAATTCGCAAACGTTTGAAACCTTAAATCAGTATAACGATGGTAAAACATGTTCGAAAATAAATATCTTGCAGAACATCCAAATAGCACCACCACAAGGAGACGAAACTATTAATAGTACTGCGGCTGAAACAAAAAATGAACCAAGGACAAAAAAATTCACTCAAAATACTTTAACTGATAAAAAATTTGGGGTTATTGATATAAAACCGAAAATTTTAAAACCAGATGTGAACAAAGTGCTTCCGTTTCTGAACAATTCTGTCCAAATCAATAAGATAGCGACAGATGAGCTTATTAAAATATTAGACGATGCACCAAAAGTATCACAAATTGCAACAGCAAGTAAATGCAGTTCTAACTTAGATGAGAAATTCGCAAAATTGAAAGATGATACAAAATTATTAGAAGGACGTCAAGATGAACTTAAACTTTCATCAAGCAAACCTGATATTTTTCAAGCTGATAAAAATTCAGATTCTCCTAATCAGTCTGAAACCCTAGAAGCTATAAAATTTTTAACTGATAATTTATTGGAAATCAGTAATGAATGTAGCCCTTTAAAAGAGCAAAAACATTTATCGTTGGAACTACCTAAGGGAGACAATTTTGAAAATGTAATTAATACTCCCAAATTTGAAAAATATATTAAAGAAAATTTAAACAAGCCTACGGAAAAAGAAAATGTGAAAAAAATGCCAAAAGAAATATGTGTACAAAATATGTTTGAACTAGAAAAGAAAAATAAATCCGAAAAACTAGAATTTAAAACACAAAAGAAAATTAAAGCAAAATTTGTCAAAGAAAGAGACACTTCAAAGAAAACACTGCGGAAAACAAATAATAAAATAAGTATATTAAACAAAAAAAATGAAAAAGCAACTAAAAGGTCAATATGTGAAATAAGGTTGAGAGGTAAAAACAAAGAAAATGTTTTAAACAATACGGAAAATGATTACGGAAAAGGTTCTGTGAATCTTAGAAATACTACCACAGGTGAACCAATTAGTGAGCAGTGCGAAAAAAGTGAATCTGTGACAAGTACTTCTAAATGCAATCCCACATCTGTTGACATAATTTCGCTGAAGTGCGAAACAAAAGCAGATATTTTACAAGAAGAAATTGATAATATTTTCGGAAAATCCCCTTTTAATAGCAATAGATATATCGAAAATTTGGGAGAAATAAAATGCAACGTCATGACGGAAATTTGTGATATAAATGAGGAATACGGCTTAACAAATGATTCACCAAACAAATTGTGCATGTTAAATAAAAAGTACGAAATGGAAATGGATAGTGATGGTGTCCCAGTCTGGAATATAACGAAAAAACGAAAAAGAAAACGTAAAAGTGCTCAAATAGGTGTAAATGATTTTGTAGAAAACAATAAAAGAGGATTGGAAGCATATGAAAATTCCTCACTGGATATTAGCGATAACGTTGAGCTATTTAATGGAAACTTGTTTGCATCGGATAAAGTTATTTCATGTTCTGAACCAAATTCGAAGTATTGTAATGAAATACAAATAAATAATTATCATAAAAGCATATCCTCATGCAAAATACCTAAGATAAATAAAATTTCCAATTATGAAGTTGTAAATCATAGTAATCAATCAGGAAAAATTACTAATGAAGAAAAGGATGAATCTTGTATTGAAAAACATATTTATAACTCATTTAAGAGTCCACATAAAGTTGATCAAAGTTTTAATTATGAAAATAATATTGAACAAGAATTTTTACGTATATTTGGCAAATCACCACCCAATGAAAAATATATAGAAATAAGTAAAGCTGAAAATAATTGTGAAAAAATTTGCAACTACAAATCGGAAAACATGAATAATTCAAAAATAAACCTAAAAAATAATCAAATTTATGATAAAGAAATTTTCAATGAAGATGCTTCAAATTTTTCAACAAATCATGGCTCAGGTGAAAGTCAAAAGTATTTTGTAACTTCTACGAAAACATATGAAATGCAACACGATATTAGTGATGGAATTGTTAACTGGGTTATCAAACGAAAAAACCGAAAATTTAAAGTTAATTAACCAAGTTTCATTTATGATTCAAATATTAAAGTCTCAAAATATAGTTCAAATTTAAATTATATTTCTCTCTTACAATTTAAGCTCTATTTAATGCGCCCTATATATCTATCAGGCCACCGAGCTCAGAGGGCTTTAATTAAAAATTTAAATTTAAAAAAAGTCGGTTGGTAAATTCTATTTAAAAAATGCATTTAAACAAAAATGAAATTTTTAACGCAGACCACCTTTCTTGTCTTCCAAATGCTCAAATAAGGTACTGAATTACAGACAGAGTAAAGTTTTCAACTCGATCTTGTATCTCGCTTTTTATTCACTTTCAAATCCGAATTCTCACTATTTTCTAATGGATGTTTCACTTTCCCAATAAGATTACTCATTTTCTCAATTGGATTTTTGCATTTTTTCTCAAATTATCGACTGAACGTCTCACTTTCAAAAAGAAAGTGAATAAAAGTTGTATGCATTTTAGAAAAAAAACGAGATATGCAAAACCAAATAATTCTTTTCATTCGAAAATTACATTGTACAAGTATGTATATGATAGTTACTCACTTTCTTCTCACTTTCCAAGTAAAATAGCGAGATAGACGATCAGGCCTTTTGAATAAGAAATTGGAAAAAAAATCAAAAAAATAATTACATAATATAATCTAGATGGCTTTTAAAACCATACTAAATAAAGTGATAGTCACAAAGAATACTCAAAATTTTCAAAAAAAAAAAAATAAAATATATTTCAATTGGCAGTTGTTTTTCGCTTCAAGGAACTAATATGTTCCGGAAACGTTGTCCGTAAATCAAAAATAAGCAAAAAATATAACAAAAAAGCGAAAAAAATATAGTAGGATTTTATTATTGTTAAAGTTTTGAAACATAGCTACACATATGAATTAGGCAATACCAAGATTAGCAAAATTCATACTATTTGGTTCATCAGTAAAACTGTATTCATTGGTTCGTCGTTTTTGACGAGGTCTATTTATAGTCGGATTTTTTTTTTCTTCTGTGTTCATTGGTTCGTCTGAAAAAAGCTGATCGTTTTTTTTTTCATAACAATATGATGCATCTATTACTTTTTTGACAAGATTTATATGTAATTGTAATAGTTCAGTATATGTAAATTTGAAGTTTTAAAAAAACTTGCACACTAAAGTTGAAGTTGATTCAACTTTTTGATAGAGAGAAAAAGCTTTACTAAAAATAAAGGGAATGTCCTAATTTTACATGATGTAAAATACATCAGCTCCTCGTTTAACTGACGAGCGAATGAATCCAGCTTAACCCCTACTAATTTAATGAACTGGCAGTAGAGTGTAACTCTCCTTTTATTTCTAGTGGAATTTCCAATCGATCCATTTTCCATAAAAAATGTTTGCAATTCGGAGACTCTTATGTTTTTGACAATTTATAATTTTAATATACATAAATCAAAATTTAAACTGAGGCCTGCGTGGTATAAAACATGAAAATTTTTTAAAAAGAGAAAACAATGACGTCACTTATCGCAAAGAAAAAAAAATTATGGTTTAAAAAAAAATATACCAGACAGATATAAATGTTGAAAAAACATAAATAAAATTAATTATTTTTTCTTAACTTTTCAAAACTTAATAGATTTTTGATACACGTACATATGTATATAGCATTAGATTAATCTAAATATAATTAACTTACATTTAATGAAAAATTACTGATGAAAATCTGATGTATAGTTGAAATCTGGTGTGTAGCTATATCTGATGAAAAATAGAAAACAATTTGATTATATAAAGTTAGACAAAAAAAAAACAGCAATTATCGGGATTTTACTTTTATTAATTTATAGATTTGTAGATATTTAAAACATTGCCGTCAAGTGGCGGGGGCCAAAACTATGATTGATAGAAGAAAATATAAGTTATATATTTTATAGGTTAACTTTTAGATCTTAAAATTTCGTGAAATTTTGAGTTTTGTAAAAAAATATCAAAAAAAAAAAATAACAAAAGTTATGACTTTAACCAGCTGTATTTCGAAAACTATACCTCAAATCAAATTAATTGTGAGACCAAAAATAAAGAACAATCAATCGCCTGTCCAAAGTTACAAATATTTATTTATACGCAGGAAAAATCCGGTATCTGTTTTTTCAACAGGCTGTAGCCCCAAAACGATTATATCTGCAACTCTCAGCCATTCAATTTTTTGCTGGAAATTCATCAAAGAATCATTCCTGAAATTATTTGTCACCTTATGTGAAACACCCTGTATATTTTTATAATGTAATTTTCGAGTGAGAAGAGTTATTCGGTGTTAAGTATCTCGTTTTTTCCTAAAATCTATACAAAATTATTCACTTTGTTTTTGAGACGTTTAGTTGATAATTTGAGAAAAAACGCAAAAATCCGATTGAAAAAATGAGTAATCTTCTTGGAAAATATCTATTAGAAAAACGAGGAATTCTGATTAAAAAGTGAGTAAAGGAAGCGAGATTAGGCTGCAAATCGTACATTTAATCTGATGCGTATTTAGCATCTAGGTTTTTAGTTTGAAGTTGATGAATAATATTTTATTTAATTTTATTTTCCTTTGTTCTTTTTTAATTACAAAATGTTTTCTTACATCAGTTTTTTAGTTCATTTGTAGAAAACTTTTTAAGCTTCGTGAAGGGATTTGTTATGTGTTTTTAAAACCAGACTTCTATTGTTTAGATCAAGCATTAAGCACATCGCCAAAAAACGCAAATAAAACAGTCAATTAAAATCACAAATTAAATCAGATAAAAGAAAACTTTTTATTTATAAAAAGACAAAAAGAAAACTTTTTATTTTTATTTATAAATTCAAAAAAAAAAATATGAAATAAAAGCAACTAAAAAAATCTACAACTTATCACCACAAAAGTCAACACAAGACTTGTACTTTTATGGTGTACAAAATCACAAATACCAATTCGTATTTATATAGTTTAAGAAAGTTTTTAAAAACTTTATAAAGTTTTAGTGCGGAAAACGCATAACACTTTGAGAAAAAATGGGAGAAAATGATGACGTCGACATTTTCTCAATGTTTAAATTTTTGTATTGTAAAGTAAAATTTAGTGTTTATAAAATTTTTAAATTATAAAGCGGTCAAAACATGCGTTTCTCTTGGTTATTCTGAAAATTTCAAAAAACTCTTTCTTCAACAAAATATTTTTGTCCAAAACTTTTTAATTAAAATTAAAATAATCACAATAAATTTATGAATAATATTTTCTAATTTCATATTTTTATTATTAAAATCAAAGCTTGCGCTTTTTTGTATAACCAAAAATATTTGTTTATGTTTGACGTTTATTTATACATACATTTTATAAATTTTTTTATTCCCTGAAGCTCAACTTCTCCGTCTGACGTATTTTTTTTTGAAATAAGAATTTTTGACATAACAAGTGATGTCACATATTTCTCTTTTTAAAGTTTTTTCAGAATTTATGTACAACTACTTGTTACAAATTCGTGTCACCTCTTACCTAAACTACACATTTCAACTGCACTAAGGTAACATTAAACATAGTTCATAACGTAATAATTGTCTCTTTTTTAAATGTATTGTTAATCTAAATATTTTACATAAAACAGAAGAGGGCGGACATATATTTAATAAAAATAGAAACATAACCCAATTTTTTATGATATTTGCGACTTCCTTTTCCTTTTGAAAATCCAGACTACAGTTGTAAGGTGATATTTAGCTAACTAAAATTTTGTAAAATGAAAATATTAAATACTAAAATTAATTTTAGGATTTAAAACCATGCCGCCAAAATTTGACCCGACTGAAATTAAATTAGTTTACCTCCGCTGTGTTGGTGGTGAAGTGGGAGCTACATCATCGTTGGCTCCTAAAATTGGTCCACTTGGTTTATCACCAAAGAAAGTAGGTGATGATATTGCTAAAGCCACAGCAGATTGGAAAGGATTAAAAATTACAGTTTGTTTGACTATTCAAAACAGGCAAGCTGCCATTTCTGTGGTGCCTTCAGCTGCATCGCTTATCATTAAAGCGCTAAAAGAACCACCAAGAGATAGAAAAAAAGTAAAGAATATTAAACATAATGGCAACGTGTCTTTTGATGATATTTTACAAGTTGCAAGAACCATGAGACCAAGATCAATGGCTCGTGAACTTTCGGGCACAGTAAAAGAAGTTTTAGGAACTGCTCAGAGTGTTGGGTGTACAATAGATGGTCAACATCCCCATGATGTTATAGAAAGCATTAACAATGGAGAAATTGAAGTTCCAGCAGAATAAATATATTAAAACTTATATTTAAATTGAATTTTTGTTTTAGATTAATAATTTAATAACTAGGTACCTTAACGCATTAATTTCCAAGTGAAACTTTTTTAAATTAGGTAGCTACGTAGCTAGTACAGGATATAAAGCAAAGAACCTGGTACAGAATATAAGGCAATACATGTATGAGATTATGTTTATAATGCTGGTATTAATGGATCTTTAAGATACCTTATTTCTAATGCTTCCAATATTAAATTTGTTGTGATATTGTTTTTGTGATATCATTTGGTATTACGACAATTATATTTTTGTACAGCGTATTTTTGATAATTCAAATTTGCACTTAAAGCTCTGACTTAATTCTCAAAAATCATTTGGCATCGTAACAGATCTATAGGAATTAACTAGTTTACTTTTTCAGATTCAGAACTTCAAGCGTAATGCGATTTTCGAACATTTTTAATGGATTTAGTGAACACGCTACGTTTAAAGATTTTTTTGTATTGTGAACTGAATTTTCGAAAAACCCCACACTCGAATATCGTAAAATTTTTCATTGGCCAATAATTGTAAAACATAATGCCTGTATATGCAATAAATAAGACATTAATACTCAAAATTAAAAAAATACTTTATTCGTTCAATATACATATGTATTAGACAATTCACATATTTTCTTTTGCTGCCTTCATATCCTCCAACATAGCTTTCAATTGTTTGATATTTGGTAATTTTTTTAAAACTCTCTGCGGCTGAGTGGATCCTTTTGTACCTTCAGCGTCGTGGTATTCAGCTGGATGAGAATGCTTTTCGTGCTTTTTACAATTTGAAGGATTGGCGTATGTTTGTTCGCAGAATCTGCACACATAAGGTTTTAAGCCACTATGGATCAACATATGCAGCTGTAATGTAATGTCTCTTTTGAATTCTTTACCACAATAGTTGCACTGGTATGCTTTAACATCCGAATGGACCAACATATGATTTTTCAAAGTCTTCTTAGTTTTTAATAATATACCACAAACTGAACATGGAATTGAAGGTTCTTTATGGGTGTTCAAATGTCTCTAAAAACAAAAATCACAATTATTGAAAAAATTTGTGATTTGAGAATATTTTGTTTAATATTACCCTCAAACTGGTGGAATTTTTACAAATTTTCTGACATATTTCGCAAGACATCATATTTTCCTCGTGAGTTTTTCTACGATGTGACCACAAATTGCTTTGAGAAGAGAATGCTTTGCCACATGCTTCACACACAAATGGCCGTTCATGGGAATGTGTTCCACGTATGTGAGATCTCATAGCTCCTTCAAAATTAACAAAGTATAACGAATATATATTAGGTATAAAGGCATTAATAGTCTTAAATATTTCTTCTTAACGTACCCTTTTGAGTGAATTTTTGACCACATTCTGGACATTTAAACAAAAGTTTTTGCCTCTCTTCAAGAGGCAGATGTAATTCTCTATGAAATTTTAATTTTTGTTTTGTTTTGCATTTTTTACCACAGTATTCACAAGGGGGAAGTTCTTTTATAATTTTATGCGATTTTTTTAAATGAGTTGATAAATTATTTTCTCTAACAAATTTCATAGAACATATTTCGCATTGAATGGTTTTTTCTTCATCTCTGTATTTTTTTTTAACACGTTTAGGATTTTGATCTTTTTCTAGATTATATATGTTTTTTTTCCTAATATTTTTATTCTGTATCTTCTTCGTTTTCCGTGTGTGCACTAATATCGGAGGCACATTTTCAGCATTATTTTTAATGTCATTGTTTTTTACTTCCTTATTGTAATTATTACCAACGTGTAAATTTTCCTCGCATTTGAGCTCTTTATCGATTTCGAATGTATCCTTCAAATCTGTAATACTCTTAATATCGTCTTCAGATTTTGAAATTGTTAAAAGTATTCCTTCCTCATGATCTGAAATACTGTCATCTTTTATAAAAATTGAGTCAAATAGGAATTTTTTTGCATTTTTTCGATTTTTCTTCTTTTGATCTAAAGTTGTTTCCTCCTTCTGAATTTCGTGTAACAGAGTATTATCTTGGGAAACTGAGCTATCATTCTCGATGCCATATTTTATCCTTAATTCATTGAAATTAATTTGGGATCCGGATTTCATAAGATATTCGAGATCAAGAAACATTTGTTGAACCTTATTTGTTGAATCATTAAAAGTTATTAAGTTCAATAAATATTCATTGCAAGATGAACAAATTTTGGTTGGGAACTCATCGTAAGTATTTATCTAAATGAAAAAAGAAAATACAAATATGTATGTATTTGAAAAAACTACTTTATTTTCTTTTTGTACCGTGACTGAAAAATATTTCTGAATAGCTTCTGATATATTTGGAAAGTTTTCATTTTTAATAAAAACATCTACTTGATTTCCGTTTTCCTTCCCACAAAGACGACACCATTCTATCCATTCCATTATGTTTTTAAAAAATATATTTATATAAATTTAATATTTGTTAAATTATAATGACTGCTAGTATAAATGCTTATATACATAATTTTATATGTATTTTTAATATTTTTTAGTGCAAAACTACAATTTTGTATAGTTTCGTGTGTTGTGACAACTGACAAGTATCAATTGTGCAAACAAGATTTCGATTCCGAATTTTTTTTGCTTGGCTCGTAGATTGATTACCTATGTTTACATGTCGACTTTTACGCAATGATTGACATACGTTTCATTTCTTTTTGCCAATCAATTAATTGCAATTATTTATGTATATTATAAATTTTTGCAAGAACTATAGCAGAAAGAAACCTATGATAAAACTTGAAAAACTTTAAAAAGCGAAAACCGTGACGTCACAAAATCTGATTTTTTGCAACGAAAAACAAAATCTGATTTAAAAAGAATTAACCAGACGGCAAAGTTTAAAGAACTTAATAAAATACATAACAAACGTCATATTTCAAAATATTTATCAAACATAAACAGTACATACATAAAACAGAGGATATATTTTGACAGCTTTATGATTTTGAAAGTTTTTGAAAAACATTAATCATTGAGAAAACGATGGCGTTATCATTTTCTCCCATTTCTTCAACTTGAAAATTTGTCTTTAAGTATTACATATACCAGAGTGCATACTAAAACTTTGTAATGTCTTTTCAAGTTTTTAAAAACTTTCTTATACCAGACAGACCTACATATGTAATATGTATTTATCTATTCAAAGAAAATTTTTTGATCTAAGCAATGGATGTCTGAAAAAACATTAAAATATTTTTATTTTAAAATTTTTTAAAAACGCTACAGTTTTTTATGCAGTACTTCTTTTTTATATTTAAAAATTTCACTTTTTTAAATTACTGTTCAATTATTTTAGTTTATACAAAAGCCAAAACCAAACCTATACAAATACTGTGCAACGAATTAATAGAAAGTGTCACATAAGTTAATCATAAATTAAACAAAATTCAATGTTACCTTATTTGGCCTTATCCTCGACGTTCGATGAGAACGACACCGAAAACGACTACTTATTACAAAAACAAATTTTTAGTTTCGTTGAATGAAATTTTAATTTAGCGTTCTCGTTAGAAATTTGACAACAGGAACTTAGTGGAACTGGAACACATTTGGTTGTCAAGCTGTTTGTCAATTTATATATAATCAAAAATAAAGATTACTTTTTGTATAAACAAAATGTATCAAATGAAAGTACTTAAATAAAATAAATGTATTAAAGAGTTTTTAATATGTATACTTAAAAATTTATAAAAATAAGTTGTTGAAACAGCTTTTATGCTCTGTGTAACAAATAATTGTTATTTAAAATATTTTTTTCCTTTGTAATCGATTTTACAAAAATAGTAAATATTGCTTTGCAATAAGCCATATTCCTAAATCACTGTTCACCAATAAATTGTAGACAACCATTATTTTAAAAATATCTTAGGTGCATCAAGTATGAAGTACATAAATGAATGTTGAAATCAAAGTGAAGGTTTAATAATTAAAATATACATGACTTAAAGTGAACAATAAAATTAAGGAGTTTTAATTAAATTTAAAAAAAAAATCAAAAGTTTAATGAGAAAAAACGGGTGCTTTGGTTATTTTAAACAGGTCGTTGAATGTTGTCGTTCCCATTGAGTGTTGTTTCACCGACATCATGTGATTACGTATAGATGTCGTTCTCATTGAGTTTCCAAAGTTAAGCACTCCCTGATTTAGTATTTATGTTCGTACAGAAACCAGACGAATAGAACGTATCTTCGCGCAACAAACGCGTCACTGGCTCATGTTTCCTATAGTTCGCAATATGACGCGGAAAATTGAAAATCTCGACTGATCTTAAGTAACTGGGACTCTTCCTGCAAAAAAGTCAACCAAATAAAATCGGGCCAATCACATTTTTAGTTTTGGGTGAAAATATTTTTTGTACTCAGCCTAGACGAGTAAGTCAATTTTTTCTTACATACCGTGGAACACTTGAGGTGACTTATCATGAAAATAAATAGAATTGAAACATTGAAGACTGATGTCAAAAACGTTGATAGTTAACCCCATATTATTTTTTCTTTCTTAGTCATTGATGTGTACATACATGTAAATAAAATTTTATCGATCGGACAATATTTAAATTTGATGCATATTTATCGTCCACTTTTTGAAATTTGGAGCACAGCAAAATGGAAGACGAATTGCCAAGTCAATTTGATTTAATAGTTATTGGAACCGGTAAGAAAACAATATAGCAGTAAGTACAATCAGTATGCTGTTTACGGGTTGGTAATTTATATATGTACATATTATGTAGATATATATTATATATTACGTATATATAATATGTACGCAGGAAATAGCGTGTGTGCTCCGAGCTCTGTACTTATAGAAAAAGTTTAATAAACTTATTGCTTTTCTAATTTTTAGAAAAACAACTAGATATCTTTAATGGAAACTAAAAATATAATATTCCAATTTGTTTTGCATATTGTTGTACCTTTTTTCAAAGGTTTTTCTGAATCAATAATCGCAGCAGCAGCAAGCCGTATTGGAAAAACAGTACTTCATTTGGATCCAAACGAATTTTACGGTGGCACGTGGGCTTCATTTAATTTGGAATCTTTCCAAGATTTTATAGCACGAGTTAATCAAAAAGACCAAAATAAAACATTTCAAAATGCATGTGGAATAACATCAGGCGAACAAGAGTGGTTTATAGAAGAAAATTCTGAAGAATCGGAAAATGACAATTGGACTAAAGAAAGAATTGTAAAAGAATTTCGAAAATTTAATATTGACTTGACACCAAAATTGTTATTTAGTTCTGGAAAATTAGTTGAGCTCTTAATTAGCTCCAATATTAGTCGATATGCAGAATTCCGTGCAATTGATAATGTTTGTACTATCTTTGAGGGTCAAATTCGTAGTGTTCCCTGCTCTCGTACTGATGTATTTAACTCAAAAGATTTAACCATTATTGAAAAACGTTTACTTATGAAGCTTTTATCTCAATGTATGACTTATGAAGAACATCCGGAGGAATTTTCTAAATATGAGGGTTAGCCGTTTTTTTTAATTAACTAATTTATGTTTTATAAAGTTATCAATTTCATAGGAATGACGTTCCTAGAGTTTCTTCATGAAAACCGTCTCACAGATAAAATTATACATTGTGTTTTGCATTCCATTAGTATGTGCAGTGATAATACCGGTTTTAAAGAAGGAATGGAGAGGATTCGAAAGTTTTTGCACGGACTTGGGCGTTATGGAAACACGCCTTTCTTATTTCCTATGTATGGATGTGGAGAAATACCTCAATGCTTTTGCAGACTTTGTGCGGTCTTTGGTGGAATATACTGCTTAAAGAAACAAATAGATAAAATTAAAATTGAAGAGAAATATGCAGACGAAAAAATTGAATACGAAATCCATTTAGAGAGCGACAATCATATAATTCGAAGCAAAAATTTGGTTATTGGAAATGGAGACATTGGAACGTGTCTGCCGCAAAATTTCCAAAATACTTTAGAAGATAGAAAAAAATGTGGTAATTTAGCAAGAGCCATATTTATTACATCTTCGCCATTTGGAAACGAGACAATTAATTCTGGTGGGGGGGGTGTAAATTTTTTAAGAATTCCCGATAACATAAACAGTGTTTCAATTATTCAGTTGTCACATTATTCTGGTACTTGCCCAAAAGGATTGTGTAAGAAAGTGAGATTTAGTATTTATAAAACCAAATACATTAGTTTTTCTTTCCAGATTTGACACATATCACATCCCCTTCTGCGACTGGTAATGCAAAAAAGGATTTGAAGCAATACATTGAACAAATATTTGATCTAGAGAATCCACCAAAATTGCTTTATTCAGCATATTTTATTATTTCTGAATGCAGAGCATGTTATCATAATATGAAAAATAATTTAATACATTTTGCTTGTGGGCCTTATGCAGAATTGGATTACGATTTATCCATTGAAAATGCTAAGAACATATTTGATCAAATTTATCCAAACAGTGAATTTTTACCTCGGGCCCCAGATCCTGAAGAAATAGTGATGGGGGATGAAGATCCTACAGCACCATCTTCAGTTTTTATTGCTAGTGAAAAGATAATAACTGAAGACATTAAAGATAAAATTAAAGAACTGGAAGAAGGTATTGAAAATGAATTACGCATTATGGAAAAAAGTTTGTCTAACGATCCTAACGAAAAATAATATCCAAAAACACAAAAATGGTACTCAAATGGTACTGTGGCTTTAATTTAATATAAATATTTTAACTTATTTTATAGCCTTATCTTAATTAATGACTTTTATTACACTTTCTTATGAAACAGAAAAATAATATTTCAAGTTGATATATAAAATCTAACAAGCATTTTGTTGATTACGTGAAGGTGATTTTCAATTCATTCTTTGGTGGCGCAAAATAAGTGAGACCGTTAAAAAGTGAAACACTATTTACATTTTAAATATAATTAGGTACTTGAAAAGTTTCAGTTACTCGGAATAAGTTGCGAAATTTATGTACATATATAAATCACGAAACTTCAAAGAAAGGATGTGTGTATGGACAAATTTTGGTTTTCGTATTATTTGTATTAAAAAAATCGCCTGTTAAATCTAATGTTTTTGGCAAAGTTTCAAAATAATCGAAAGTCATAGTTGCAAAAGATGGAGTATATAAAAACCCAGAATACCATCACCTCCAAGAATTGTACCTTCCTATCTTAGGGCAAATATGAAGATATTTTATTTTTGGAACAAATGAATAAATAGCAGTGATCATAAATGATGATAAATTGAAAATAATTCACAGTACATATTAGAAATTTTAAAAAGTAAGAAAAATCTAACAATTTATAACTTTTAAAATATACATACATATGTATTTTTGTAGTATTGGTGTTCTTAATTAATTTCTTATTCAGTTTTATATAATTATATAATTTGAATTTTATGAAAAAACCAACATTCTTTAATTTTTTTCATATTTATGAGCCCGGAACATGCTTACACAATGAACATACTTAAATGTATACCTTTGTCTGTATAACCTACATATGTATGTATGTATGTATGTATATTCATATACCTTGACATAACAAAAATATCAGCCATGATCTGGACTGACCAAAATACTTTTGTGTCACAGTATTTTAGTTTTTTAGTTCCGTTCAGACTTTCAGAGGTTGGGTCTGGGAGAGCTATCGTATTGACAATTTGATCGTAGTGATATTTGACAGTCGCAAAATCAGTCCGTTTTCAATATTTAAAAATTGTTCTGTACCACATCACGGGTTTGCCAAGCTAACGGAATACAATAAAAAAGAAATTCCAAATTTGTATGAAAATCAAAAGGGCTTTTTAAAATTGACTAAAACTTTGAACTCTGGTGATGCTTCATATTATTTGAACAGTTCAAAACTTCAAAAAAAAGGACTAGCAAAACTGCTAGAACGCATCAAATTTTCCTTCCTATATTCGAAATAGATAGAAAAAAATATTGAAATCCATAGAAAAATTTTTAATTAAAAACTTAAAAAAGTTTTAATTTAAGTAAATTTGACTACCTCGACGGCTCCATAGAACTATTCTAAGTGCACTAATAAAAGTTTTCCCTGCTCCTGTTCATGTACCCATAAAATTTTTTGTAAATCTAGCTTTAATAGAAATTCCACAAATAGGTATAAAAAAAATTTTATTTTAGGCTGTTCAAGAGGCTTTTAAATATTGTATTTCTAGAACATTATTCTAAAGTGTTTTTTTTTTAAAGTGATTTACAATAATAAGATATCGCAAAACTTCTATTTTTTGTTGACTTGCATTTCTATTGCTTGTAAAAATATAAGTTTTAACTAAAGTTTCAATAATAGTCACGAAACGTTAAGTTTTTGCAAAAAAGTTACAATATTTTCATACAAAATGCATTTGTTCTAATTCTTCTTACATTTAATGAAAACATTGCTTTTCATGATATTCTATTTATAAATACTATAATATTTTACAATAAATGTTGCAAATCGACATGAATTAATATCACACAGAATTTGTGAAACGTTTTTTATTGTAAGTATAAATACACTAAAAATGTTATTTACTTCGCGGTTGTATGTTGACTTAGTGTAAATTGCCATTTTTTTGGTTATTTAAAAGAGAAAAGTTTAGTTTTAAATAGTCTAATTAAAATAAAAAAAATAAATTTTTAGCAGGACCTATTAAGAAAATTATTTCCAATATTTCGCCTTTTATTTCATTACGATACATAATGAGAAGTTTTTTTGCTCTCCTGAAAACCTACGTTTTTGAGATACAATAGTTGTATCTGGAGCCGTCGACTTTTACTTTTTCATTTAGGAAAACATAATTAGATTAATTTTAGGCGACTTTGCTAAATCAATAATAAAAACATGCTATATAAAATGAGCATATCAAAGATTGAACAAAATTATTTAAATTGAAACACTTCTGAGTATAAAATATCAAGAAATGTTTTTGTAACATATTTTACTTCGAAATACTTTAGAGAATAATTTCAGCTAACAGCTTAACTTAATGGTCCGATTGACATAATGTGTGATGTTGTATATATGTATGTATGTATAGCATTTACTGAGAACTCTGATTTGAAAAATTATACGACAGAGCTTATATTCTGTCACTTAATAATTCTTCGAATTTGAACCAGTTTGAACTAACATAGCTTTGAAAAATTTGAATTTTTTTTAGTTTGATCAAAAGTTTATTTTAGAATTCCAACATACCATACAACCACGTGTAAACAGGCCTGTTTAAATGACATTATTTAAAGTATCAATTTTTTTTTTGATAAAATTGATATTTTCAAATTTTTTAAGGAAAAAGTTGATTTAATATACATACATACATATGTTTATTATATATGTAAATAAAAATTGGGATTTTGTCAACCACCATCAAAAATCCGAAGCAATCCAAATAATTTAACTATATTTCGATTATATATGTATACATATGTACATATATTATAAAAATTTTTATTACATACATATGTAAATTCATTTTTCTGAACAATATTTTTAAGTATGAAATTTAAGTGAAGTTATAATAATTTGGACAGTGAAAATTAAATAATCAAATATAATTCAGTTCAAAAAGTTTGCTTTGAAATAGAAAACGATTATTTGGCTAATAAACGGAACCAAAAGATAAACCTTTTATTTAAGAACTGAAATCACATCACTTACATAAACAATAATCCACTGCATCAATAATTCGCATTTTATCTTCAGTATTGTGTACATACATGCATACAGATATATATGGTATAATAAATATTGGCTATGTTGCAACTTACATTACATCATAATATTGGGTTTGAAGGTCTTTAACAATTTTGCATCTTTTCTTAGAATGTTAAACATGGAAAACATGCATCACACAGTGGAGGGTGAGGCATCCGAATCAGATGATGAGCAAAAAAATGGTTTTATGTATGAACAATATAAACACCCTATATAATTTGCTTTTTTTAAAAAAAATAATATGTACGAGATTTGTAGGTTTTCTAGAAATTATGGAATAGCTGTTGATGGTGAGGCTTCAGAGTCTGAAAATGAAGATAAGAATTTGATTGAATATGATAAAAGAAAAGATAAATCAAAAGACAAAGCGGAAAAAGAACAGCTTTTTTTCAAAGGAATACTCTCGGATAAAATTTGGCTTATTCTAACAGAATTTAAATACTTAGTTTGGGACAACATAAAAAAAAATATAGAACACAATTTGATATTTTCAACTAAAAAAGTGAGGGAAGCTGATAAAATGCTTTTGAAATCGCAAATGGCATTACAAATAGTCTCAAACAACTTGGAAAATTCCAAAAAAAATGTCTTAAAAATTATTGAGGTGACTCAGATGCTTGAGAGTACGAATTACTTACCGTCCTTAAACATAAGAGAAAGAATGTAAAAATCTTTTAAATAATTAAATATTGGAAAAAATACTTTCATATATTATTGAAAAACAACTTAGACAATTTCACAATTAAAATAAAATGGAACAAACCAAACTCTTTTTCAATTTTCTGTTCAATTTCTAGCATTAGGAATTGAAAATGGATTAAAATATTTAATAATAACCTCAGTTCGTATCTCACATTTTCCTACATTTTTTTTTTGTAACTTTTAAATCAAAAGTCTAATTGTATTATTTCACTTTTTTTCAATTTTCTCGCGTTTTCACTTTTAACTTAATGCACCCTCATTAATTGTTAGAGGTTCACGCTCTGCCTTTAATTGTTCAAGCATTGCTTCCAACTGAGCAATATTTGGTAGCTTTTTCTGTATTAGTTGTTGTGGTTCATCGTTGATGATAGCAGCAGCTGCTTCGTATTCATTTGGGTGAGAATGTTTCTCATGTTTTTTACAATTAGATCGGTTTGCGTATGATTGGCTACAGAATCGACAAACAAATGGTTTTAATCCACTATGCGTTATCATATGTATTTGCAAGTTCTTATCGCGTTTAAAATCTTTACCACAATAATTACCTTTGAAGAAAAATTGAACTAGTTAATTTTAAAAATAAAATATTTAACTTTTAATTAACACAATAACTGGATTTACTTACATTTGAATGGTTTATCATCTGAATGAATTAACATATGATTTCTTAATGTCTTACGAGTTTTTAAAACTTGCCCGCATACTGAACATGGATGTCCGATGGAGTTATGTGTATGTTTTATATGAAACTAAATTAAAAATTTTAAATACATATAAAAGTTTTGTTTTTTTCGATTTCAAAATAAACATTTACCCTTAATTTGTGAGGATTATTAAATATTTTGGGACAAATACTGCATTTCAGGCGACTTTGATTATCGTGGGTTCGTTTATGCGAACATAAATTTGACTGTGAAGCAAAGTTTTTGCCACATTGCTCACAAACGAATGGCTTTTCTTGCAAATGAATTGCTCGAACATGTTCTTTTACTTTAGCACCTGAAAAATGTATAATTAATTGTTGAAGACGTTTTTAATGTTAATAGTAACTTTGTGTAAATTTTTTGGTACAATGTGGACATTTATATAAAAGCTTTTCCCGTTCTTCTGGTGGCAAATGTAGTTCTAGATGAAGTCTTAATTTTTGCTTTGTTTTACAAACTTTTCCACAAAATTCACATGGCGGCAGGCCTTTATGACTCTTTTTAATATGGTATAGATAATTCGATTCTCTTGTAAATTTTTGATGACATTCTTCACATTCGAAGTTTTTTTCGCCAGTTTTGTATATTTTCCTTTTGGTTTCTGTATATTTCTCTTGTTTTTTTTCACTCCTTTTGACTTCATTATTTTGATTTAAACTTTCATTTGATGATGATTTAACTGAACAGGTATCCTGATCGAAGTCATTGGAATCTTCGAAATTCGATAAAGGCACCGAAGCCTGGTGAACGGGATAATTTTTTTCTGCTAACGCTTTTAAATCAGAATTTTCAATTTTTATACTAAAACAATTCGGTGTGTTTGTTTCTAATATTCCAAAATCATGATTTTCTAAAACGTTTGAATCAACAGATACTTGTTTTCGACAGATTTCAGTTTTCAAATACGCTTGAGTTTCGAATAAGTTTAGTTTTGATGTTTTCCCAAATTCTGTATCAATTTGAATATCTTTTTTGGTATGAGGTGACCGTGTTTGAAGTTCATATTTTACTCGAAGCTCATTGGGATGAATTTTATTTCCAATTTTCAAGTTTGATTTAATTTCAAGAAATAATTGTTGCACCTTGTAAATTTTTGCAGCGTAGTTATTTAGTGACCATATGTAATCGCTACAAAGTGAGCAAATATTATTTGAAAGTTCTTCTGTATTTATAATCTATAAAATAAAGAACAACATTAAAAATCTGTTATTGTTTATATATTTGTTGACAAAACCTCAATAGAGAAAAATCGTTTAACAGCATCTGCTACATTAAACTGATTTTCATTTTTTATGAAAATATTGATATAAGTTCCATCGTCTTTTGCACATAGCCGACACCATTTACTCCATTCCATTTTCATATATGTATATAATTTTTAAATTTTCAAAATATCTATTTAAATTTAACAAAAAATAAATACTACTTTATTTTTTGACACATGTTCTATTTATTATAATCTGCACATAATTTCCTTTTTTCAAATACATATGTACTTATGTATGTATATCTGTGAGAAGAAGCAATTTGTCAAATTTATGGTACTGCTAGGTAATTTAGTATTTCAGTAACCTTCGCAAGTAGAATTTTTACAATTCAAGAAAAGGAACTTAATTAATTTAACAGCTGACAGCAATACAGGCCTGATGCCTGAATCTTACGAGTGATAGTTCAAGGTGAAGAGTTTACACGTGTTCTTATAGAAATAATTCGAGGGTATTTCTTATCCCTATATAAAGAATCTCCCATAAGAGAATATTTTTTTTAATTTGTGGTAATTAACAGAAATAACGAAACGTCTTTATATTTTATTCGAGCTAACGATTTATATTTATTTCATTTATAACAACATTCTTTGTTGTTAAATATACCGTTGCTCGGATCATGCTATTCTTTTTCTATAACTTAGGCCCTTATTATGATCGAAGAAGGAAATGAAATTTTAGGCGAATATGAATTTTTGGTATTATGATAAGCGAATGACCTGTCAAATCTGCCAAATGAAAATACTGTATGACGAGTTTGGCAATTGAAACCAAAAATCAAATTAATAGTCTTACTATGATCAGCGAACAGAATGGCTAGGCGAATCGAATGATATTTTATATTATGATCGGCGAATACTTTGATTCGCCAGATCCAAAATGTTGCTGCTGCAAGACATAAAAAAACCTACCGAAAATAATAAGGTTAACACAACACATAATATATATGTACATTGTTTTTGCTTTTCTGCAAAAGCAATTGAATTTTCCTATCCTTTAAGCATGTCGGGATTGTTGTCCATTAATTTATCTAAATTCTCGAATTGTTTTTGGTTCGTTTTTTCACGCTTAAATTAATATTAAATAATCAATATTTTTCCATTATATCACTATAAATGCTATAATGTGATTATTAGGAAATATGCATTGTGGGAGACATGCATAATTAATAAACTTGTTAATATCAAGTATGTATACATTTTCTCAAATTTGAAAAAATGTACAAAAATCAAGTAAATGCTTCGAAAAAAAAAAATTTACACTTGCAGTATAGCATTTATTGAAATCTTAAAAAAAAAGATCCAGGAAGGTTTTTTAAATCAATTTTGTAATATTTTATAAACACAAAACTTTAAGAATGTAAGCAAAATTAAACCAAAAAAACGATTGAATTTTAGTTTTTTCTAATTAAAAATTTGGAAAAAGTTGATCTTGTGGGAGATTCATGATGTTAAAAATGGGCCCTTTATAGCTCCCATAACAATACGTGTAAGGTCATCAGCTGTGAACTGTTACTCTCTTTTAGGGTCCATGCCTGTGTTTCTGTCAGCCGTGTTTTCAAATAACAAAATTGCTAAAATGTAATATTTTGCAAGGTAATAAAAAGTTATGAATGTGAGGATTCCATATTCTCATGTAACTCAGTAAAAAATACTTCTCAGACAACTTCAAAATTATAAGGATATGCATTTTACAATAAAGCTCATAACGGCAACATAGAATTAGAGACTAATTAACGGATGATGACATTTATTTCGTTGTATAGTACCTTCAAACATATTGCAAATAAATAAATATTAAATGCATGTATGTATGTACATATATTTTAACGTTTCTGAGTAAAATTTATTCATCGCCAACATTAATTTTATCTGATTTGATTTGTTCCAGCATTGCTTCTAACTGTTGAATATTTGGCAGTTTTTTTACAACCTTTTGTTGTGGCTCCGAACATGTAAGTGAAGCTGCATCTTCGTATTCTTTCGGATGTGAATGTTTTTCGTGCTTCTTACAATTTGAACGATTTGCATATGATTGACCACAAAATCTACATATAAATGGCCTCAGTCCACTATGCGTAATCATGTGATTTTGCAAATTTTTGTCTCGTTTAAAATCTTTTCCTAAAAATGTTAAATGAAAATACATATATAAATCTTTTTAAAAAATAGTTTTCAAAAATGAATTTATAATTTGCGAAATCGTAATTTTCAATCTTTTTGTTTTTTTTTTTTAATAGAAAAAAATTAGGTTTGTCTTTATTAAATTAAACGGAAATTTTTTTTTTTAAAAAAAGTACAAATTTATCTGGATTTGGAAAAAATTTGGGATAATTTGTAACTTACCACAAAAGTTGCATTTAAATGGTTTTGCATCCGAATGTACTAACATATGATTTTTTAATGTGTTCATTGTTTTTAATATTAAGCCACATATGGAACATGGGTGACAGGAATCATTATGACCTCGCATATGTACCTAAAAAAATTTCCGTCTGTGATTCCCAGAGTTTAAACATACATAATGATATAAAACTTTACCCTTAACCTAAATTTATTTTTAAAAACTTTTGGGCATTTGGGACACGTTAAATGATTTTTGTCATCATGCGATCTTCTATGAGACCATAAATTTGTTTGGGAAGAAAATTTCTTCCCGCATTGTTCGCAGATAAAAGGCTTTTCAAAGTGATGTTGTGCTCTAACATGAGAACGCATAGCCCCATTTTGGGTAAATTTTTGTGGGCACTCCGGACATTTGAAAAGCAGTTTTTCACGTTCTTCGGGAGGTAGATGTAATTCCATGTGGAACTTTAATTTTTGTTTTGTCTTACAAACTTTACCACAAATATTACAAGGCAAAATTGGTTTAACAACGTTATGTGCTTTTTTTAAGTGATATGCATAGTTTGATTCTCTGACAAATTTCATGTGGCATTCTTCACATTCAACTTTTTTCTCTATTTCATTGAAAATTTTTTTTGTTTGTTTTCTTAACTTTGAAGTCAAATTCATTTCAGAACTATCAAATTGATCAAAATCATTTAGTTCCTGCTTTACTTCATCTTCTACCGAAATATTGGATATTTTATCCTCTGAGTTATTTTGATTTAGAGCGCAGTGCCTGTTTTCGTTACATTGCAGCTTTTCAATATCATCAAAAAACAAGTTTTCATCATTTTTCGTTGTAAATTGTCCATTATTATTAAAAGTATTATCAATTGTATGTCTTAGCTTAATTTTTCGAAACGTAATGTTCACTTTATTTGAAATTTTCGAATAATTAGCATTTCTATAACCCTCATACTGATTGTTTCCTTTTTTATCAATGCTTTCAAAACCATACTTAATTCTCATATCATATGTTTCTATTTTTTGCCCATTTTTACAGTTAAAATCAATTTCCAAAAGCATTTCTTCAACTTTCCTCGCCTTTTCCGAGAAACTTTGCAAAGATTTAAGAAATTCATTACAAACAAGGCATATATTTTTCGGCATATCGTCAAAATTGTTGATCTGGAATTTATGAACTTTTGAATGTGAGTTTATAAATATGAATTGTGATATTTACTTGAATTGAAAAAAACTGATGTATTGTTTTAGCTATACTATAAGAGTTTTCTTCTTTTGTGAAAATATTTACTTCATTTCCATTTTCCTTACCACACAATCTGCACCATCGATACCATTCCATAATATTGTTCTGTGTAAATTGGACAATGTTAAAAGGTTTCCAAAAACACATTAATAGGACATAGTGAATCTTAAAAAAACACACACTTTCTGTTTTGTTTTCTTGTATATTGCATCTCTATTGTTCATTTCATTAGCACCGGGGAAATTTTAAATTGAGAAAACACATTTATTTTCAATTGTATTTTTTTTAAGTTGAAATAATTTGCCAGAAAAAATTTCAAGTTTATAACTTTACAACTGCTCTTTACAATAAGTACTCTTAATCAATTTTTTCTATTTATTTTGCTTTTCAATCCATTCTATTCGTAATTGCTTTTGGTCGCCAGGAAGCTTATAAATTTATTTCTTTTTTTCAAGTATTATTATGCAGAAATAGATATATGGAGTTATTATTATCCGTAACGTAGCATTTGTTTTTAATTGAAAAATAAAAACACTTGGATATGACAATTGGGAAAATTAGGAGCTAATTCCTAGTCGTATCATAAGACACCGTTTACACATCAAGCAAATCTTGATGTTTAAATTTCACAATTATTATGAAATGGATGAGAAATTCTGTTTACACATTGAGCATTTAGTTGAATCTTTATCCATATTCGTAGTACATATATATACATAGCAAAGTGAGAGTGATTTATTTGAAAAGTAAAAATAAGTAACAAACTAATTAAATTATTATTTTAAAATCAAACGAAAAGTGAATAATTAATAAGCAAATAAAAGATAATTTAAATCAACGCGAAAAAAATAAACTAAAATAAAAACATATAGTTTTCGTCGAATTTATTTTCAGATATAGCATATAATATAATATAATTAAGATGCCATATCAGAAAGTTTTAGCACCTGCTGTCGCAGTTTTGGTTTGTCTCATCGATAAAGAAGTCATGGAAAAAAAACAGGAAAATAGTATTCAAAGAACAAAAAAAATTTGGTAAAACAATTTTCTAGTAAAAATTCCTTTTTCGATATCGAAACCAAAGTGCTGTCCGACCTGCTAGATGAGAACGAGTCATGTTTTCAAAAGTTCACAAGGATTAAACATGATGCATTTGAACTTCTGTATTGACTGGTTTGTGTTTTAAATAATTTAGTTTTCGAAAATAAACTTTAAATTTTTTTCTAGAATGAAAATAATAAAGCCGGAAAACCGGTTCAGAGAAATGATTTCTACCAAACTGAAATTGGCAATTTCCTTGGTATAAGCTATATATTTGGTTAGTGATGGTTTCAATATATCATTGGATTGTCAAAACCGACAATTTTTTTATTTATACCGAAAGTCCTGGAAGCTATATATGACGAGCTGAAAGACTTTTACGTAAAGGTGAATAATGGTTTTTATGTACTTAAAAAATTAATAAAAAAAAAATGAGGAAAGAAAAAAGTTTTTTCGATTTTTCATAGTAATTTTTATAATCTTCTGATTTTATTTTCCACAAACACTCTTTTATTCAAAAAGATTTAAAAAATTCAATTATTAATGAGCAACAACCACTAGAAATTTTTTATTGATTCAATTAACCTATCGCCTAGTATTTTTTTGATTTGCTCGATGTGTAAACGGTGTCTAATGTTTTGATTATAAAGTTGAAGCTGCATTGTGAAAATTGTTTGAGTTGGTAAAATTGGTATATGTATATGAATAATTCTCCAAAATACTAGAAGTCGGTATTTATAATAAAGAGTTGATGAATATAGTTAATGAGCAAAAATTTTCAATTTTAATTACCTAAATAAAGCAAACTCCTAGTAATAATAAGAAAGTATAATAAGATAGAAAAATTAAATTTTATAAATATATAACACTATATAAATAGTTGAATATTACTTATTAATATTCAACTATCATATACTATTTATTCAACTAATTACTAAACTGATCAAAATACATATATTTATTTACAAAGCGAATTTGAAAACATGATGTTCGTATCTTGTTACTGAATTTTTTCATAGTCACTTAACATTTTTATTTGAGGACTTCGCTATTCCTAGCAACTCTTTAATTCGCGTGAGTACATGAATTTTAAATGTCATTTTCGTTACTATTTATATATACGACAAGATCTACCACTTTTAATTTGAGTCTGACGAAAATCGTATATCTAAACATTGCTTGAGATCAGAGTTCCTTTTAATTTTACCTCTGTAACCTATTTTATGTTTATATACTGCGTTTACATATGTATAGCTTGAAGCTGATGTATAGCTTATGGGCCTGACCGTATATCTCGCTATTTTATTTCGAAAGTGAGTTACTTTCATATACATACTTGTATAATGTAATTTTCGAGTGAGAAGATTATTTGGTATTGCGTATCTTGTCTTTTCCTAAAATGCATACAAAATTTATTCGCTTTGTTTTAAAAATTGAAAAAGTTTTGTCGATAATTTGAGAAAACATGCAAAAATCCAATTAAAGAGTGAATAATTTTATTGAAAAATGAAATTATTCATTACAAACAAAAATTATAAACAAATTAATAAATAAATTCGAATTAAAAAGTATCACAATAAAAACTTAAACTTAAAATCAAATAAAACTTAAAATAATATTTTTTACATGAAACTTTATATACGTTTATACATTTTTTAATAGTTTATTAATTTTTTAATAACTAGAGCCATGATGATCACAAAATATCTTAAAGGCTTGAAATATTTAAAAAAAAAAACTCATAAAAATATTTATTACATTTTCTTCCTGATCATAATGTTTACTGCATTATTCATTTCCTTATAATGTAGATTAAATTGGTGTTGAAAAAGCGTACTTCGAATAAAAAAAATGTGTACTTCAAATTTTTTTACTGTAATTTTATTTACGGTCAATACTTAGTTCCTAGCTTTTGCATCAATGTTTTTAAAAAATTCTTTTGAATTTGAAATGTTGGCGCCTCGTTTTGCATTAGCAAAGTTTTCAAATCGGTGCCAAATGACAGCCCTGATGCAGATTGAAATTTTAAATCAAGTACTCGATTCACCATATAAGCGAAGTAATATAAACGTTGCTCGACGTGAAGCCGGCTTTACTCGAGTCAATCAAAAAATTTAGATTACTTGGCTTGAAATGTTGACGTAAAATTAAAAACACCGCAGGAGAGCTTAACAAAACATTACGAAGTGCGGGTGTACTTGACTTGAAAATGACAGGACATTTTTTTTTATATCATTAATATATTTTTTATTAGTATGTATTTTCTTTGATTTATTAGTATGTAAGCTTTTAAAAGTAAAAACGCAGTTTGAGCTTAAACCTGATTTCAGGTCATGGACTCAAGTTGCCATATAAACGAGGTAACTGTTTGTGTATACGATAGAATCTAATATTAAGTCTGACGACTTTACATTAAAATTTAACAATTTTGCTACGAAAATTATAATCAAAATAAAAATCAGTTGATTGCTAAATCTATAGATCAGATTTACATATCTATCAGATATGTAAACTGTTATCAGACATAATGTAAGTTACTATTTATATGTACGACGTAATCAACAAGCTAATCTGAGTCTGATGAAAGTCATATATGTAAATCCTGTTCGACATCAATTTATATATGTAAATCCTGTTCGACATCAATTTTTTTCTGGCAGCAAATTATAGAATATACTTTATCAGAATGTCAGATTTTTAAAGGTAATATGCAGGAAATTAATTTTCTGTCGAAGTTTGGTACAGCGGTCACCAGCCATTTTTATTTTATTTATCATTTTCGTAGCAATTAACAAAGCTAATAGATTTTGACGTTAAGTCTGATAGCTATCAGATACTTATAATTTTTTGTGTATAAAAAATCTGATAGCCATTGAAATTAAACGGCTAAATCATATTTTTGCGAAACTGACCTTCAATCGTCAGCCGCGGTTGACACTCGTACTGGTAAACTTTTTATTTTTTTGTTTTGTGGTGAATTTCTTTTTGTAAACAAACAAAACAAAATAATATATTTTTAGCATTCACAAAATACTTTTTGTTGAAAGATATGAGGAGGTATATTCTCATTGTTATGGTAACAGCTTTGAACAAACAAAAAAAAATCTACTAATGAAAACATGCTAATTAAATACTAATAAGAATACACAAACGACTTAGATTTAATAAAATATTTATATATTTTATAATGTCAATTTAGAATGGGCTTTGATAAAGTATACCTTTATTATGGTTATTTAAACGAACTATCAAGTCAAATGCAGTAATTTTTTTATTTTAGGTACTTTTTAAGCACGAAGAGCCGCACGGACCAGGGGATGTATACTTTATTTGGCAAAAAGGTCCCACCGGATCGTTACTGGCTTCCACTGGAGGCGATGGGACTGTCGCCATATTTAATCGACAGGGTTTTTTAATGGAGAGAATCGTTTTACAAGGGTAAGAACAAAGTTTATCTTGTTTATCAATAGTTAATATGCTTTGATCCGTAAATATATCTTTGCTACATTCATCCCGAAATCTATTCAAATCACAGAAACTAATAAATATACTGCGGGAGTAAAGTACTTTAAATCATATAAAATAATAATTTCAATTTCAGTCTATGCTCTGGCTTTTCTTGGGATTGTGATGGTGATTTATTAGCTATTATTACCAATAATTCATCGCAAGTTACAATCTGGGATTCAAATTCACATAAAAAACAAATTATTGAAACAGGGTTAAGAGATTCGTTAAGTTGCGTAATGTGGGCAAAGCAGTCTCAACTCATGGCTGTTGGAACAAGTCGAGGAAATTTATCAATATATAATCATCATACCTCGAAAAGAATTCCTATATTAGGAAAACATTCTAAAAGAATTTTATGTGGTGCATGGTCAATGCAAAATTTATTAGCTTTAGGAAGTGATGATAAAAGTTTTTCATTGAGTAATGAGGAAGGTGATTCACTTCGTGTTGTGCCTTTGCGAGATGTTCCTAGTGATATGTATTTTGCTGAAATGAGGACTGAGGATCGAGTACCTGGCGAAGAAAACACTGTTAGCATGATAATTGGAAAGAGAACTTTATTCCTATATTATCTTCCGGAGCCCGATTCACCTACAGAGCTAGGATTTCAAAGCAGATATGGTTCTTTGGTGCAGCATAAATGGTTTGGTGATGGTTATATTCTTTTAGGATTTTCAAATGGTAACTTAGTTGCTATATCTACAAATTTAAAAGACATTGGACAGGAGCTTTGGCAAGTCAAAAATCATCGAGATATTTTAACTGGAGTAGCGTATTGTCCCCCATTAGATATTGTAGCTTCATGTGGAGATAATACGTAAGATTTCTTTGATATTATCTTTAAAGTGAATTTAAAATGTTTAAAACCTTATTCAACAGGATAAAAATTCATTCAATAACTAATTTACAAGAAACCGAAAAGATCATAACCTTGCCAGACCAATCAGGAGTGCAAATGATTGACTGGAGTTCTGACGGCCAATTAATGGCTGTTACTACTACTCATGGTAGCATTTGCACTTTTGTTACAAAATTACAAATAATATATGCTGTATCCGCACCTAGAATAGCAATTCTGAGTAGCTTAGCGGAAGTTTCAATATACTCACTCACAAATGACAGGGTAAAATTGAATAAAAACTTTTTTATTTAAAATCTTTTGTCGTTTTCACTATTTTAGAAAAATAAGGTACCTATTAAATTAAATTTAGAAGTGGAGCCATCCTTTATCGCTATAGGACCTTTTCATTTAGCTGCAGGAATGAATAATCATGTATGGTTTTACGATTTGGGTCGAACTCTCGGAGAAAGTCCTATGCTTCTAGGGGATCGTGAATTTATTTCTGAAATTAAAGAAGTACAAATAAATTCAGATTTTTGTGCTGCTCTTTGCACGGGTCATTTAATATTGCAATCGATTGAAACCGATAATCCAAACACAAAGAACAAAACAACCCAATCATTTCCAGATGCAATTTCAGGATTATCGGACGCCGTGATAACTTGTCATTTACTTACAAATGAGTTTTTAATATTTGCGACAGATGTTAGTACATTAATTTCTTTATTTTAGTTACAAAACATAGATTGTTATTTCAGCTCGGTTATATAATATTTTTTTCTTTGGAACAATGGACAGTATGTGTGAAATATCAGCATACAATGGGCATCAAAAGTATACAAGCCGATTTAGAAGGAACAAAACTAATTTTTATTGATGATCATATGCAGGGATTTGTTTTTTTGGCTGTAAATATTATTGGATATTTAAAAGTATTAGATCTCAAAAAATTTGTTTTAGTCCTCTGAGGAATCCACTTTAATAATTGATTTTCCAAAAAAATGTGAAGGTGTAATATGGGATATACTTCAACCGAATATCTTCATAGCTTTCGATAACAAGGTCTGCACTACTTATAGCTTCATGCGGTATTCTATAGAAGGTGAAAATTTTAGGAAATATTTTTTTTATGAAAATAGTGTAAGACAATAATTTTAAATAATATAACTTGTATTAGGAAAGCACACAATTAAAATTGGAGAAACCAAATTAATATCTGGACAAATTCCATTACTCTTGTATGACGGTGATTTAAGTTTATGTACAGAGAGTGGTACTTTATCAAATTTAACCTTAACAACGCATCTTGTGACGCCGGGTCAAGATTCAAAAGATCAATTCAAAATTTTAGTTCAACTGAAAAAGTATTATGAGTCTTTTAAACTATGTGACAACGTCATAAAAGATGCCTCAGTTTGGTTAGAGTTAGGCAGAAAAGCAATATCAGACCTTGATATCGATTTTGGTTGGAATTTTTGTTTGTTTGCTTAGAGTTTTTGTTTATTGCAATTTTTTCTTAGCACTAAAAGTTTATCATCACATTGGAGATGCATCTATGGTATTTGCGTTACAAGAGATTAAATATATAGAAGACTTAAACATGCTTTGCGGATTTTGTGCTTTGTTGCTAGATAGATCTGAAGAAGCAAAAGCATTTTTTGCTAAGAGTTCTAATCCGCAGGAAGCACTTGAACTATGCAGGGATTTATTACAATGGGAACAAGCAATGATACTTGCAAATTCTTTAGCCCCGGAACAAGTTCCATTTATTGCTAGAGAATATGCTCAACAACTGGAGTTTACGTAAACATTCATAGTTTTATATATTGATTTATAACAATTCATACTTCAAACCATTGCAGTGGAAGCTATTCTGAGGCCCTTTATCATTACGAAAAGGGATTTAAAGAAGATTTCATATATAGTTCTAATAATACTATTTCGAGTTCTCCGGAAATGGAGGAACATATAAAATTGTGTAAATCTGGTATAGCTAGAACAAGTATTAAAACGGGAGATTTTAGAAGAGGAGTAACATATGAATAAAAATGAAATATGTATATTTGAAATAATATTTTTCTTTTAGATTCAATACGCGCTAGAATTAAATGATCCGCAACTTTTGCATGATTGTGCAGACTCATTAGCAACTGTTGGTCATCTAACAGAAGCGGCTGGCTTGCTTGAAAAGGGAAAATTTTGGGATGAAAGTTGTTCGTTTTATATTCAATTAAAAATGTGGACAAAAGTCAACCAATTATTACCGCAAGTAACAAGTACAAAATTGCATGCGGTTTATGCTAAAGCAAAAGAATCTGAAGGACATTTCAATGAAGCAATATCTAGTTATAGAATTGCCGGCGATTTGGATGCAGTTGTTCGAATATATTTGGAACACATGTCTGATCCACATCCAGCGTCTGAAATCGTATTAGAGTCACGCTCTACAGAGAGTGCGAAATTGTTAGCAAAGTTTTATCAGCGAATTGGAGATATAGAACAAGCTTTGCAATTTCTTGTATTATGTGGTTGCATACAAGAAGCTTTTGCACTAGCACAGCGTCACAATAAACTAAAGCATTATGGAGAACTCTTGGAACAATATGAAAATGCAAAATCAAGTGACTTTTTAGCCTTAGCACATTATTTTGAAAATGAAAAATATACATTGCTAGCTGGAAAATATTATTTCCTGGCAAGAGAATTTTCCAAAGCATTAAAATATTTATTGAAAGCATCATCGTTTAGTAATGAAGAATCACAAGCACTGTCTTTGGCAATTGATTGCGTTGCAACGTCTAATAACGAACAGTTGTCAAATCAACTAATTGAATTTTTATTAGGTGATATTGATGGATCACCTAAAGACCCTAAATATTTATTTCGTTTGTATATGGCTAGAAAACATTTTAAAGATGCTGCAAAGACGGCTGTAGTAATAGCAAATCAAGAACAAATTTCGGGAAATTATCGTAGTGCACATGATTTGTTATTTTCAATGTATCAAGAATTAAGAAGAAATAATTTAAGTATAGCTTCAGATATGAGGCATAATTTGATTTTACTTCATCGCTACACATTGGTCAGGATTCATGTCCGACTTGGAAATCATTTACTAGCTTCAAAACTTTTAGTACAAGTTGCTGCAAACATATCACAATTTCCTGCACGTACGTTTTTCCTTACACTATTTGAAAATAGTAAATAAATGTTGTTATTCTAGATATTGTTCCAATCCTTACTTCTACTGTTATTGAGTGCCATAGAGCTGGGTTAAAAAAATCTGCGTTTACTTATGCTTCTATGTTAATGCGACCAGAATACAGAAATCAAATAGACCCCAAATATGCTAAAAAAGTTGAATCAATAGTGAGAAAAGCTCCCAGGGGTATTAAAGAATTTAAAGACAATATAGAAGATGAAACCATGGAATGCCCCATTTGTTCGGCTGATTTACCAATTATGGAAGTCACATGCTATCAGTGCAAAACAACTTTACCCATATGCATTGCAACTGTAAAATTCGTATTCATTAAACTAATTTTATAATATTAATTTTTCAATAATTATAGGGCCAACATATAATTAAAGAAAATATGACAGCGTGCCCTGAATGCGATTTTCTTTGCTTTAGATCTGAAATGGAAAAGTAAACAAATTTAATTTAAAATGAAAATTGAAGAATGTTTCCTTTTTTTTCTTGTAGAATATTGACCGAGGGTAATCTGTGTCCGATGTGCGGTGAAACTGTTGATTCAAATCGCTTAATGGATGTGGAGGATATTCGACCATATATTTTATCATCTACGTGAATCTTGATTTTTGTCAACAAAAATTTATTGAGTTTACTATCAACAACATAACAAACATTTTCTACATGGGACTTTATTTTAGACTTTATTTGTGGCTTAGATGTTGATTTAGGTTGACATACTACCACTATTACTTAATTGCAATAAATTTATATTTTGTTTAACAAAGTAAGAAGCATTAAAAATAAAATAAAATTACAAAAGGAAAAAATAATTTAATTTCGTTATAAATTTTTTGATATTCAAAAAATGCTCAATTCGAAAATTAGAACAAAAAATTGTGAATTTGTAAAGTGCAAGGAACTTATATATTTTTGTTTAATTCTTCTATCTGTAGTTAAATTAAATACAAAGTCTTATTAAAAATGATGGTGAAAATTTTGCATTTAAAAAATTATTTTTCAATTTATTGCCTTGAATAATTGTTTGTTTCAAAAAATTGTTTATTTGGGCCTCAACATATAACTCGAGTTTCGTGAAGCGATTTTCGTATTCGGATAAAGGGTAAAGTAGTATCTATTAATTTGCATGATACAACTTTTCCATTTCAGTTAGTACGAAAATCGTTTCACGAAAATCGAATTAAATAAAAAAAACTCTGTATTTTTAAGATATCTATACTCTTATACATCCAAAAAGGACGCTATGTGAAAAAGAAATAAACAGCAATTTAGATTAAGTCGATAAAAGACAACTTATTTTTTATAACAATAATTAAAGTCTGCCTGCAATACTATATGTTTTTGCACATAGCGAGAAGAAGACAATTAGCATTTTTATTATCATAAATTTACAATTACTGTAAAAGTGAATCTCTTTCAGATATACATATATTTTGCGTAATAACATATATGTATTTGAAATAAATAAGACATTTTATTTAATAAATGATCGGCTACTTTAAAACCCAGATTTTGTGGTTGTACAGAAAATGTTTAAATGGTCACTTTTAATCAATTGCATCAAAATGGGCTTCATGTAATCAATTGCATATAAAATTAATATATAAAATAATATGTAAAAATTGAAAAAAAAAAATTAATACCTAAGAAGTTAGTTTAAAACAATTTTTTTTTTATTTCTTGAAAAATTTGCGTATTAATATAATTTAAATAACAGTCGGAATATTTTTACTTGCTTCTCGTTTCCGTTAATGGCATATTTCTCAACTTCAGTATTAAATTTCTGATATTTGAGGCAAATACACCTTTTCCCACATTTTTGATTTTATGTTTTTTATTTTATTTTTACTTTGGTTAGGTATCAGAATCCCAAAATAAAAAATTTTATTTTGATTTAAAGTGAAGTAATAAGACTCTATAAGATTAAAGACTTATTCTATAATTAAAATTTTTCTAAATTGTTATTTTAGCTGTTTTTTGATTAGTCTGGAAAACTCACATAAATATGTATGTATGTACAAATGTACATATTTTACTTGAATTTTGGATTATATGTAGTTTGTAAAAAAACTAACGATCTTGCAATATAACGTAATTATTGAGTAGGGTTTCTTAAGATGTTAGGTTTAAGACTTTAAAATTTACAAATTTTGTTTTTAGGAATATAACCCGTAACTGGCTAAGTTACTTGTGTACTGACTACGGATACACAACCTTCCTTTCATTTTTTGTTTATGTAAACAAAATAATCAACTAAAGTGTATAATTCAATGTATGGGAAAGTTATTAATGACTTTTTTAAGCAAGAGGTGAGATAGATACAATAGATAGAATTTTGTTATTTTTATAGTAAAAATAAGTTAGGTAAGTGAAAAACTTCCGAAGCACAAGGCGTGAATAAAATGTTAATTGAAACTCAGTTTATTTGAAATAAACTAGAATTTTCAATCCAAAATTATAAAAATTTTGTGTTTTAATTACATATGTATATATATATATTGTATGGGCTGTTATTTTTCATTTTAAACCTACTTTCCAATATTTAGTTACATTAAGTGCAGGGACCTTATTACGTAATGCGATTTTCGATTTTTTAAAAATAAGGCTTTAGACTTCTAAAAAATGTAAGTAAAACAAAATTTGTTTAAATGTATGAATTTAATTCATAATTTTTCAGTGATTTATAAACTAACTGGGTGCGTTTCAAAAATACAGCGCGGAAATACTCTTGCATACTTTTTAATAGTACTGCATTGTAAAAGTACTACTAAACGTTTTAAAAGCCTGTTTGAAAAACAATTTAGTATATTTTAAATAAGTTACTTTTTTAGGTTTACATTGTAACTGACATATACATATATGCATATGTTATATTTCTAATTTAATAACAGATTGCAAAGTTGTTGTTATTTTTATAACTTGTAAGTGTTTTTTTTTTTTTTTAATTGACCTAAAATAAAAGTAATAAATAAGCTAAATGAAAGAAATAAAAATTTTTATAAGAAAATTAAGAAAACATCAAGTCCTTATGCTTAAGAGCCTGATCGACTATCTCGTTATTTTACTCACCAAGTGAGAAGAAAATGAGTATCTATAATATATTTAAATAATGTAACTTTAGAATGGGAAGAATTATTCGGTATAGTATCTCGTTTTTTTTCTAAGATTTATACAAAATTTTTTTTAGGGAAGACGACCCTAAAATAAATGGAATTAAAAATTAAAAGGTATCAAATTTTTTCACCTTAGAAATATTTCTACCGAAAAGTAATCTTCGCTAGATGAAGAATTAAGTTTCCCACAATCGAATCTTAATACAAAATATGAAATTGTGTTCATATATAGTAATCTGATCTTATATTTATTACATTAAGAAATGTACACTTTATATGCATACATAAACGTGTATGTATATAAAACAAAATCTAATTACAATATGGTAGTTTAGGTAACTTAAGAAAATCAAAAAATATTTTCAAATTCATTTGATGTATACTCTATTTTACATCAACCAATACAAACATGTACGGGAATGCCTTTAAATTTCTCTATCGCCGCTAGCATACTAGCCTGCTCATTGGTTAATATTGTCTATAGTCTATACTGTAATATTCATACCCGACCATACCATAGTAAAAAAAATATATGTATATTGCTTTTTATTATAAATTACACAAAATGTGTTTATGCATATATTTTGATGTGCTTTACTATTTACTATTTCGCAAATTAATTTATTAACACAATATTAAATGTAGTTATGATTTTTATACAATTTTCATACAAATTCCTCCTACCCCTACAAATTTTTACCGGCCACATTGTATACAACAAGGTAGGTGATGTGATGGCAACAAATTTTGAATATCGAGTTTTCGGTGGGAGCGCAATTCTCCATGGTTCGAAAGTGGAAATAAACTATTTTTAGCAACCTGTCGATCTGTGTTTCTGTGAGTTTGTTTCGGCTGTGTCATGATTAATCAACTTTTGAGAGATATCATGCTTTGGGAACTGGACTTTCTTGCGGGCCAATATTAGATTTTTGCCCATATAAAGAGAAATAGTCAACCAATTTCCTTGAAATTTAATATTTAAATTTGGAGTGTTAAAACAATAAATATATAAATTTTTTGGAACGATCTGGGCTCGGAAACCCAACTAGAGACCGAATTTATATTGTTTATTGAATGGAACTAATTGATGGAATTTTTTTTGAAATTTGATATTTATGTTTTGGTTGTTACCGAAACGAAACTCTACTAAGAGCCAAATTTACATTTTGCTAGGTATGTTAACTAAAAGCTTACTATAACTGTCTAAAAATTGGAAATATTGAAAGTATTTAAAAGGCATTTTTATAATATTCTGTAATATTTTCACTTAACTAGATAATACACACTGCGGTCGCTTTTTCATTTTTCTTTATTTTTTAAAACTTATTTTGTTTTAAGAAAATTTTCAAAATATTTGTTTCTGAATATGCGGTTTTAAAGGGGCTACTGTATAGATATTAAAATGTGCTCTTATATACTTACAAAAACATACATATATAAAGCATGCATAATATGGTTCGGATTTCTGGGCCATTTCATATTTCTTGTATGAATTTATGAACAGGAACAACTATATTTTTCAGTTGCAAGTGTTAGATATATTTTTATATATTTGTAATATATTTTTACATATGTATTTATTTTCGTATAAGTTCAATTGTTATTAGTACTTAGTCGTGTTTGAATTTGACGATTTGTCAATATTTAAATCAAAAGTTTTTTTATCCATTTTCTATCCATTAGAAAAGCGGAGAATTCTGATTTGAAAGTAAATAAAAAGTGAGTACAAAAGCGAAATAGACGATCAGGCTTTTAAGCATAAAGACTTGATGTTTACCTAATTTTCTTATAAAAATTTTTATTTTTTTTATTTAGCTTATTTATTACTTTTATTTTAGGTCAATTTTATTAAACAAAACCACTTACAAGTTATAAAAATAAAAACAACTTTGCAATCTGTTATTAAATTAGAAATATAACATATGCATATATGTATATGTCAGTTACAATGTAAACCTAAAAAAGTAACTTATTTAAAATATACTAAATTGTTTTTCAAACAGGCTTTTAAAACGTTTAGTAGTACTTTTACAATGCAGTACTATTAAAAAGTATGCAAGAGTATTTCCGCGCTGTATTTTTGAAACGCACCCAGTTAGTTTATAAATCATTGAAAAATGATGAATTAAATTCATACATTTGAACAAATTTTGTTTTGCATGTATTTTTTAGCATTCTAAATGCCTAATTTTTAAGTAAAAAAAGTCCTAACCCTGCTTATGCTTAAGCATGTATGGCATATGAATATGCATAAGAACAAATTGAATCCACGATCTTTAAGCAAAACTTAAACTTTTTTACTTACACTGTTCTTTTTTTTTTTGAATAATCAGCAAATTTTTAAAGGAATAAAGTTTTAAATTTTATTTTTGGATTAAAATTAACGAATTGAATTTTATAATTAAAAATGAATTTTAGTATTGTGGGTGTTACAGTTTTATACGGTTGTGTTATAAAAATAAAAACACTAATTATTAAAATTTTTGTGGAGTGTATGTACATATATAATTTGTAGAATTTAAAATCTACGCGCTTTTTAAAATTTTTTAATCGAGATTTTTTTTTTGTATTAAAAAATTGAAAACGTCCTACAAAATTTTGCTAAATAAAATTCTTATTGCTAATTTAATCTTAAATCAGAGTGAAGCATTTTTGTACTAATTTTAGTGGAAAAAACGTGGGAAAAAGCCACTACC